TGTTTTGTGGCTAGTGCTATGGCTGGGACCCTGTATATATGTTTAGAGCATTATTTGTAGCTATAGAGTAGTGTTTTGGTTGAGCGCGTGGCTCTCTGTATTGCTATTGTGTGGTCGTTACTAAAGTTGGTATAACTACAGAAGCAAGCGGTCGGCAACATTCATCTTTCGATGGCCTGTCTAACTCGGTGTTACAGTGTGTTTGACACTAACTTTATTTTACACCAGAATATCCCTTTAAGAGTATTCAGTGTGAGTGAATGCTTCTGAATGTCTTTGCACAAATTTAAAAAATCGATCAGCACTCAAAAATATGTCTGAGAGCAGCAAAGAGTAATTCTTGAACATTCAGACTCCACTCTATTATATGGCTGTTGCAACAATTCTTAAGCTGAAAGAGAGCGGGGGAATGACTAAAATAGTCAATAACTATGAAAGAAATACTGAAAGATGAATATATGGCGGAGGGTTTCAATGAAATGGTGGAGAAACTAAATAAAAGCATGATATATCAAGGCATTTCACACTCGTGCAGAACCATAGAAGAAGACTAACAGTCTACAGCTGCGCTAACAGCTGGTCCAGGCTGTAATTAAGCACAGCGGTGTTTAAGCCGAGCTGTAACATACTTACATTGATGATGGGAGCATGTGGATGTTACCAAGATTATATAACCATGTTCCCGAACTCAGCTTAGCATTCAAGCATGCTGACGGTAACTAAAAACAAGTTTTACAATTCACCCTTTGTGGCAAATCATTACAATCTAAAATACTTTTAACTTTTTTTTTCCTCAAAAATGCTTTCGTTGGTTTTCAAAGAATTTGTTATGACACTTAACTCGATAACATTCCCATTCTTGTCTCAAGGATTCTAGCCCAGAGGATTTCAGCTGCTCGACAGTTTAGGCTCTCCTTTGTTGAAATTTTTGTTTCATAATGGGCCAAATGTTTTCAGTGGGTGACAAGTCAGAACTGCAGGCAGGACAGTTTAGCACTCAGACACTTCAACTACAGAGCCATGATATTGTAATATGGTTTTGCATCGTCTTCCTGAATTGTATAAAGTCTTCTAAACCTGTATATATTGTTCATTATCAACAATGCCTCCCAAGATGTGAAAGCTACCTACAAAATACAAACCACATAACAAAAAAATATTACCAATGGACAATAATCTGGTTTAGGAGGCTACCTAGGGTGACAGACTGGCTACCCTACAGGTGCACACAAAAGAGCATCTACACCAATACCATCTTTGCCTTTGATAAGATCAACTGTACTAGCTTTGCAACAAAGGAATACAGCTCGATAACCAGGGGAGGCAACGATTACATATTTCCCCCCTTAAAGGGATATTCCGGCATGAAATTAGGTTAGGGTCAAACACAAGGTAACACCAAGTTAGACACCCCGTTGTGAGATGAATGTTGCCGACCGCTTGCTTCTTTAGTTTTACCAACTTTAGTAATGACTGTACAAAAGAAATATACAGCAGTCTCAGGAGCCATCATAAATGTTCTTCCTTGAGCTGTGTCACCCTGCTGTAGTCCGTAATGGACTTGTCTGAGGTCTTGGTACAAACAAGCGGCTGCTGGAAGAGAGTAGGTGAGTTGTATTTAGTCTCTTTCCTAAAGAAATCAGGCAAAGTTAAAAAGATGTTTGGTGGCTAGTGCTGTGGCTGGGACCCTATATGTACTGTTGATGAAGTTAGGTGCTGTTCTGAGCATTATTTGTGGCTATAGAGTGGTGTTTTGGTTGAGCACGTGGCTCCTGAGACCACTGTGTATTGCTATTGTGTGGTCGTTACAAAAGTTGGTATAACTAGAGAAGCAAGCAGTCTGCAACATTCATCTCTCGAGGGGGTATCTAACTCGGTGTTATGGTGTGTTTGACCCTAACTTAATTTTACGCCGGAATATCCCTTTAAAGTAGTGGATGTGCTCTAGAGACAATTTCTCTTAACCCCTTTCTCACCCCACTAATGACAAAAAAAAACTTAACAGGCACAATCCTAGCAGGAAGTGCCCCACAGTCTGACAGAGAAGCCTCTGCCCACAGCGCATCAAGACAGTAACAAATTATTTTCTGAATGACCAACAAAATCTACATACTAATTGGCCAGCCAGGGCCTCCATATTGTACATGCTGTTGTCTCCTTAGATGCAAAGCAAAAATCTAAAATTAAGGACAGGATCATATCTACCAAAAACAAGTCAACCAATCACAGACGGACAAACAATTAAATTAGCAAAGCTACCAAAGGTCAACCACTGAAACACAAAATATAACCACCTACACATACTTAGTGGATGAGCCCCTACTTGTCATGACCCGGCTCTAAAGGTCACAACAACAAAAAGGGAAACACACATCAGGTACTAAGTCCAAAATCATTATTTATTAAACCTGATTCAACCAATTTTTAATATTTAATGAACGAGTTGTGTAAATCTTTAAAACTAGTGGTGTGTGATGTATATGAGTGGAAGGTATGGGTATGTGAGGGTGTTGAATCATGCAAACATAACAAACAGCGGCAATAAACCAACATAATCCAAACAGAACATTTAAGTAGTTGTCTTTGTATCATTCTCAATAAAATAAAAGGATTGAATTATTTCATTTAACATATGACAAAGCATTACAACTATTTTTGGAACTGGGTCTGTAGCTGTTTGTGGCCATTTAATTTGGCAAAAGTTCCCAGAATTTCAGGACTGTCTAAAGTTTTGAATTTTTAACATAATATTGATACTCTAACAAAATGAACTCACTGAATAATGAGTTCTCCATATCTTAGGATGCCTGTAAGATATATAGAGCTGAGCAGCAATAACTTTTGCGGAGAAGAAGATTGTGGACTTATTTTCAGTCTTTTGCTTGCCTTAGCGAATCTCCTTATCACCCCATCTTGGTTGTTCTTACAGTTATAGATTTGAGAGGTGATTTATCTACAAAATAGATATCTTCTCCTCTGACTCTTAGATCCAGGAGATACAGATCCAGGTGATACAGAATGGGGGTGATTAATCCTGTATGGTATATTGTTGATAAAATGTTCTGTCGTGCCAGCGATGGAGTCTGTTACATTTGCACTCCTTTCTAGTAGTGTCTTTCTATTAGAGGATTATAAACCAGCTATTTTTAAATTCAGGGGGACAATACAAATGGCTTTATCAGAGGAATTTCACAATAAGCTGCAGCAAAAATAGAGCTTTTGAAATGTCACAAACAGGTATTAAAGTGGCGGTTCTCACCACAATGTGACAAAGCATTGCAGTTAACTAAAAATAACAACACTCACCATACACAAGGATGGGACAACAGCATAAAACAACACAAAAAGACAAAGTTAGGTCAACAGGAGGAGAAATTCAGCCCACAGAAGTTAAAAACTTAAAGTGTATCATCTAAAGGGACCTAAATAAAACACCAGGTTTTGATTTAGTGTGTTTTCTGTTAAATGACCCGTTTCGTTTGAACATCAGCACTACAGCTGAGAGGTTGTTGCTATGAACAACACAGAAGCAGGCACTACAATTTCAAATCACAGGCGCCGCTGCAGAATCTCATTAACTGGATATAATGAGAATTTAATGAGGATTTAAAGCTGCGGACCAAACTCACCTGATGGTTACACAAACCTTTTGTTTGTGGTAACAGCGTGAAGCGGACATCTCCGACACCATATGCTGCTATTAAGGCTTTAATGGTCCCTGTGCAGGTGGGCAGATTGTGGCCGACATCGCCGTCTGTCCTGGTGCCAAGAGGAGAGGCGGCACGTGGAAGGGGACACCGGTCAGCTGCATAATGCTCCTGTCACTGGAAGGCAGTATAGCATTTAAGTTTTCTGTGGATGACACGAGCACTGAGGACGACCACGTTTAACCACTCTGTGTGAAGACTGAAAAATAGCTTGTGTTGAAGGTTACCACAGGCATACCTGAGTGAAATTGCTTTGATTTAGTAGGCTTTCAAAAAAGGAAATCAAATCTTGCACCAGAATCAAAGGGCATATCACAAATCTTTGTGAGACCAACTACAGTCTTTTAACCTGTGCAGCAGACCCGAACCACCCGGTTTACTGATCATCTGTTAACGACAAAATACAGCATATCATCACAACGCACAAGTGCTGTTTCGTGGGAGAACAAGGCTTAATGTGACTGTGGATGTGTGGCATATATTATCCAAGGGAATATCTTAATTGTTGTTTTACAATGTGCCAAATGACAATATCAAGTATGCCACTCATTTTGCAAAACCGACCAAAACACACCTGAGAGTGCACACCCATCCACTGAATCAAGTCTAGTAGGACAGACGACCATGCAACAAATGCACACACATGCAGAGTTAAAACATCACAATAAGCTGCTTCAGTAAAAATATGAGAACACACAACATCATCAAACAAAACAGACACCAACAGCCTCATGATCCGACGTTAGATTTCAGTGCTAGATGTGGATCGTCCCCTCTCGCACGGAGGAGATTTAGCTCTGAAAAGATGTTTGTTACTTTAAAAAAAAAAAAAAAAAAGAAAAACAGACACCATTCCACGGAGAGCAGTTGCTGTGACAGACAGCTTGACAACTAACTCGTTCTGCCATCTGTTAATTGATCACCACACAAAATATGAGGAATATTAAAAGCCCAGGGAGTCGGCGGTCAACCATGACCAACATACAAAGTATTAATTATACAAAAACACAGTCCAACTTTGGTAGAGTCATTTGTAATCAACCAAATCCTAAAATAGTTCACTCCTACATTCACTGCTTCATCTCATCTAGTGACTTCAGTGTTTTTAGATTAAATTAACTTCATTGACTCAGTTTTAGATTAATAAATAAGACCCGTTTTTCATCATTTTGTTCCCAAATACTGAGATATTGTTTTTTGTCAAAATCACACACCCTGTATATGACTTGCATAGTTTGGGTATCAGGATCTCTATGATTGATCTGAATCTGCTGCAGTCAGTAATGACAACCCTTTTCCTTATTTTCAAAATCATGTTTATTAAATTTAGAAAACACCATTTTGTTAACAGTTTCATAGCAATAGCAGGAAAAGAACCAAAACTGTAAGAGAGAGAGAGAGAGAGAGAGAGAGACGAAGATGGGGCCTTGGCCAACCCCTGAGTTAAAAACCGGCTGTGTTTTGGAGCTCATCTGTCCCTAAGTGTCTGCTCTCTGCGGAGTCACCTGCATCTAACCCGGCATAGACTAGAAGAGAGAGTCAGAGTCGGAGTGAACATCTCAAGGTAGAACGCCTAAAGAAACGAGACATAAGAAAAAACTTTGTAGACATCAGGTAGAAAAGTTGATTTGCAAAGTCACTTTTCAAGTCAAGGTATTTCCTGCCAAAATGTATACCGAGTATGCAACATTAACATGTAATTAGGTTGCCAAACCGTATCGGTACGTAGGTTGAATCACTTAGGGAGGGAGTGCTGCACAGCTTTAAGAAGAGGGGGCTTAGGGGGGGACTTCAGGGTGCAGTACAGATGTAGTCCAGGGAGGAAGTGCAAACAATGTCTATAAGGAGTGTTTGTTGAGGAGGGGAAGGTGGGTGACGGGTCACGGGGGTGTGAGCAGACTATGGCTCCCCCCCTTTACTCATCAAGGTGCCGAGAGTGGCGACTCTCTGGAGGGTGAGCCCGAGATATCCTCAGGGGGGAAAACTGTGAGTGTGCAGGCTCGGATCCCGCCCAGCGACTCGGGTAAGTCAAACACTTTGTGCCATTCGTCTTTCTCGGGGTCGTACTTCTGTACTATTTCCACCATGCAGCGATTGTTCCATGAGTAACCTCCCACCACGTAGATCTTATTCTCAAACACGGCCACGCCCACATCGCTCTGGCCTCGCAGCATGGCGGCGATAGGTGTCCATAAGTCGAGGGCGGGAGAGTAGTACTCGCAGCTCAGCACATCGTCGTAGTCACTGGTTCCCCTGAAGTGATTGCCTCCGATCACATACAGGCGGTCGCCCACTGTGCACATGCAATGGAGGCCACGCACCGTCGTCATGGGCGCTTTCTGAGTCCATTTGTCTGCGTCGGGGTCAAAGCACATCAGCTCCTTCTGAAAAGTGTCATGAGTGATTCCCCCTGTAGCCAAAAGATTAAAAAAAGAGCAGAAATTAGCCTCATCAGTGATTGTTAGGGGGAGGAAAACAGCTTCGCAGACACATCAATTAGACAGATCAGTGACTCACTGGACCATGCCAACCTACATTTCCTTTTATCTAGGCCGCGTGGATGACCAGCCCCACACTAGAAGTAGTCACATCTCTCTCTTTGGCTTTGTGAATATTAGTATTTCACCGTTTAATGTCTCTATTTGTCAAAACCTAACTTTTACCTTAACAGCTGAGACGCAGAGTGAACCCCATTTGCGAGCTTTAAAGTGACATCCGCGTTTGCTCGGAGTCTTTTCCACGGTGTGAAATACTGCTGGTGATGAGCACTCAAAGCATAAAGAGGAACATCATTACAAAACGCACACCCGTACACAAACAGGCGGTAGACGCTGGGACACAAAAAAGCTGAGGGAAAGTGGGGAGGGAAAAAAAAAAAAAAACAGGACATGTCTACAGGGAAGGCTTAAAATAAAGAGGAACACAATCCCAGCATGCATTTGGGTGGAAGCCAGCCCACCCCTCCCCCCCACAGGCGGAGTGACTAGGAGCGAATGCAGCGAAGATTTGCAGAGCGTGGCGAATAGAGGCAGAATCCCTCTTTTGCTGCTGCCCGGTGATCGTGTGCGCGCGCTTTATTGTTGAGGCCTAAGCTGTCTATTCAGCTGCCATGACTCAGATCTGTGATGCTGCACCTCCTTAACTGATCAAATCCACTGATAGCCCCACTCTCCATTTTCTTTATCCAAGTAGTCCATAGGGCATGTCCGCTATTAAAATCCAGACAAGGGAACAGTGCATTAGGTCCTTATAATTCCTCTGGAGAGGCCCTGCTGCTATGCTGATTCAGATCAAGGGCTTTGGCCTTTTCCGAACGCAACCATGTCTGATCAGTATCCCGCTCCCCTGATGTCTAATCAAAGCCATTAGTGAGACAATGTTTGCTAAACTGAGCCAGTCTCAGAATCAGGCGAACAGATTTTGCCCCTCCATAGACAGACCGGGTTACTTGGTCTTGGTGTTGTCTTATGTTTATTAGTGCGTTTTCCTTTTCCCCTAGCGAAAACAGTGACCTGCTTAGCTGGTTAAATTGGAGCAGCCACAGGTGATGTACGAAAAAGATACAAGACGATACCTCGCATGATCCCCAAAAATATCCTATGTTGATAGAGAGGGTCTTTCGAGGAGATAGTACTCGATGTGTGCTCTGAAAGTGGCCCACGACCAAATTGCTGTGTGAACTGATCCAGTTCTCTGTTTGTAGGATGACTAAGAACATATTGATTGATGCTATACAGTGAGCACTGTATGGATTATAAATGTAACTGAACGTTTTTTTTTTTAACTTCCTAGAACAGAGTAAAAATAAATCTTTACATTTAAAGGACACACTGTCTTTTCGGTTTCCTATGCAGCATAAATGCACCTTCAAACTGCACCATCAAATTCATCTCACTGTACATCCTTATAGCAACTGAGTCCTATAGTATCAGATCTCACCATCCAACCAGTGCTGTGCCAATCATTCATTTATGCCTTCATGTACACCTGACATTTACTGTTCTGTGTGAGCAGCACACTCAACATCTCTCCTATTCCACACATTGTGCTGCAGGACTGTCGTCAGTACAGGTGACGTGCCATATATTGTTTTTTATTTCAGTGATAAAAAAGGGAGTGAACCTTCAGAAATCAAGGGCCGGGACACGCTGCAGCATAAAATAACCAACATGAGACTCACTTTGATCAGGCTTTTGGGTGATTTTTATGTCGAGTGATTTCTTAAAATCTACTTGTTTGACAAACTCTTTCTTAAACACAGTCTGAGTCTTACTAGGAGTGGAATTCAAGGTGAATAAATGATAAAAACAGCTCTTTCATTTCAGTGGTTTTAAGAGGGAAACCTGCTGATGACTGCAGGAACACTCACACACCAGTCACAGTGGTTAACTACACAAATCTTCTTATAGAGATCGCAAAGAAATTAGTCTATGTCCAAAAAGTGTCCAAATGATCTCATATTAACACTTTTTCAGCTTTATTAGTGTCTGTGGGAATATTCAAACAAGAACCAGACCAAACAGTTAATAGAGTAGAGATATGGGCCAATAGTAACTCATTCCTAATATTTCACTGTGCTGATGAAACTGAGCACAAAAAAAAATAAAAAAGATAATTTTGAATCAGGGTCAAAGTAAAACGGGTTTGGACTGAAGAGCTTGGACAAGGTTAATTTTCAAATTACACATCCTGAAGGAATCTTTCAAACTCAAAGTTAAACACACATCTGAAAAACTCCCAAACATCAACATCACGCTGGGCTGTAACAGTCTGGCTGTAATACCTAAAATTACTACAAAATCATTTAAAATACCCACAACAACAGCAGGCTAGGAGACTGTCTGCAGTCCTGACACCTACGTGTAAATTACTCAGAGTTCTGCAGAGTGTCCTTGTTGTAGATGACTCAGTTAAGAAGTAAAAACACGGTCTGAGCGGTACATCTGCAGCATGTACTCAGATATTAATCTCCCATGTTAAAACAGAGGCAGGGCGGCTCTGTGCTGGTTCAGTACTCGTGTCTGAACCCTGCCACACCACTTGAGCTGTGACGGTTTGTGGGCTGAGTGGATTTGTCAGGTTCATCCAGCTGACAGAATGTCTTCAGACAGCGCAGCGGCGCAGCCAGAGAAAGTGACCTGATCTGCTGTGACAGACGGACACAGAACTGCACTTCAGCATGGGTCACCTTGCACAGCACGACTCCAACCTCTGAGACCGTGGGCGCTATAGTACCACTTCAGAGCAAATAAATTCCTTAAACAGTGAATGCTTGGTTACCTGTACCTTTGCATTAACCATTAACGTCTGTATCTAAAGCCCCGCAGCTTCGTTTACACACTTTCAAATGACCTTTCATAAAAACTGCTAGACCAGCTTTATCCTGTAGCACGCACATGTTTTTTTCCTTCTCCCTACATGAAGCTTTAGCTGCCGCAGGTGAAAAACATGGCACTGTGTTGGCCTGCTATTGAGTGCATCATTGAACATGAAACCAGCACAAAAGGAAACCATTCAAAAATCATGAAGGGTGAGCAGTAAATAGTACATACTGAGGAGTACGGCCTTGAGCAAGAGACGGAAAACAGCTGGCTACCAGCAGATAAGCTCAATCCCGCCTGTTTTGTTATTCATCATTTAGTTTATTTATTTTAAAAATGTGTCTTTCATCTTCACTCAACTGTAATATTAGGCTTGCCAAATCATATGGTCCGTGTGGTCCCAAATATGCCCCAGTTCCTGTTCTTGCCAAAGGAAACACAGACTAATTAAAATGTTCTGAAAAGTTTAGCTTGTTGTTGATAAAAACAACGATAGTAATCACAGATGAAGTTGGTTGTTAATTGCTGGCCTGTTTCTAGAGAGTCACGGTTAGTTAATATGAATCTAATCTAAGAGGCTGCATACGCCGTTGACTTTTTCACATGCATGCACACGGAGGAAATTCTCGCAGCACTCTGCTGTCTGAAAAACACGAGAGAATTAACCGACAATCAGTTCTGTGCTCTGGAAAAAGTAAGGAGAGAGAGAAGTTGGACGAATGAGGCAAGTGTACAAAAAGAGGATTAGGGCCACATGAAGAGAAAAAAATAATTACAGGAAGGAGATTAAAGTCGAAATTTTGAGATCAAAAAATAAAAATTATGTAAATAAAGTTGAAACTTCGAGATTGAAAATTAAATTAAAAAATAAAGTAAAATTTCAAGATTACAAAAATTTTGCTGTTAAAAATATAAAAATTTGAGATTCAGGTCGAATTTTCAACTATATTCATGTAATTTCAATTTTTTTAATCTCGAAATTTCCACTTTAATGTCGAAATTTTGATTTTTTTAATTTGATTTTTTAAAAATTTCGTCTTAAATCTCACCGTTTCGACTTTAATCTCGAAATGGAAATGAAAAACATTTCCCACCTGTAATTATTTTTTTTCTCTTCTTGTGGCCCTAATCCTCTTTTTGTACAAGTGACATGTTACTAAAGATCTACAGGATCACTGACATCTGTGGATCATAGATTTTGATGCACTAGTTGTTTGCATATGTATATTGATCAATGAGTGTATCTGATGACACAGTGTTTGCTGGTCAGCACCTTACATTGTTTGTGTCATGTATTCTCAATACTGCTGCTATCTGCAGAACATTAGTGCTAATGGAGTTAATGCAAATGCATGTTAATTCCCCTAAGTGATTAGATTCAATCCATCCCCGATACCCATAAACAACCTCTTTTATTCGTCCAACACTGTGTGACAGTGAATTCCCTCTTTTCCTTCAATTTCTTCCATGTTTTTGGAAATAGAAAAATATTTTAAAACATCCATCTCTGTGTAACATTCGCTGATCGTCTTGTTTCATGTTCACAACTACTGTTTACATTTACATGTTGTAGGGATGATGACAGAAGCCAGAGCCAGGGAGGGATTAACATCAGCTCTTCAGTGTTACACCTCCTACACGGGCTTCACTCCTCCACTTCACTCCATCCTTCCCAATTTTCCCTTCCACCTCTCCCCTCCCCTCCCCTCCCCTCCCTCCCCTCTTAGCGCTGCTCTGGATTAGTCACACTGAGAAACTAGGGCTCATCTCCATAACGCAGGATTTGTTTTCAATCCTATGAAGAGAACAAGTACTGAGGTGACACCGAAAGAAGAGCCAGCAGTTGCTGCCCGAAGGAAGAAACCTCGGCGCCTTCAATCTTCTGCCTAAAAGCGGCGAGGCCTCGTACACTTTGTCCTGGTCCACATGTGCGATCAGCTGAGATGGCGCGAGCATGTGAGGTATGATTTGTGTCACAAACATTTTCAGTTTTGGTACAAGAATACCTTTCAGAAAGCAGAGTGTATTCTGTAATTGGCCATTAATCTGAATCACTGAATTAATCAGAATAACAAATTGAAAGTCGAGCTGTTTGAATGACACGGAATTATGTATCACCGCGGTGGCTTTACTTACACCGTCTACTGACGCTCCTGTCAATCACAAACAGAATCTGTTTCATTTGATTGTTTCCCCTGAACATGACGAAAACACACTGCTCTCTCTGTCTGTGACTCACGGTGATGCATTATACATGCAGCGGAGTTTTTGAGGAAAGGTATCACGAGGTGAGCGCTGAATAGATTTCATGGCTTTGAACATTAGAAGACACAATCAGCTGTTTGCTGCTCGGAAATTAACAGAAACGGCTCTAATTGGAAATTACAATCCATTCAAATTAATTTGGTTAATGACTGAAAGACATGAAATCGATTTTCGATCTCACTGCGCAGCCACAGCCTGCACATTTCCTCGTTTAACTGCGTGGATTATGAATGAACGTCCTTACCTGAAATATACATATAACCGCCGTACACCGTCCCAGCATGGCCATAATGTGGCTCATTCATTTTGGCAACATAAGTCCATTCATTTGTCCTTGGGTTGTAGCACTCCACAGTAGCTTGAGGAAAGAGATGGAAAAAAAGAACGTATTAGTTGAAAGTAGGTCAAGACACAACTAAGGAGGACAAACAGCAGCAAATGAGGCCTTGGAGGGTCTCAGCGTGGGAGCTAAGACACGGATTTAAATACAGAGTACACATCCCCAAAACCCCACCAGCACCAACTGCACAGGAAACAGGGAGATTGTAAGATCCTTTATCTTTAGGGTGCTTGAGGGTGTTTCTGCAAAATCTGGGAGAAACTGGGATACCAACTGGGATGCATGGACAGTGTTTGCTGTTCAGGACTCAGACCAGCAAGGCAGCCAGCAGGAAAGACAGAGGTCATAAATATGTAAATATGATGGAGCCTTATGATTAGGGATGCACCGATCCGATATATGGACCGGATATCGGCTCCGATATTGACAAATTAACTGCATTGGATATCTGATGAAGGACGCCGATCCAGTGTTTTTTTCTTTTGATTAATATCAAACACTTGTCCTCTTTATACTGTCTTTTGTACTATGTCGTTTCTGCAACCGTCAAGGAAAAGAGTATTTATATTTATATGTATTGTATACTGTATATTGTATTATGACATGTACATTGCATGTATGTGCTCCATATCGTATTAATATGGTCGTGAGTTAAATAAATTAATTCATTCAGAAACAGTGATTTTGATCGCTCTATATTCTATGTCTGTCTATCCTTTTGCATTAAATGTTTACATGGAAGTTTTACTTCTTTTTACTGTGTTAATGTGCAATTTGTTATTTGTTAATAAATAATATCAAGTAAATGTATATCTGTGTTAGTATGTTACCTTTTTTTTAACAAATCTAATGTCAAGACTGATGCCTTCACTCACAGAGCGAGATATACAGCTCATTCACTTAACAGTAATATCAGATCGGTAATCGGATATCAGCCGATACGTTCAGCCCAGGTATCAGTATCCGATTGGATCTGAAAAAAAAACGGATTGGTGCATCTCTACTTATGATTGAGGATTACAAGAAAAGTGTATGCCACACGTTTAAGTCCTATTGTTGAGCACGAGTGAAAATTTCATCAAACAGTAAAAACCATGGATTAGTTATGGTGCGGGATAAGGACAGTCTCATCTGCATATGAAAGGATAACAAAATGACGGTATATTTTAATGTCACCCGCAGGATTGGAGATGAAGCACAAGAATTTTTGTTTTCACAGTTCGAAGCTGAAGGATAAAATGGTGAGCCGACTGATTAACCCTGATTAAACACAAAAAGTGGTCTCAGCTGAACACCCCGAATAAGATTGGGAACTTTCTAAAGGCTTCGGTTAAATAAATGGTTTAATCAATGACTTGGAAAATGATTAAATACTGCATTAAGCGCAGGACCACAGAGGAATGAGAGCCACCAGAGGGCCAGCTCGGAGAATTCTCAGATGGGAGAGAAGACGGTGAAAACTTTACTTTGCTTGCCCGACAACTATCATCAGAATGTCCTTGAGTGGGACAGAGTGTCTTGCAGCTGCTACATAGAAGAGGAGAAGAAATACTAAAGGACGGATGAGCGCTGAGCAGATCTCAAAAAGAGCAGTGTTAAATTTCAGGAGTGCAGAGCAGGGTCAGAAGGAGAAAAATAAACGTTAAAATTTGTAATCCACTAAATAAACTGTTTATTGGAGCACATAAAAGTATCTGAATGTTTTGTTTTTTCACTTAGAAACCAGAAGCTGATGTCTCAACTTAGAGGTGCAACCATTAAAATTCTATATTAAATAATAATAATAATAATACTGTGCTGTAATATCTTTTTACTATCACCAGGTGAGGTCACCTTCTTAATTAGCACAACTTTCTCCCCTGGATGTTGCTCGCAAAAACTGAATGCTCCAAGGGCTGAGCTTGCAGCTGGTGACATCTGGTAATAATTACTGTTTAGCATACCCCACTGACCTCGCGGTGGTTTGCAACATGAGGGACAAGACCTCATAATGGGATCAAAAGATGCTGTGGTTAGTAGCAATGACCTCAGACTGAAGACAAGGTAGGACAGAGGAAAACCCATTCCCTAGGTTTCTCTGCTGTTTGCTAGGTTTTCATATTTGCTATAGATATTGTTTTGTGTGAGAGGCTGCAGGCCAGAAAAAAAATAATAATAAAAGACAGAAAGAAAGAGTGCAGTAACTGTGCAACCTTTGCTGACCTGTACATTTCTGCTTCTGTGGTGTGGTCCCCAGAAATAAAAAAAGAGCAAATTCAAGCTGAAGGCGACATTGTGAAGACTACTTTGACATTAAAACGTTAAAATTTTTATCTACAAATAAGAGTTTGATGTGTAAAAAAAAAAAAAAAAAAAAAAGTCTTTCAATCACATCAGTTGGTAAATTGACCATAATGTTAATCTTCAATCCTTAAGAGGGAATAGAGTCGAATACACTTTGCAAAATAAATGCTCAGTGTTCCAGGAGAGATTAGGGCGTCTTCCGGTAAAAATCCATCCTCACGTTGTGAAGCTTGTCTTTTTTAATCCTTGCGTTTCAAATGTAACAATAAAAACCACACCCCTATGTCCTTCTGAGGGTAAACAAACATAATGCAGAGGCTGGGCACATCCAGAATAACATCAAGGCTTAGCCACATGCAGGGGAAGGGCAGTGGAACGTAAAGCAGAAAAAGGGAGTTGTGTAGAGAGGCAGTGAACCAGGGCCGTGTTCTTTGGTCTAATTATAACCCAGAAGAGGAGACTGCTCACACTGTGGCCTCTCTCTGTGTGCTGCGCTTACAGAGCTGACTTAAGTACTGGGTGGCACCTCTCTGTGGTTTACATTTACGAGCGCAAAAATTCCAGATTGGTAATTCAGCATCAAGTAGGAAACTACCCTCAACAGATAAAAACATAAAAACATATGCAGACACAGTATGTAAAGATAATTTGGGGGCTTCTGTCTGCTCTTCCAACCGTGTAAACCCCACCCCTTAAATATATGTCTTCACTGAGGTGTATCTACCTCAGGGTTGGAGTGAAGTTTACCTTATAAAACCATCTACTGTAACCATTTTGAAACCTAGTATCAATATTCCATCAACAAACTGCATGAAACCTTCCACTTCATCCTCTTCTTTTCAGCCCAGTATGGTTCAGGTTACAGAGCTAATCTAATCTGTTCAACTCTATTGATGAACAAATATGTTGTGATGAACCGCAGTACCCTATAAGTGTGAGTATAAAACACGATGATGATATCGTAGGGCTGGGCGATATGGCCTCCAACACACCTGATACGAATGATTAACTCATTATCAAGCTCTGGAATGGCTTGATAACGAGCTGATCATTTGATTCAGGTGTGATTCTGGACTTAAGAACCACTGATCCAAAACTAACTTTTATTTATTCATTTATTTTTGTCAGAAATTCCTGTATCAGTAAATTTTCAGTTTATCGCCCAGCCCCATGATGAAACCTGAAAACATAAATCTAATGCAACCTCAAAAAAATAATAGAAAACTCAGACTGTCAACAAGTAGTTATTCAAATGATCTTGTCTGTGTTAAAAAGCTTCTCCCTTAGTTTGCATTAGACTGTAAAAGGTGTTCATGAAAATAAACTCATTCTCTACCTTTAATTAAATTACACAGATAATATCAGGACAACATGTTGAAACAGCAAATGATGTGTAGGCACAAATTGTGATTACCAGAGTCAGCACCCCTGCAGTCTTATTAAGGAGCACATTTCTTTCTCCTCCTGCTCCTTCATATTGAAGTGTAGAAACTCATACAGTATTAATTAGCAGTTTGTGTTGTTGCTTAAAAGGAGAGCGGAAAAAAAAAACAAACACACGGGGAAAGAAACTTACCGAGCTCCCCGGCAGCATTCCTTCCACCCACAGCGTAGAGGTGTCCCTTGAGTGCACTGAGGTGGAAGAAGGTACGTTTCTCATTAAGGCATGCCACCTGCATCCATTTGTTGTAGCGCGGGTCGTATCGGAACACTGTGTCCACTGCTGTCTTGCCTTTGGTGTCGTAGTTGCTTTGGCCGCCCACCACATAGAGGAAGTTGCCGATGACTGCGATGCCATGTTGGTAGCGGGGTGCATCCATGGGTGCGAGCGCCTTCCACTCGTGAGCCTTCTCGTCAAAGAGACGCAGCTCTTTGCTTACGACTAACTGCTGCCGCAGAACACCACCCAGGGTGACCAGGTGGGCGCTGTCTGAGCGGATGGCTGTCCGTTCTGACTGCATAACTGGCTGCATGTAGGGCATCATTTGGTAATTGCTAGCTTCCAGGAGAAGGTTGACGCAGGTGTTGTCTGTGCGCATAAAGTCCACTGTCTGCACATAATTGATGAGCTCCTGTGGGTTCATGAGGGGGAAGCGGATGTTCTTCATGAGCTTAGGGGCATAGTCCATACGGCCGTCTTCGTAGCGTAGCCAGCGGCACGCAGCCTTGAATAGGTCTAACTCAGTGCAGTGTTTTAAACTGTTACTGGACAGTACAAAAGCCAGCCGTTCAAATGGAAGTTTGACAAACTCTCCCGTGCCCAGCAGCGAGGGGAAGTTCTTCAGGATGAAGTTGTTGACATATTTGTCCACCTCTGTGAGGTTATATGTGTTAGCAATGCGTCCAACCTCCACACAGTTGTCAAGAGAAACCTGCAGAAAAGAAGCAAAAGTCTGAATTTTGGACAGCTGACCTTAAGATTGACAACTCATCAGGGCACGAAACAAATTAAACTTACAAACATGAACAAAGAAGACTCACCTAGTTAGTCTGATTTGAAAATCAGTGATTTAGCATCAGAAAAGATTTACTGCTTTAAATAAGAACTAAAAACTGTAACTATCCAAGTTTCATTTACTTTGATTCTTTTGCGCTTCAACAGAGGAACTATCAGGTTAGTTGAATAACTAAACGGAAAACAAAAAAATTACTCCTAAAACTGAAGAATACGATCACTTGTCATCTGTTAGATTTAAACACCCTTTTTTTTTTTTAAATCTAATATTTCTATCTCTCTTTTTTTGTGTTTTGTACAAACAATTATTGAAATGTTTCAATTTTTTAATATTCCAACTTTGCCCTTTATTTAAAAGACAAAAAATAAAGCCTGTTTAAATTCTTAAAATATAATTCCTTTGTCATTTTATACTTGATTAAGCGCAAAAGTCTTTCCCTCGCACACAGAAACACTCTCACAGGACTTCAAAACAGCTGAAATGTGGAGTACTACAAAACACAATAAAATAAAATAACTTTAAAAACACATTTGAAGTAGTTTTTATGTAATTGTGTCAGCCAGCTGTGCGCGGAAAAGAAAAGATCTCAGCTGTTAAAGACTGGGTGAGAGTTATGAACAGTGAAAGACGGTGCATTTGTTTATCGGCTTCCTTACCCCAGATATAAGAAAAACCTTGCAGAAGTCCAGCACTGGAAGGATTTGTAAGAAGCTGGCTGCCTCAAGTGTGTCTTGCAGATTCTCCATGTTGAGCGATAATTTTGCAGTGTAGATAAAATCAATGATCTTCTTCAGGCCTATTCGGTTTACTCCATGGAGCTTGATGCACATTAAATCCTGTTCTTTCATTCCACCTGCATCAGGAGACGGCACAGGATGAGAGAAAGCAGAGGCTCACACGTGGCTCAACACCTACATAATCTTGTTTAAGTGACGGGTCGGTGAGCCGCAACTATTTGATGATTTAAAAACTTCAAGAACGGAGTTGAGTGCTTAAAAATTCAATGAGGCTGCAAACAAAAATACAACATTTAAATGCATTTTCCAAAATGTGCGAAAGTGTAAGAATTGTTTTGAGCGTGAAAAGACTGACGATCAAAGGAAGGATTGAAAGTCTTACAGGGAATCTCACTGCTCAGCATCTATGCTCAGACAGCTTTCCTTCCACTAATGCTGTCACTAAGTAATGTCCCCTCACACCTACTTAGACCAACTACTCCTCGGAAGACCTTCATCTTCAACCTTAACTGGGGATACTAAAGTCAGACGTCTTTCCAATCCTGCCAATAAATGAAAACCTAACTACTTTTAAATAAAACCCACTTTTCATTGCTCGACATGTTGTAGATTAATAAATAAAAATTGGGTTCCTATGCTCAAATAAAATCTTTTATTATTTAAGAATTACATCTTTATTCAAAAATACTCAAGAGGAGCATGTGATACATTTAAAGGGGTGATATATCTTTTTACTGACAACCTCAGTGAAACATTTTAACTTGCATTGCCTTTCTGGCCATTTAACCTTTTCGGCATTCATGGTCATTCTATGGTGTATGAGCTTCTCCTATGGCACACACAGCAGGTATTTCAATACATGTTGTCAAGGTTCCTCCACTTCTGCATAAAGAGCAGAGAGTGAAATACTGCGATGGTGTGGGCACAAGGTCAATTTAAGTAATATGAAAGGAAACAAAGTGACTCTGATGTGGCTGTGGCTGTGCTCAGCTTTGAAATGTTCATGAATACGTAAAATGCTTTATTGGAGAAGACAGTGCAAGAAGGAGAAAGTTAAAGAGCATTCACTGATATGTCAAGCAATAGGAAAACATCCCACACAAAAGACAAGAGCGAAACCCAAGAGATTTCTCAGGCTTTTTTTTTTTCTCAGACCCACCTGTGAACATGGCTTTGAAATAGTCAGAAGAGGAGGCCATCATGGCACGATGAACAGGGAACGCTTCGTCGCCATCCCCGGCTACCAGCGTGACGTCACATAGTAAACCTTCTATCCTCAGCTGGTCAAATCCCTGAGAGGAAAGGTGAGAGATTACAGATGAAGCTTAGGTGACCTGAACCTTACAGGAAGACAATGACACAAGCACACCTGTCACAGCCAACTACATCTCAATTTGAAGCAGACAACGCACACTTAAATGTGGTCCTATGGATTGATCGAGATACTGTTTAGTCATGGCCTGTCAGCCGCGAGCTCAAATGTTGTGCAGAGCTCTAAGACTCATTTTTTCCTTGATTATCTTGCATGTAACTGGCAAAGGATTACATGTTCAGAGCTGCAGTGACTGTGTATTGTCCCAGCTTGGCAAAGCAACAAAGTAGGGTCTTGTGCAGCATGGAGGCATGTGCTTCATGACAAAGAAATCCTATCCACATGCCCACAATGTGTACTCACACCACATTCTTAGGAAATGCTTTCACTTCTCCTCACACCTGATTTCATAAAAACCAAGATACCTTTTGCTATTTACACTCAAATTGATCAGCTGAATCCATCCTGTATGTCGGTCTCAGTTTTCACCACAGTTTAAACGACACAGTGTTCACAAGTCACAAGAACTCAGATCAGTGGGCACTTTCTTGGTGGGTTGCTTCCACATTAGCATTAGCAAGTTGTCATTGGTGATCACATAGCTGATTGAGGTGATTGAGGTTTGCGAGAAGTGCTGCATGAAAATAAAATACTGCGTAAATAAGACAAACATAAGGAAAAGATGGATACTAAATCAGCTAAGCAGTTGAAAAAAATTGTACAAACCGCAATACATGGCATCGCAATACTCACTGTATCGCAAAATGTTTAAAATCACAATAATATCAAATCATGGCCAAAGTATCATGATAATATTGTATCATGGGGCCACTAGTGATTCCTACCCCTATTCCACATGTCCTGACTAAGGCTATGTTCACACTGCAGGTCAATTCCGATTTTTTAACCATATGTGACACATATCTCATTTTTTCATGTAAGTGTGAACAGTGCAATTCTGATTTTTTCAAATCCGACCCAGGCCTCTTTTGTATGTGGATATAAATCGGATATGTATCTGATGTGACTGCAGTGTGGACGCACAGGTCACATTCATCCGACCTTTACATCATCAATATGCGACAAACGTCACCATTGTTTGACAACACATAACCTGCAGTGTGAACGTAACCTATGTCTACTAACCAATTGTGTCAACAGAGTGATCAAGTCTGATCGTTTGGCCTTGAAATATTGATATTAATATCTCCTTACTGTGCTCAGACACCATAAGATTAATGTGTAAAAAGGCAGCCAACAGCCATCATTTGCAGTAAAAGCTGGTGATGAAGGCCAACCATTGCTCTGGTAGCAGCAGGATGCCAACAATGAGTTTGGCAAGTTGAGCTGCTGATACATTACAGGATCTGTCCAAACATCCAGACCTGCACTTCTTTGCGAGGTGAAAGCTTGTTTTATCCATCAGTACCATCCTATATGTGCTTCAACATTTTTGGTAATTGCTTCAGATACATTTCTGGGGAGATGTATGTCACCAGAATAATTTATCTTTATGTAATTCTATTACTTTTATTACAATCTTGGTTATCAGAGTGTCAGAATGTTCTTGTTGTGCTAACTCTTCATATCAAATTACACAGAAAACCATCTCCCAAGTGCTTTAAGTTAATCATCAGAATATTATCTAAGCTATTAAACTGTGTCCCTATAATACATGCTGTGGGCTCTTTGGCATAGTTGAGATTTTTGCTGCGCTGAGGGTTTTTAAACTGTAAAGAAATTCAATAAGGACAAATTTCCCAGTTTGTAGTCTTGTTGAAGCCATAGATTAACTTAGATAGAGCTTATCTCATTAAAAAAAATGATGGTCAGGAATCTGAATAAGTCTCACAAGTGTGCAGTCAGCAGTATTTTAAGGATGGCGCTACAAAGCCTACATTATTCACAAGATCTCTAAAAGGAGTGGTAACACAAACTGGGGAAATTACAACGTTTGACCCACAGTTGACTTGTCTGCGAGACGCTGCATGTTCGTGCACTCACCTGCAGAACGACTGAGCTGTGTGTGTTGCTTGTGAAAAATCGAGTGTTTCCTGTCTTTGATGCCTGAAGGTGAGCAGAGATGCCCATATCACCATAGCCGAGAGCCACTTTCATGTGAGCGTCGTCGTCCTCCACGAGGGATCTATTATGGAAAAGTGAAAAAAAATAAAAGGTTGTTACTTCATGAAAGGTAGCAGAAACAAGTGCCTCTATCTAATTTTAGTTCACAGAAAATAGGACAGAGAAGGTCCCAGAGTGACCCTGTTTGAGGACAAATGGGTTGGTGGTAGCTGAGCTGTTGGACGAATCAACACCCAAAAGCTGAGGGTCTGAAAGCCTTTAGCAGGTGAAATATTGAGAGGGGGAAGCCTTCAAATACGGACCACCTCTCCTGTTGTATATCCCTAAAAAAGGCACATTGCATAGATTGATATAGATGCTTGTAAAAGTTTGTTTACATCCACAAAGTCACAAAGAATGAGACTCTTATCCGCACATGATGAACCTGGTATTGTGAATCAGGCTGTTGAATTATGGTTAATAAAGTCTGAAGCAAGATAAATCCACAAATGTCTTAAAATCTTGCATGGTTTCTCATGTTTGTCTAAAGAAGGTCACTTCCTATGACATTTGTGGCCTCCTGATCCTTAGTCTTGTGCCACTGTGAGGTCAAAAATAAATCCAAAATTTCCACAAAAGTTTTGTGTGGATGATCATTGTACCCGAAGAATGAGTCACAGTATCTTAGTGAGACCTTCACCTTCAGTTTGGTGCCACTCTATAAATCCCACATGAGGAGCTGTGGCTCAGAAACTACAGCAGATCTTTTGCTATTCAGTCAAAGTGCTCTTACACAAACCGGGAGCCTAAAATGACAATTGGACAGACTGCTTTGGACCAGGCAGGAGGACTCTGCTGGGTGTGGATTCTATGAGCCACCTAAACATAGCTCCAGGAAATATTAAGAGACCATTCCTACTTTTTTTTTTTTTTTTTAAATCAATCCTGATTCAGCGTCTGCTGACTTTCAACACAGGTACAGCTGATTCCACTCAGTGTTGTTCTGATTCACCCGGTAAACCATGAACAAAGCCAATAAAACAATGTTCATTTCAGTCAAAATACAAACTATAAAAAGTCAAACCACTGAGGAGACTAAATATTTTCAATGGGGACTCAATTTTATAAAAGGTTTTGGCCCAAAATGTGTACTTGATTTATAATCAAGGGATCTTACATTTTAAAAGAAACTCTGATGAGTCTTTCAAAGCCTCAGGAAACAATCTGCTCTGTGGGAACATGATATTACTGTTTTTCCTCATATCTACCAATCCCTGTGATGTTTCGGTGCTCTAGGACAGTCTTCCTAAAATGTAATGCTAAGTCCTTAACTGCTCCACAGAGAGTGAACGTGAAAAGATGTCAAGTGTGACTCAGGGCCCCCGGGGAAATACTCCGGGGATGTTGGTACGTTTCGTGCTGACAATGCTGACATTAGAGAATGAAGCTCATTTGGGTTTTAAAAAAAAAAAAACAACAGTCTGTGATTCAACAAAATCAGCGGCACATTAGTCATCTGCTATCAAAAAAAGAAAAAGATAACTTGTCTCCAAAGTGTTAGATCATAAGCAAACAGAGTTGAATTCCCTGCTTTGCTCCCGTCTAAAAGGAGTGAGATTGATGTCTGTAAAGGAACTGGCCTTGGTAAAGAGAGTGTAATTATCAAACAAAAGATATGGAAACATCCCATCTTCACAAACAGCAGCAGCAGCTCTTGAAAAAGGTAGGCTGGTATATTTAAAGTAAGACAATGAACTTCAAGTCAAGTCGAAAGAAAGGAAGTGTGACTGATTAAAAAAAGTGCCTTTACTTGGTTGTTTTTGGAGACAGGAGATACTCAGACAGTAGGGCTTAAAAAAAACAACAGCTTTTACAAAAATTTATTTCAACCACTGATTAAAACGACAGCTTAAAGCAGTACAGCTGCTTTTACATGCAATCTACAGAGATGACAGCGTAGTCAACGAAAGCGACTTGAAAGCCAGTCACTTTCAGATGAAAACTGGCCTGGTTTTGATAAAATATTCTTTTGCAAAAATGTCGAGCTCAGCACAGCAGTAAATTTATGTCTTCAAACAGGCCCGTGAGCAAGCAGGGCTTGTCAGATCTGAGAGACTAATGGTTTTTGGTTGGACTACTTATATAATTAGGCAACTCTAAGTCCTTGTGTGGATGAACATTTGATTTTTTTTTGTGGTTAGCAGAGTGGTTGTATCATTTGTAAATGAATGTCCCTTGAGTTTTGCCAGGACTTTGTTCAGTATTTCTGAATAAAACATCGCTTTTTAGGGGCTTTTTGGCTTTAAAAGTTGCCAATCAACAATCTGAAGCTCATCCATTTACATATGAGATGCACTTGTTCATGAAAATGTCAGATTTGGACGATAATGGGACATTAGAAACATAAAATACACCAATTAAAAAAACTCTTTTCCTTTCCTGATTCGTCACAACGGCAACAATAAAATAAAAAAACAAGTGTAAATTTGTGCACATGTGATGTTACTTCTCAGAGACTATCTAAATGAACTTATTGATGTAGTAAACTGGGTCTTTAATAGTAAGGAATCTTAATCTAACATTACAAAACATTAATCCTTTTCAACGCATGCCTATTTAAGAGTAATCAGGTATAATGGTTTGTTCCTCTGTTACATAAACACTGCTCAGCTTTTGCAATCATGTATAGATAACATGGTACATGTTGGATTAGACTAACATTGGGAGTAATCTCAGATTAATCTGATGATCGCAGCACAGATGATCAGTATCTAGTTATAAATATGATACTGAGAGAAAGATGGGAAGCCAGATATGTTTTTCATTTCCTAATGGAGAGAAGAGATCTGATGTTAAACTGGTGTCGTTACATCAGGACACAGCGCAGAGATACTTGGCCATAAAGGTTCAGAACAAGGTTACTTTATGGCGAAATCAATAATCTGCAACTGGATTTATATGTTATTTCTACCATAGTGCTGGCCCCTCTCATTCAGCCATGAGATTAACGACAGCAATCGAGGGGAACCTGGGAACTAGAAAAAAAACAAATGTCCAATTCAGCCTTCTACCATAAACAAAGCTTTACTTAATGTCTCCACATGAGAGTGGATTTTACCTTATTCTCTACTTTTACTATAAAAGCAAAACTTTAAGTCCAAAAAGAAGAAAAAACAGGTCGCAAAGTTTTAAGTTAAGAGTTTTCTTCTATCATTCTGAGGTCAATATGTAAGAAAACATCCACACTGTGTAAACCCCAGTCACATCCTGGACCCAATAATGCCACCAAAGCAAGTTTATTCTGATTGAAAGATGAAGATCATTTCATCTACTGAATTATGGGATGAAAAAAATTGCTTCACTCTGATGCTCAGAACCTCAAAGTAAAGCTGGGGTCACAGTCACTTCTCTTTGGCCTACATCTTTGGAGTTGAACCCACAATTAAGACACCGGCCAACTCAAGCCCCTTTCACACCTTCATCTCACTGCTGAAAATTTCATGACTTTATATGAGTGGGCGGCATGTGTGAACACGAACAGCTGAATCTATTCACCCTGACTTTTCCCCTGAGCAAAATGTCCACGTAAAGTCAGGGTGAGTGAATGTAAAGAACCAGTTAAAAGAGTCAGGGACGTTAACTATGAGCCTGGAAGTAGAGTGATGGGGACAGTCACCAGTGGTTCTCAACTGGTGGGTGCCAACCCAAAAGTGGGTCACGGACACATTCTGGATGGGTCACAAACAGCTGGTCAAAAAAGTAAATATTTAATGCGATTTTTATTAGATATTTGATATTTTCTGTATGCAACTTCAGTAGTTGTCGTCCTCATGTTGTCCCCTTCATGTGCTCTGAAATGCACTTTACTCAATAAAACAAGTGGATTTATGTTGAAGATTAGAGTCTTTAAGGTCTTCTTTTTTTTTGATAAAACATAAATTTACTTGGTTTGAATTCTATAAAAGTGGACCATGGGAAAATGTGGGTCCCAGAGTGAGACCAGTTGAGAACCACTGCTCTACACAAAACACAAAAACAGTCACCTATATGATAGTCAACCTCTCCCTCCCCTCACCACCACCTATAAACCAAACAGAGTATTTCAAGTGAGAGCCTGACAGGGACAATCCCCTGAATGTTTGGAAAGCAGTTCCTGGAAATACCATGGATGTCCTGAAAGTCCAAATAAATGTGTGAAAAGGGCTTAAGAGTCAACAGCAAATTTACTTGACGACTGTAACTTTGCCAAAGATATTCAGGAAGACATTGTGAATAAAACATTGAGAGAAGGTCAGCAGCAATCTAGCTGTCATTTCACATGCTGGACAACAACTACGAAACAGATAAAAACAGCAATGAGCACAAAAAATGGAGGTTTCTGCAACAAGAGGTATGAAAATCTACACTATGGTCTGAGCTACACATGCTCCAACAACATACTTTGAGAAAGATGATGGGAGGACAGAACTGGTACGTTTTACAGAGATGGTCATGGACTGAGTCTTAGAGGAGTTTGTAAACACCATCACTGAATGTTGAGTAGCTAACATGACTTTAACGGTGGTCACAAAAACACTGACACACACAGCACAGGCAATGTACTGGTAGGTTTACCCCGTCAGGTGGTAAGTCGGACAGGCAGCGAGGAGAGAGTGGGTTGTCCAAACCACAAAGGAGTGTTGGTGGCTGCCGGGATGAAACAAAGAAGACAACAGCTACAGCATCCCACATACAAGTTGTGCTCCTCGTAAAGAGAGCAGAGAGAGCAGAGAGACTACATCTCCGGCTGCCCCCATGGCATCGTGTTTGAAGATAATTATGACTAAAGCTCGAGTGCAGCTCAGTCCTGACTGATGCAAAAACCTGTCATTGAACATCAGAGAAAATCTCACTAACTAATAGCCTGTTATACGCCTCTAAATGACACCAATTATGAGTTTATTTCAGGGCTGCAGCAGTTTTAAATGCAGTTTTTCCTTCATACATATTTGGTTAAAATGATGTTTCCATGTTTCAGTCTGGATGAAAAAAAGATTTGAATGATAGTGTGACTCCCCAGCATTATTGCTGCTCACTTTTATAAACACATTCAGGAGAAACTACTTCTCTCTAACAGGGAATACTGCAAATTTACTCCCAATTTATCTTTGTTTCAGTTTGTAACAGTTTCAACAACAACACAGACCACAAGTAAAGTTTCAGGTGATCAATTTTAGATAATAATAAAAGCCTATAATCTCACTAACCCAGAGATCTATAATTGATCTATGGGTGTAACATCATATCTTGGATTTTGAGTGCGTATTTTGTTTTCGAACAGGCAGAGGTTAGGAAAAGAAACGGTTTGAGGAAATCTTAAGAAGTGGGGAGAGGAACTGAAAGATTGAAAACGAAGTATTAGAGATAAAAGAAACAAGTGTGGCAGTCTTTGCAGTCCCTTCATGTCACTGGAAAGCTTAAAAACATCCTTCTACCAGTGACAGTTCAGGAAGCTAAAGTCAACTTGGCTTCTTCCCCGGGATGACAGAGGAAGGGTCTTAAAAGATTAATGAGTGTATAGCTTTGCTGCGTCGTCATGCTTAGCCATGCATTGGTGGAAACTTGAATAATCTCATCGTTTTTAGGTTCTGAACATCTGAAGGACTCGTGCCGTGGTATCTGGAGCAAATACCTAAGAAGTTGAGAGGTGAAATACACTGTAAAAGAAGTCTGCAGCTGTGTCAAAGGGGAATTTCAGCGTCTTTTAGTGTCTATTTCACACACCCCGCAAGATAATTACAAAATTACTAAGCATGATGAATCAGTACTGGAGTAATACAGGGTTACACGTCTGTTCCTGGCCTCTGCTTTCAACAAACGCTTATTCACGAGACAGGAAAAGCGAACTTTAGGAAAACGCCACGAGTGAGCAGCACAAATGAAAAACTGATTACAGCCCATTTTTGTGCAAACGGCCTTACGTGGTCATTTAAAAGTTTCATCACATTTTGTCGTCGCTAACAGCTACGGTAGACTTATGTGACACTGTTTAAACATGAACACAGGAAGAGCCCGAGAGCAGAAAAGACAGACAATGAGGTGGCGGTGAAATTGGCAGAAAGGCAAAAAAAAAAAAAAAAAAAAAAAAAAAAAAAAGAGCAGCATCAACATTTTATATTTGAAGAAAAAGAATACCTCTGCCCCATTGACAAAAAGATCAAAGACTCCTACGGTCTGACTGAAGCTCTTGAAGCACTCCAGCAGCAGAATTCGAACCACGCACACACGAAAAAAAATAGAAAAGGCAGGAGAATGGGTGACCAGGTGCTTGGAGAAAAAAAAAAAAAAACGGACTCCACTTCCATCTGGAGTGATGGGAGTGGAGTCAGGAGGGAACTCCCTGTTTGTCCTGGCTCAGAGAAAAATGACAGAGGAGTGTTCTCAATCACTGAGCGCAGCAATGCAATAAGGCTTCATGTCAAACAGTTTCTACTCCTGAGAAAAAGACGTCTTTAAAAAGCTACTGCAGAAGCACCACTCGCAGAAATGTAGAAAACAGAGATAACTTCATGATGCAATGACCCTCTGCCTCATTCTGCTGTCAGAAAATAAAACTGCATAGGTAAATTGACTTTTCAAAGGAAGAATGTGACTTTCACATCACTATGGCAACAATACTATGACAACCACACTGCTCCATAGCAGCAGCAGCAGCAGCTTTAGTGAAAATCTATTAGCTAATAAGTTTATAAGCACAGTCTCATCTGATTTTAATATGGTTGAAGTTGCCAGTGAATATCATTGAAAAACTGTTGCTCACTTATCACTAAATCGCCTATTTGGAGCCCTTTGAAGTCTGGTTTAAGCCGTTTAACAGATGCTGTCTTCTTTATTAATCAATTCTGTGTTATCTGTTTTCTTATTTTTGAATCAGGCACTCCATGATAAAGCGTTTTAATCATCAAAAATAGTCCCCAGTGATGAACTGGAAGTTAAAATTTGGATATAAAACAATGCCATTGTGAAGTTCTTATCAAAGAAATTACTTCAGATGTTATGTAACATATTCTACCTTTTTATTCTCCTGATTTGGTTTTTGAATATTGCTCTGGTCTTAACAAAAATACAAATGAAAAACTCCTGCATTATTGAATGTCACCAGACTGTCTCCAAATTGATTGGCTCTTAATACTATGGTCTGGAATAAACATGGTTTTAGTCTTAGTGCGTTTACATGACACTTGAGAAAACAGAATTATTGCCTTACTCTGATTAAGACCGGATTACTGAAGTGCATGTGAACACCTTAGTCTGACTATAATCTGAGTTTGAGATCTCGGATTGGAGTTGGAGAACTCTGATTAAGACAGACATTGGAATTTGATTTTCTCTATCATGTAATCAGTGTAGTCGGAGTATGATCGGACAATGGACATGCGCGTGTGCCACGCCCCCCGTAACAAAAACACCAGAGAAGAGGAGTAGAATGCATCATGTACGACAAAAACCGCAGTACGATGCTCCATCTTCTTGCTTAAAAAGGCTCAGCAGCAGTTGTAGCCACTTCTGACGTCTGGCACGGACCTGCTGTTGTTGTTGGCGGTTGTATGGGGTCACTGAAAAGACCCAAATCGCCCCCTTGTTTTGGGGAGGAGGACACATTCACGTCAATAATTTAATTTTCTCAGCTGCATCATGTATACATGGACATGGAGAAAAGTCTGATTTGGCAAAAAAAATAACATAAGCTTAGTCAGATTAAGCTGTGCATGTAAACACACTGAGTGATGTCACCCATCGTTTTTGAAGCTCGACAAAAGGTGGTTTCCATATTCAAAATGCTGAAACCTAATTTTTAGTTGAACAAGCAAGAAGCAAAGAGGTGGAGCTGTGAACCAGACTGCAAATATTTATTATTCAGCTGAAAAAAGGGCATTTTTGTACAGATGTTAGTATAGTTGCTTTGGCTTTTTGAGCTGACCTACAGTGGACCCTTGAAGAACGGCAGTTTTTCTATGGCTTCAGCAGTTAATATCAGAGGTTAGCCCTCACTCAAAACATGCCGTACTTTTAAAAATCTCTGCAATAGTGACTTGACAAGCAGAGTGACCAGCTAGGCCATCAGCAGCCTCTTATGTCTAATTTCCCTGAGAGGCATTTGCGTTGCTTTCGCTCATTACCAAGCTCACACCAAAGCTTGTGTTTCCACCGAGTGTTGTGGTGCATCTCAGCTCCAAGCCATAAGTGTCTGCCTGCTCTGCTTTGCCCAAGATTCATGCCAGGGCTGATTTCAATGAAGCCTGGGCCCAGTTCACTCAATTGAATGAAGAAAATTAACCTGGACTGCAAGTCAAACACAAGGACGGCATATTTACCAACTGGTCAAGTCCCAAATAAATACCATGCACTGACTCCTAGCAGTATACCACAATGCTGAAAGCACTAAAGTCATATCCAAATGAGCACTAGATGTACCGCAGGCAGGTCTGTTAACTAGTTGTTAATACATTATTCTATGTAGACTGAGAATGTTTCAAACATGCTCTAAGGTTCCCAAGATGGGGTGCACACGCTTCCTATGGATTTCAGAAGTTATACACAGCCTATAAAGGACAAGAGTGCTCTGCCTCTGTTATGTGGTCTATGTAAAAGGTCTAGAGGCAGAATGGTGGGTGAAGTTCCTCTGCTGCTGAGCCATGATTGGCCAATGTCTCAACTCACCAGTCACAATGCTGAAAGTTTTTCCTACACCAGTAAAAGGTTGTAGCTCAATATATGAATGTCAGATTGAAACAGAGCAGAAAATGTCTGTGTATCTGCAAATTCCACAATATCCTGTATTTTGAATATGATTATATTTTTATCACCAAAGTCTGGATATTATCTGTTTTACTGTTTGTGTTTGTATCACTTTATATGGATACCAAAACAATAAAGATTCTTCACATTAAGATGAAGCAATTTCATTTCTTTGACACTCTGTCCCTTTTTTTTTCTCTCCAACATATAAAATTTACAGAGAGAAACACAGGTAGAATTTTTTCCCACACCCAACAAAGTTTGGCCCAGCTCCATTTCATTTTCTCCAACTGCACATGGCGAGAGGCAGGAAAGCAGTAAAGACAAGAGTTGTGGGGGCCTTAAAATTCATCTCTCATACCGTCTCGATTCCATCAAACAGACTTTGGTGCCTCTGAAATGTAAAACTGAGTCTGGTGGAAGGGTTGCAATAAAAAAGGTAATTTTTTCACCACAATGAATACAGATATTCTCAATGTGCCAAAATATAAAAATGAGCGATGCATGGTCTATTGAGTTGAGAAGCACCCCTTTCATTTTCATCCATTCATAAGGCTCCAGTGGAAAGGAAGCATCATCACTATTCAGACTGTTTCAAACATCTGTGGCCCATGTGTCTTACAAATGTTGTGTGCTCTGCCCTTTCAGATGAAAATTGGCACTTCCCTAATTAATACTCTGGGCTTAACAAAATGAATGGATAACTGTGATGTACTATTCAAAGGCTTGAAGGTCACTCTTTGAAATGCTGGGAACCAAATGCGGAAAAATTCAGATTCGAAATTGGATTTATCAAAGAACGAGGAGCATGATTTTTAAAAAGGTTTCTAAAATGACTAAAGCATTTAAATATGTCAGCGCTAACAGGGGGTTAAAGTACCATGAAAATCGACGAAAAGTCACAAGCGACATGAAACAACACTTAAACGTTTAAACACAGCTCCGGTGTGACGTGATGATGTTGCCTCACTGTTTCCAATCTGCAATAGTCTCCTCGCATTCAGCTGAAACGTATGTTCATGTTTACAAACTATTTGTACCTCACTCTGTCCAGAATAAACTATCAACAGTTTCTGGATAATTGCTTCAATCACTGCGAATAATCTTAGCAATGTGCACGCCATAATGAGTCTGTAATTACATTTGATAATCAAAGAGCACTTTAAGGTCAAGGTTTTCATTAAATCAGGCAGGAGGAATAAATGAGTACTTAAAATTGGATTTTTTTAAAAAAAGAGAACAGTTTCAATGCTCACCACAAGCGAACACAAGTTAAGCCAAACACGCCTCACAAAGTGTTTGCGTGTGGGTGGAGCAGACAATCTGTCAACATGCACCAAATGCTTAATCAACCTGAAGGATGCTGTAAGCAGGAACACGACCCAGCTGAGTCTGTGTAAGCCAAAAGGACAACTACAGACTCATTTGTGAGAGATTTTGCATTTTTTGTTAAAGATATAGCCACAAAGTAAAGTGAGATGTGTGGCAGGTTAAGAACTTGAAATTATTTAGCATATGTAGACATAGCAGGAGATATTCATGAGAGGTTTAAGTAGAGAGATGTGTCCCCACTATGAGAGACTATGATGTCTGAATTCACAACAAGCAGCTATGTAGGTAGAGGAAGTGAGTTGAGGATAAAACAAGTGTGAAAAACTTTAAAGGAAGCAGCAAAATATAAAGACATAACTGTTAAAGAGTAAAAGTGGTGTTAGCTTGACCTACTGATAGAGGTTAAATATCAGACATCAGAATGATCTACTTAAATTGGACTTTTGGGAACCTCAGCTGGCAGACTGGATCCAGATTTGTTTTTCCAGTAGAGTCTTTTAACCTGCAGTGACAGATTTCTTTGGATTAGTGTTCTCTCAGGGCTTGACTGCAACGGTTGTTCGGATTTGTCCAGCTGCCCTGCAGATTTCTTCAGGGCCAGCAAAGCTATTATTAATTTTACAAGTCACGCTTATTTTTGGCAGTCTGAAGTTGTCTGTTCTTCTTCCGCACTGCTTCTGACAGCTGGACAGGAGCAGAATAAATCTGATTTGATGCACCCATTGAGGGAGGTCAATCAAGATCCTGCGATGCATGGAGCTGTTTTGTTTTGTTTTGGTCTGACGTAATGCAGGCGACTGGATGATGAAGTTGGGGGAGTATCACCGTACAGTTGACCGATGTTTAGGTATGAGTGGGCGAGTGTATCTCACAAAGACATGACAGTTTCACCTGACTGAACTAACCTGATGCTTTGCCAGCCAGACTGCCTGCCAGCCTGCCCATACCTCTTCTCCGGCCTTTCAGACAAAATAAATGATCCCTGGGTGGCCGTTGCATTTTGTTCAAAACGGCCACAAGTCAGCAAGAACTAAATGTCCATTTAGCAGGGCAGGGTAAATTAAAAGCTCCACAACAGTTCACTCAAGTTTTTTATTTTATTTTCACAACAGCTACGCACATGTCTTGGCTGAATGCTGAAGTGTGTGCGCACCAGATAATACGCCTATACTGATATGAAAAAGGTGGCATGATAGTGGCCTTATTTAAATTCCATCAAACTCAAAGAGGATAATTTCATATCTTCTGCTTTCTCAACAGTCCAGACGGATGTGTTATGGTTCAGATTATATGTTATTTTACATCAATGTGACAGTAAGTATTAATCTAGCCTTAAATAATTCCGTTTTCATAAAAACAGACGGAATGCAAGATGCCTTGAGAGAGCGGTGGTGCATTATTAAGTCACACAGAGTTTAAATAAAATTCATGACAGCTTGAGTCTTTATTTTTGATGCAGAAATCTAAAACTACTGTCTTTAGCACCATCAGATTAAACGGTAGAACTGGTCTTTACATTAAATTAAATAAGCAGGCTATAAAATCTTGGTACAGCAAGCAGGCAGCCCTGACAGATACTTCCTGGATCATGATGTTCACATCAATAATACAGACAGTGCTGTGAATACTAAAATAGCTATAGCATAACTTACAAAACTTTGTTATAGTTTGGATCGGAGTGCTTCAAGAAATTACAGTACATCAAGACAAGCAAAAATACCATCTCAGGAGCTAAAAGAGAAATCAGAAAATCAAAAAATGAAAAACACATAGAAGGAGAATTTTACAGAATATATGCTGTTTCAGTTCAGTTATTCGGTTTTAGCTGATAGGGCACAATGGATGATTCTCTGCCTTCAACCAAAATGGAGAAACTAACAGCAGCTCTGTTAGTGTGACAACAACCCTGAAAGACACACAGAGGACGTTTCAACGCTCTTAAAAAAAAAAAAAAAAAACCTTTATTACAACAGCCCGACTGAAACTGGGCCTGAAAAAAAATGCATGTAAACACATGAACAGTAAGTGTAGCATGTGTAACTTCTTTATGATTCAGTATTATAGTTTTAACATCTCTGCTGGCATATCACTCCTGACCGAGTCTAATTAACACAAATCACACTGTGAAATATCTGCTGGGGCCCTGGTGAGCGATACTACTGTTTTATGTATCTTTAACCACGAAAAATGACTTCTTTGTGAATGAAAGTTGATGTTCAAAGTCATAGTAACTTAAAATCTTATTAGATTTGATGACAGCTGACAAATGAACCCTGAACTCTGTTGTTTGAAAATACATGAGCTGTTTCACTCATCACACAAATTCATTCATGTTGCTAAAGAAGGAGCTTTCACAGAACTTGATGTAAACTAATACAGGGTTTTCTTTTTTTTTTTCCCCCTTCAGAGATTGCAAGAACTATGTGACAGCAGGAGCACAGGGGGCCACTCAGCAGAGGCAGAAGGATTTGACAGCCACATGAGATGTGAAGCATCCAACATTTGCAGAAATCTGTGACTTTCAAAGCTTTCGTTTTACTTATAGCTGTACAATCTGTACTGAGCCCAATCTGGTCACACTGACTTCAAATACAGTCTCACTTTATCCACAGCACTGGAGACATTTTTCAAGACCTTGTGGTTTTGTGTAAAGTCTAAAGCAGCCGGCTTGCTATGAGAGGAAGTTTTATACCGTGTTTTTTTCTTTCAAAACACAAAATATAAAATCAGTAAAAGCAGGGGGGGGGGGAGCAGCACACAGCTGTAGACAGACAAGGGACATGGGGAGAGGAGAAAGACATCCAACATTTGCAAGCGGTTTCTGACTGGAATCGAACACTCTTTGCTGCAGTTAAGGCCGCTGACCCGCTGAGACGCCTACAAGAGGTGATTACTAAAGACAGCAGTCACACATATTAAGTGCTTAGTACTAAACCAATGTGAGATGAGGGGTAGCATTTATTTTAAAGATAAACTCAGTGACGTACTGAGCTAAAGATTAGTCCCTGAACCACACTGACTGCTAGCATGAAATCTGCACCACATACAGTTCACCGGTCCATCAGTAGATTTGTGCTGTTTCACAACTGGGAAGAATAAAGTGCTAAAATAGTCTTAATTATTGATTCAGCACATATGTCAGATACCTTGTAAAACCCTTTTCCTGTATCCTCTATCATTCTGGAGTTTTGGCTGGATATAGATAGATTAGTCTGGGAGCATACGAAGTTAGAAATGACTCCAAGTCAAACAGACAGAGGCACCACTCCAAGGGCCTATAAAGAGTGACTTCTCCCTGACCACACAGTAACCTATAATTGGGGGCCCAATATCAGCCAGCTCAAAAACACAGCTTACAATATACACGTTTCAAAATAGTAAGTGGTAAGGTGGGGCAGAGCCACACTGGGCAGAGTAAGGTGGAACCTCAAGGCTTGAAAAAACTTTACTTGCCAGTGTGTGTGTGTGTGTGTGTGTGTGTACACAGTCTCGAATGGAGACACGCAAGCACAGTTTGCTGCCACTTCAGAGCACTCACTGCATTCAAGTCCTGGCATTGAAGAGGCAACACAGCTCAAAATGACACAAAGACATGCTGGTGTGATGGTTCCCTTTTCTGTTTTAAACAATACTGTTTGTAAAATAAAGAAATAGCTCTGTATAAACAATGCATAGAGTCAGTGAGTCTTGATTCACGCACTAACAAGAAGACACGCCAGCACTTACTATAATGATCATATACAAGAGTTGAGTCACACCATGCACTGACAGAATGATGTCTTTAAAAAAAAAAAATCGAGTTGAGAAATAAAATTCCACGAAGCCAGAATGATACGACAAAAGATGACTTATTGAGACGAAAGATCCTGGGAAGGAAAACAGCTGAGATTACTCTAAAAACATACAGCAGATATCATCTCTGAGGTGTTTCTAATGGAGTTTTTAGGACAATACAAACATTTACTGTGCTTCTACAGAAACACCATAAACTCAGTCAGCATTTTCATTACGGTGCACAGCTGATGTATTTACAGGCCGACTTTAGAATGGAATATTTAAACCCTATATCTATACCCTATACCCTATACAACCCTAAATATTGAATACTCAAAATCCATTATTTAAACAAGAGTGACTGAATGACTAGCTGTGTGTTTTTCTGATGTAGGAATAAAACTGGGTTGAGGAGTGAGAAACTAGTGCTTTCCTGTAAGGCTATTAAGGTGCCCTTGAGTAAGCCCTTAACCCCCAAACTGCTCCAGTGGAGCTTCTGTATCCAACTGATAAGACTAAGGGTGCACTGGACAGCTTCCAGGTGTGATTTTGTGTGACTGTGAGTGTGTGTATGTGAGTGTGTGTGTGTGTGTGACTGTGTGTGGGGGAGGCAGGTCTAGCCAAATTAGCATGATTAAATCGAGATTAAAATAATGATTTCTAGTCAATAGCGCCAATCCTGAAGCATAAATCATGTCTTTTTGCTGAGCTTACATAGTGACACCATTTCGTCTAGATCTCTGTGAGCTACCTAGATGGTAATACTGTTGGATCAATGTACAAACAGATTTGTAAATTTAGAATATGTTAGGATGGACCTGTTCTCCAGTTTACAGGTCAAAGGAAATACGCGAAAGCAGCGGTATTAGAGCGTAGATTTATCTCGCTGTGATGTTCAAAATAAACTAGTAAAACCTACAAAAATTGAGCTCTTAAGCTCATAGTCATTATAAAATCATGATTACTCGAGAGTATGTGCATCTGTTATTAAAAAATAAAAGCTTTTCAGCAAATGAAATTACCTGTGCGCAAGCTACCAAGAAAACTGTGTGTATGTATGATTGTATGTGTGTGTGTGTGTGTGTGTGTGTGTGTGTGTGTGTGTGTGTGTGTGTGTGTGTGTGTGTGTGTGTGGTGGTAGCGGTGGGGGGAGGTCAAGATTTTGGTTCTGGCTTTCTGTAGGTCATGTCGCTGTCCAAAAGTCACACCCGGCACTTTTCCATTCTAGGGGAGCTCAGGAGAAAGGGGCTAAAGAGGGAGGATGTCGAGAGGCTGTGAAAAGCACTTCCATGCTACCCTCCCCCCCTCCTGAACAGTAGCAGATGACAATAGCTTCTAAACCAGGGCACGCCAGACATCCTGACAAAGGCAGGCTCCTCCCAAGCTGCTGAGTCCCTGTTCCCAAATAAACATAGCCACAGGGAGAGGGCAGGAGTCGGGGATGTGCTGCTTGCCACGGCCAGACTAGCGGCAAAATGAGTCCTTCTGCCTGAGAGCAGAGCATTCTGCCAGCGAACCATGAAATGCATGCTGGACAAGGTAAATCTCTTGACACATTACAACCCTCAAATCGAGTTCTAATTAGGATTTCAAGAAAAAAATAAGTACAACATAATCATAAAAAAAATAGTAATTATCCAAAACTGACGAGCAAACCTATCCATCTCCATATGCATAACCACAAAGAAATATCTGAATGGTATTCAAGTCTTACTCACATGTAGGCAGGCGAAAGGGGTGAGGACCTGGATGTCTTAAGGACTGGCACTGGGAATTTCCAGCTGACAGGAGAACCGCTTTTCCATTTTAACGGCATGTTGTTGTCACCAGAATGGTGCTACAGCAACACCAACAGCAAAGACCATTTCCATGAAAAGGTTCCCAATGCAGTCTTCCATCCCACTCTGCCCACACCATTTAAGGGGGAGGGAGAGCAGCAGTGGCAGCGGCAGCAGCAGCAGCAGCTACAGAAATACACTGGCAGAGGCAGTGCAGGTTACCATCAGGGTTGTGACTTTAGCGGCAGCGCTGAGAAGCCAATAGATTGCATCCAACAGAACTACTTGCCCTGCTGCATTCAGGTTGTCTTGTGGAAGGAGGGGGAGGAAGCCCAGCCTTCCCATCACCCTTTCAGGGTTTGTGTTTAGCCCAGTAGCTAAGCAACAGTGCCACCTTGTTAAAGAAGTGGTGATTACAGCTCTGGACTTGCTGTGAAAAGGCTCATAAGAGAGATACGGGATAAAGGCAGAGAGGAAAAACTATCACAAATAAAATATATATATAAAACACATTTAAATTACTTTGAATTAAAGCTCCAATGAAGAGTTTTTGCACATGTATCGAATAGACTCAAATTCATCTTGATGCCTTTTAATGATGTACAAAATCAACCAAAGCTGTCAGTGACAAGACTGGCAATTTGTACACATTAACTTTTCTTGTCTTAAATCTGTGCAAAGGTGTAAGCCTCAGCCTTGCAGCTTAAGAAATTGCCATTTTTACAGTTTCCATTAAAAAATATGTACAATAAATACTACCTTTGACCATCAAAAATCAGTGGGATGAGACTTTTTGTCATATATGACAACTCAAGCATCTACCTGACAGGATAAGTGAAGACTGCTTTGTCCACTGGGGGCGCCAAAAATAACACGACTCAAAGGTTCCTCAGAGGAGAGTTAAGAGCACTTTCCATATCCGAGGGTTCAAGATAATCTTAGTGGAGGTCAATGTAGGATTCAAGTCTGCAGTAATTTTTAAGAACTAAACAAGATAACTGTCAAGACAAGATGTTTTAACTATTCAGTGATTCTCAGTTTTTCCATATGCTCAGTAACTTTACATCCGGTTTGAGAGATATGAGCACTTCAGACTTGACTCAAAGGAAAATTTTAAGATGATCATGAAAATTAAGATAGATACATTGGCTCTATCACTTCTGAAAACAACTTTGTACTTATTATTTATGACAGCTAAAAATAAAGGGCAGAATGAGGGCAGTCAGACACAGTTAGCCCGAGTCCACTCAATAAAAAGCATTAAGTGTGAAGGAACACATTTAATTTTGATGAAGAAGACTACACATACTGCTCCAAAGTACCATTACTATTTTCAAAAACTTCACTGTTGGAAGTTGTACAATCCCCAAAACTAGACTGCCTGTTGTCAAGACAAAGTACACTGTGTTTTGATTTGGGAAATGTGCCTGTGGGAGCCTGGTACTCATTAAATCATGTTTTGATTTATCATTATTGTGCTATAATTAAACTGTAGGGCCGACAGCATTTGAACTGACAATAAACAGTTGACAACATGTCAAACTCGCCAACCAGGAGTTATCACTGAAAATGTTTACCAAGCAACACTTAAAGGTCCTTTATACATCGCCTGCTCAAGGCAGGACTATGACAGCTTGACATTTATGTAAATGTTATGGAGGTGTAACGGTAGAGCCAGCACTGGATGTATAAGAGAGGCAAACCAGGGTTCATATAAACAATAGAGCCGACAGGACAGAATAAAGAATAAAGTTTGTGTGCGAGCAAAGTGTTTCCTTGCTGTCTTTTTTATTTTCAAGTTCTGCAACAAGCTCCCCTATGCACAAGTCATCACACCTATGCACTTCAGTACTGATCTTGCAACAGCGCGATATTGGTGTTTCAATGTGTGATTTTACAGCATGTTAATATGGTGCTGCGGAAATACCAGTTTAGATTCACAGCAAGAGTGTCACATACGCACACTCAAGACGTGCACACACACAAAGCACTGCCCCCCCCTGCAATCTCTGCAGGTTCACAGTGATCCAGACTTGCCATGTGACGCCTGTATTAATACCTTAGATGCCCGCACAGCAGTCAGACAATTTGGCCCCGCCATTACGCATAAAGGTGAGACGTCAATGGTGTGCCTTGATCTGCCAGTGTGAAAAGTTCTTGTTTCTTTCACAATACAGCTTTTGAGCTTTTAAAACACTGCATCACTGTGCAAAATCACACACTGGGGAGGCATTATTAAGATGTTGAGGAGTTCAGTAACAAAAAAGGCGTAGTAGTGACGGCAGAATTTCATTACTGTGCTGAAGTAGGAATCTGATTGTGAACTAGGCCAAAGATTCAGCTGCAAAGGTAGGCCATGGACACACAGAAGCTGCATGGTCTGTGTTAGCTCACTGTTGTTATAGGTCAGCTTGTCTGCCATGTTGGCTGTAGCAGGTCTGCTGTGTAAACAAATACAATTCAGACGTCAAAACTGTGAGTTCTGTGAATAAAAAGCACTAACAGTAAGATTCAGTTGATTTTTATTTTCAATTATTGATGTTCATATAAGTAGCAGTGATGATGACTGTCTTTGAACTGGCAGTGAAACAGCTTTTGATCTACTCCAGGGCAGAAAATAGTAGACAATATATACAATGACGTCTAATGGTTCCCAAAAATCTGCTGTGGGAGCTTTGAGCTATACACACTGAAACCATGTTTTGAACCAGGCTATAAATGGGTTTATTTTTGCTCCAAAAACAGACTTTTGTAGCTTAGTGTGTATGTGGTTTCCAGTAAAACCTGCACTTGTTGAAATGCAAGTTTAGCACTCCTGCACTGACTTCATTTCTCAAGACTGGAGGTTGCTGCTTGGTACGTACATCTCTCCAGGATACCACTACTAATAAGGTGACATTGTTATATGTGATTCAGCTGGTCAATGCAGCGTCTATATTTGTCTATGTCAGGGGTGGGCAACCATGTGCCATGGAAAGCCGAGAGGCTGCAGGTTTTCTTTCCGACCCAAAACTCCACCAGGTGTTTTCACTGATTAGTCCCTGCTCTCTGCTTGGTGGTAAGGTAATCAGTGAAATCACCTGGTGGAGTTTTGGGTTGGAAAAAAAATCTGCAGCCTCTCGGCCCTCCATGGCACATGGTTGCCCATTCCTGGTCTATGTGCTCTGCTATCCAACACACCAACAACAAGCCAGACTTTCCAGTGTCCACAAGTAAACAAAAAACAATCCAAAAGTACCGATATATTTTATATAAAAATTAAAGTTCAGAATTAGAGTCTTCCTTGAATTATCTTGCTCTCCTCACTGCTGTGCTATTTTTTGTGAAAAGCAGTCATGTCTTCACCAAAATATCTCAGACAGCTGACAGACACAACATATGGATGTTTATTTTCATGGTTTTACAGAGTTTAATCAAACTGAGTACAAAGCGACAGTTAAGTGTCTTAAAAGGTGTTTGATCGAATTAAAAACAGTGTTAGAGATCAGTGACCACTCCACTGACACTGGCAGAAGTCTAGATAGAGGGTGAATGATACCCAACAAAGGCTATGTTGAGGGTTCAGTGAGGAAGATTTCATTCAAAATGTTGCAAGGCCATACTGGTGGGCAAAAGAATTTACAGAGTTAAACTCAGCCGATAAATCGAACAAAAAAGAATATACAAAGCTTGAGTGAAAAACTTCAAAGCCTGCATACTTTCCCACCCCCACAAAGCTGGCAAATCACAGGGTGAAGGCTGTAAATATCAGACTGCTGGTTTCTCTGAGCACAGAAACTGTCAAACACAGCCCCTGCAAATGTGGTGGTGGACAGGTCTGAGGAGGACAGGAAGTTGTTCAGACTATTTGACCTCTTAAGGATAAAGACACAGGTGTCTCAACCATAGAAGCATCAAGTTGCCCCTTATTTCTCATATTATTTCAAACTGGTTGTAATAACTGAGATTAAAGAGCTGAAAATCATGTGGTAACCAAAAAAAAAAATCATATCTCACTGAAAACAGAAGCTGTCGTGCCTTGGGTCTCACCCCGCTTTAATCAAATCAATTAGATTTGTTGGATTATTGTGCCGGAGATTAGGAAACAGCAGCCTCTGATGTGATTCATAATTCTATAAAATATGCAAGGTCATGTGAGGTAGAAGTCAAGCTGTAAATGGTACTAAAGAGCCGAACAACTTGGCCACAAGACTCTGTCTTTGCCAAGTGTTGACACGGTCAGCATGTTGAAGCACATGTAACGGACAGTATATTTAAAACAGACTTTCCAAACCTAACAACCTGATGTGGACGCAGCTCTTTGCAGTCTGTCCTGTTGGATTTAAAAAGCTCCATTTGTCCAGATTATTTGTGCCTATGTGGACTTTCAAACATGCTGCATGTGTGTACAAAGGCCAGTCTGTGGGGGATATTTCTGCATATGACATACACCTGACCTCTCCAAACCCCATGATGCAACCCATACCATGATGGCTGCACTGACGGATTTCTCCCCTCACACAGTGTGCGAGCAAGAAAATCACAAACCAGCTAATGCAGATTAACTTTTTTTTAATTATTATTATTTTGATTATGTTTATTATTTTTATGACTGTGATTATATCATGTTTTTTTTCCTTCACAACTTTCCAGACAGCAGATTTGGTTTATGAATCCCCGAGGCAGTCTAGATTATACACACAAACACACAAAGAGCTCCATCCTCATGACAATTTTGTGATCACATTTCCCAGTATCCACAGCGTACACTGGCAAATGGTAGAGTGACCTTGCTTCTATACTACAAGGGCAGCAGTCATGCTGTCCATTCTGTTAAAGCCTAAGGGCTCAGCTCTACACCTGTTACTCTCAGTTCTGCAATTCATACAAAACTACACACTCCCCATTCAGACATCTATTTCTAAATAACGCCAATAGCTGTATTGTTCTTCGTTTATTAAAGTAAGCGACAGGTTGTTTCAGTATTTGTTGTTGATAACTGATGCCATGGATAAGGGATCTGCACTTTTTCCCCTTTACTGTCTCACCCTCAGACCCACTGCGGCTTCACAAACTAATATTTGTCTGCAGCCGAATGCGTCACCTCATCTGTCATTTTCGCTCATAGTGGAAGTCAACGGCAGCAAACTGGCTAGAGATAGCAAGTGCCATTGTGTGATTTGTGTGGTGTTGATAGTAATCTTGATGTGTGAATGCTACTCTCCTGTCCTGTTATATATTGCTGATATCGCGTTGGAAGTTGGAAGATAAAGCGCATGATTCTTCCCTGTTTTTCATCAGATTGCATTTGATATACTTCATCATATCCAAGAGGAAATTTGTCACGGGCAGTGGTGTAAAAGAAATATGTAGCAGAGTGTAACCTGATGTAGCATAAAAGCAAACAGAGTGGACTGAGCACCTTAAAAACAAAAATCAAGTCCAGCCAAAAGAGATTTTCAGCCCTGGCTGACGTGGTTACAAATTGGCCCAGTTAAAAAAAAAAAACTATTCCAGACTTTCAAAAACAGCAAAGGTATATAGTGACAGCATAGAGTGGCTACTGGTAAATATTAAAAGTCAGACAGCCAACATAAAAAGCCTTTCAGATGTGCAAATTTGACACATCGAGCAGAAAATGTTCATATATTTTAAGTCACTGCCTTTCACACATGGTCTCCAACCCTGAACCAAACTTCACATGGAGGATTCCTGTTGGAATACAAATGCATGAACCACTTGTGAAAACAGTGCCAGCTGCTTTGTGCAAAACTCAAATGTTTGTGAAAACAGAAGGTCAGTGCCTGTAGAATCCACAGCGAGTAAGCGGGAATAAATAAAGTTCTTCTTATCTTATCTTAAAAGGCAGTAATGATTTTACAAAGAGTAGATACTTAGTACTCTCTTCTGCTAACCTGGATATTTCTTTTTTCCCCCTTTCATTCATGTTTTTTCCAACTGTTGAACATGTTTTACTGATATTAAATTCAATATCACGATTATCATCAGTAGCAGGTCTCTTTTTCCCTACATTATACTCTGACACCACCTTTCCTCTAAACCAAATGAGTATTTCTAGTGGGCAAGAATGGGTCTTAAATAGATAATCTCCTGCTTGTGCGGGATCAATGCTCAGCACATTGTAGAGACTGATTCTCTAAACACTGTCTTGAGTTTATGTAAGAAAGCAGAGACAGACTATTACACATTCTCAAGACAGGTCATTGAGCACCAGGGCATTACTGCCTTTCTTTCTAATAATCTTATCTGGGATTACCTGATTAACACCTCCTTCACCAGGTGGAAGCTATTTCCCAGTCAGGACCAATATCAGTGCTGATAAACAGGCACTGTTTACAATACAAAAGCTCAGCTGTGTTTATATTTATACTATTTGTTTGGAAATACTCATATTGATAAAAGAAAGCCATTGACTATGTTCGAAAATATAAAAAGCTGCTGAAATGAGATTATGTTGCTGATTCAGGACAATTACTCACATTTAGGCTGATGAAATAAAAGAAAGTAAGACACTATCCAATACCTGTCATGTAGTCCGATGGGCATTGTCTCCCCTCTGTGTACAGGGTGCTCCATACCCTCGCCAAAACCACACCTCAAAAACAGAAACAAAGTGCTCTCAATATTCACGTTTTTTAGCAGAAAATCAAACACATAACATCTCAAGAAAGGAATGAAAATATAATAATGAAGCTGTTACATCAACTTTTCATGTTTACAGTCTGCTCACACTGTATCCAATTGATATCTTACGGATGACAAAGTCACAGTAGTTCACACTGAGGTAACCCTTCACTAATTCTTTTAAGTTTTCTGAATCTGGTATTTTACCTCGAAACAGACAAACAGAAAACAAAATCCCTTTTGTACCACAGGACTTCGAGGAACTTCCAGCCAGCTACTCACAGTTCGGAAAATAAGCTGCAAATCTAAAGGCTTACTTTATGCAACTGAGACTGACAGCTGAATTTGACTGTCCAATATGATCAATAATAAACTTGGAAAACTTCTAAACTTGTCTAGATGCCCACCAAAAACAAAAACATCAATTACTTCACTTCTATCCTGAAAGTAAACACTTGTCAGACTAAAATTACAGGTCATCACCTCATTGGGTTTTTTTCTTTTTTATATATAGCCTGCAGCTTTATTCCTCAGGGGTAAGATAACTTATCATATAGTGAATATACAATATTTGTTCACTTTTATTCATTTTAAATGTGAAGTATTTTAACATCAGTGGGTCACATGCTGGAATGTGACAGCTGCATGATAAGTCTAACTTGTTGCTTTACACAGAACTGGGCTAATTAAAGCTAAAAATATCTGTCTTGTGTTACCTCACAGAACAATGTCCTCTGTATTTCCACACACGGCTACAGTTGTGTACAAACTGAAGGGTGTCCTAGATTGCTCTCTGTTATTTAAAAAGAGTTGCCTGCTGTTTATGTCCATTTGGATGCATAGTGAAGCTTCACCATAGTGGGTCCACTCTGCTATGCATTGTACAAGTTATTAAAATTAATGTAGTTGACTTCTTTTTCCTCTGTGTAGTTTCACACGCTGAGCAATCACACGGACACGAAGTCAGAGAGGTTAACTAAGTCCCTTTAAAAGCTTAAGTGTGATACATGCGGGGGAAACTGAGTTCACGCCGAGGTAGCCGACCTGCTTGCTAGCAAAGGTATTAAGCTATAAGGCTATTATCATTCAGAGTATTCGTCTTATTTCAGCCGGACTTCACAGCTGTATAGTCTCATAAAGTACCGCTGTCAGACCGGATTCTTTGCTAGTTTTCTGGCCATGTTGCCTGAACACAGTCGGTACATCTCCACTGGGAACAGGCTATAGCTAGCTAGCCGAGCTAACCCTGAAACGTTAACACTGACTAGCTTGAAATAACGTTAGTCGCTAAGGACAGCTGACTTTAAGGTTGCCAACTAAGTTACTTTTCAATATCGCCCGATAGCTGTTTCACTTCAACTCACGACGGCGTTAACAACCGGGGACGTAACACGAGTTAGTTGGTGACTTAGTTTGTCTGGTTGCAGGGTTTGCCACCACCAACAAATGTCTGACTATCTGTCAACCTGGCAAATGTCAGATTAATAAACGAATTATCCCATTCAAATAACGGTAGACATCTTGAATAAACTCTGTAAACTTTAAAAAAAAAACAAGACTTCATACCTTGAACAACGAGAAAACGTTAACTAGCGTCCTTGTTTTCCTTCCAAGCCCTCAAATCCACTTATACCACTGGAGCCTCCTTTCTTATTTTATCCAATCCGGTTTTCGCTTACTAGGGGAAGTGGAGCATCCGAACTTTCCATTGGTGGAAGAGTATGGCAATCTTTTCTCATTGGCTCAAAACTTCCGTTACTAAATAAAGTGGTGGTACAGAGGAGTCGTCTTTCTCTGAAGCTGAAACAAATGTGAGCAGTGATTTCATCAACAACGTGTATTATCCTTTACAAATTTAGACTGTACTCCTTCATTTCCAGAGTGGGTTTATGGAGAAACCAAATGACTCCCTATTTCAAGAATATTCCCACGGGTTTTATCATTCATTTTAGAAATTAGTGTTCCAAAGCTAAACATGATATACTAAGATGAGTTATAATTATTCTCACAAAGTCAGAAGAATGGATTTTCTGTTTATTGTTTTTGTGTATTATCCCCACACAATAAGGACCATGTGTCTCTGATGAAACATGAATAAGCTTGATATGGTAGATGGTTAAATAGCAATAACAATATCCACATCAATGATAATCCGCATTTTGGTAAGGAAAATAAAAAACTATGATTGCTCTCATTATTTGTAGGCTTCCTTGACCTCTGAAAAAGCAACAAGATGTGCAATTCAGAGGAATAATCGATACCTGGTAGCTAAATGAGTCAATGGCTTCATTGTTAGGTGATAAAATTCAGTGGTTTCCATCTCTAAGAGCAATCAAGTTCACATATCACACTTTGTTTTTTCATTGAAGAACACTATAAACAAAATCAGTGTAGTCACAGGGCATGCTATATGCTTTAGTAATCCCAACCAATCTTGAGTCCTCAAAGCCTTGGAGGTTGTATTTACAAATTACCATTAATCTGGTGTTATCTGCAGATTTTCAGATTTATGGTATCTCACTGGGATCAAAAATGACTTTACAGGAGGAAAAGATTGCTTATGGATTTCCTTGATTCAAACTATGTTATAGTTCTCAAAATTTTTTGTTAAATGCTGAAAAAATATCATTCAACCACCGACCATAAACCTCTTTACTTTGAGGCTGTTTCAGTTGATTTCATTAAATAAAACTCAAACAAAAAAAGGACAAGACAGTCAGTCGGTTATTTTTTTAAAAACACCTCATATAGAGAAAGAGACTTATTGCCTATTGTTAATAGCGTCTCCTCAAAATCAGTAAGAAACACTGTTTTGGGTCGTTAAGATACTTGAAGCTTGACTAATTATTCAGTACCTATTCAATCCAGCCTTGATTGCACTCCCGCAATCACATCTAATTTTAATATATCTAATAAAAATAATCTGTGCATTCATTCAAGTGCACAGTGTTGCTTTTCCGCATCCACCTTTTTGTCCTCTCAAGTCACAGGTTAAAATGCCAGTTCCAGCTCAATCAATTAAGCCATGGATCTATAATAAATTGTGCATTTACTGAAATCAGACCTCAAATTCGGTGGTAATTTTTCAAGTGCCTGTCTTCATCATGCGTGAATGAATGGGACCTGGAGCTGTTGATTTATGTGCATGTGTTATTCACCAATTTTCATGGCATTGTTTGCTTTCAGAAGCATCCTACAGTGGCATGTTCATACATTGTATATTATGATTAGGTTTTATTTATAAACATTATTACACATTAAAGCCTTTACAATGAATAGAAAGCACTAAAAAAACTGCGCAGAAATAGAGTTTTTTTTTTTAGTAAAACAGGCTTAATATAAAGATGTGATAAGGTTTAACATAAGCAGAAGAACAGCCTGGCAGCAAAAAAAGAAGTGTTTGAACTGTGAAATGAATATTGATTTAGGACTACAGTAAAGCTGAAGAACAATAAAGGAAGACATAAGTACATAGAAGAGGATCCCATGGTAACTCAGACAGATTCTGAGGCAGATAGAGTGTTTTAGTGATAACAAGATGATAAAACACAAAAATGGATCAATTTACATACAGTAGCCTATTTGTACAGGTTGGAGCAAATCAGGATTGTGAGTAGAAAACTAAAAACTAAGAGGAGAAGTAAAAAATATTGGATATTTGGGTATAGATTGCATTAGTTGTCAGCAGAAAAAAGTATTTTTTTATGAGTTTTTCCTGTGAAACTAAGATTTGTTTGCTTAATTTTAGTTAATACACCGCTGGTAAAACAGCTGGTGTTCTAATAAGCAATTACAAATCCATGGATTGTATTTTTTTACTTTTACAAAGTTATTTTTAAGGTGTATCACCCTGTGGTTGTCACTGTGTTATCCAGGCATCAGCTATGAGGTTCATACCACTATATCTTCAGGATGTGGGCAAAACAAGCAAGGGGGACAACTTCTGCCGTGCATCTCAAACATGTTTACTGTTTGACTCCACCAGAAACCATGAGTAAGCTTGAAGGGGAATGTACTGTGCAAAACAGTGCTCAACTTAAGTCACAGGTGTCAAACTCAAGGCCCGGGGGCCAAATCTGGCCCGTGGAAAAATTATATATGGTCCACAAGATCATAACATATTTGTGTTATTGTTGGCCCACCAGTATGATGTCTGCAGATTTCCTCTAGTATAATAATGTTAACTTTAGCACCATTATTTAAAATGTCCTTAATAAGCCAAAAAAATCTGGGAAATTAAAGAGTAAGGAAGATTTGATGAATAGTCAAGAATGTGGGGGAAAAAATATTTGGTGTTTGATTTCATGTTTTGCAATTCAAGACTACAAGTCAAACATGATTGGATTTTTTTATTTCATGCTTTGATTTTGTTCAACTCAGTATTTAGACTTGTGTCACTTTTATACTTAAAGTCATATTTTGACCTTTTAAACCTGATTTCAATGTTCTCTTTGTGTATTTGCTCTTTCAAAGCATTTTTTTTGTATTTTTAATATCGTGCTCTGATCTTTTGCACTAATAAATAAAAATAGAATTAAAAAATAAAATATTTTTTCTTTCTCAGATTGTCTTGAAACGTATCTTTTTATCTTTTTTGAATTTCTAAATAATTTATAATCACTGCTGTTTTTGTGTCATATTTTTTTTAAAGAAGTTGACAGTTTTTGTTAAATGTTGACCCTGTTTGGCCCTCAGGTAAAACCTAAATCCAGATTATGGCCCTTGCTGTGGTTGAGTGGTAAACAGAATCCAATTTAGGCCCACATCTTTGCTGTATTTAAATCATATTATAATTATATATTTTTTATTTAAAATAAAAAAAAATAGATATCCTTCTTCATACAGAACTATCTCCTCATTCAAAGGGCGATTTAAAAAAAAAATCTTACCTTACTCCAGCATATCATGGACACCACACCCCTGGTTGTTGCATTAGTCTTGTCGGCTGTTCCTCGATCCTCCTGAGGGGGGCAGTAAGCTGTTAAAACCCACCGTAACTGCCACGTTAGTGCAGCAGAAGAAGAGAGCGCCTGCGCCCCGCCCTTTGACTCACCTCGCTTATTAATGTTACTGGTTTGTTTATGACGCGGTCCAGGGGCTCCGTTAGCTTGACAGCTGAACAAGTGTATCATGTAGTAAAACCAGGCTTTCTTATGCTTGCATTCATTTTTAGATACTGTATTGGCAACGAGACAGACACCAGCGATAGAAGGCTAGTTAGCAATAGGCGTCGGTCAGTCGTACAAACAGAATATATTTGTTAGCCTTAGGTGTTAGCCTAGCATTTTGCTAGCATACGGTAACGTTATGACGTGACGTTGGGCATAAAAGTGGCTATTTCACAAAGCCAGGGCTGAGCTTTGTTTAATTCACACATACACCTCGAAAAGGCTGCGCCTGAGAGACGAGCGCATGTGTGAAACACTTAATTCGTAGGTTAAAGGTTTTTGACAGCTGCCTGGTGTCTTAACTTTAAAAAAGCTAGCGAGTGAAATTCATGTTAGCATGGCGTCAGATACAAGTGACACTGAAGAGTTTTATGATGCTCCCGAGGATGTTAACTTTACTCCATCTCCAAAAGTGTAAGCTATTTGCATTTTATTCTTATTTTTCTACTCTGATCAAAAGTTGCTAATGTCCCATTTCCTGTACCTGAGTCTCAAGTACCTTTCCAACTTCATAACAGCTACTCTTAGTTCTGCATCATGCAAATTTGACATACGGTGGACGGTGCAAATAAAAGTCTGTTTTGTTGTGTATTTAAACTGTATACTGTATGTGTGCGGCACTTAAAGTCACCAGCTGTTTAGTGTAAGTGCAGGGAGAGTCTTCCCGAAGTCACATGACTGTATTCCTGACAACAAGTCCACTCTGTGTGTGGCCATAATGAAAAACACTGTGGGCTATAACATCAAATATAAACGACCTGCTATAGCATTATAAGCACTTAGACAGCCTAATGCATTCCTATAAAACAGCTCCTAAGCCTCATAATCTTCATTTATGTTGACATTATTAGGCAGGTGACTATTAGACTTGATTTATAATTGAAGAGAAGTGGGTGGTGGTGCACTATGATGCGTCATATTGGATGGTGTTCCTTGTATTTTGTTCACTCTATCAACAAACATAGGGAACGTATTTCATTATAATGCACGCTAGGCACTGATAACACAAACAACCTAGGGCTGGGCGATATAGGAAAAAAGTTTATCACGATATATATGTTCTTTCATATCAGTCGATATCAATATATATCACAAAATAAGAAAATCACTTGTCAATCTTAATGTTCTGTTACTCTCTAATGACATTTAACAGTGCTTATTGGTAGCATGTCTTTTGCAATACAGTAAGCTACTGCATCTGTGAGGTCTTTGTGTCTCTTCGACGTTTTGTCATAAGGCGTTGCGCTAGAGAAAGTGGACTGAATGATCGGTTGTTTTGGCTGCACAGACGCCATGGGCTCCTCCGCTCAGGGTTTGTAACGTCTTGCATTACGCGTTTTAGTGCTATAGTTGCGTATAGCTGCAGTCTGCTACTACACAGTTGTTTGCTACTTGGTTCTAATTCAGCACGATTCTCCCCTTTTCATAGGCTATTCATATAGTCTACCAAAACATGGCAGAATGTTGACTATCCAAAAGCACACTGACCATGTTTTATATTGATATTGAGGGAAATTAATTTTCGATTGATATCCTTATTGTTTCATCGCCCAGCCCTAAAACAACCTCAACAATACATTTAAAGAACAACCATCACCTGTCTGACCCTGTCAACAAACGTTAAAACAGAGAAGTGGAAGCTTTGTAAAAGCAGAATTGGTATTGAGTTGCCCTACACAGCCCAGCTGCTCATGAGTTTATTGATGGCTGGTGTATGTCACAGGGTGTCATTGTAGAAGCTCATGGTTTGGCATGTGGGAACAATGATGAAATCAAGATAAACCCATGATGACAAGTACTGCCAAGAAATGTTACCTGTTAATGACAAATTTAAGTTAACCACACCAGATGGAACTGATACTCTTCCTCTACGATCGTCCTTATTACATGACAGTAAGCATCTAGTAGGAAATTGGGCATGATGATAAAATACTTTTCATATCATTCCATCCACATGTAACTTGACTTTGCAGACACCTTTTTTTAAATCATGAAATTAATTTAAGAATTTTAGAAATTAGGCCTGTTTAGATATTATTTAATTTACAGATATTAAATATTGTCTTTTGAATAAATATACTGTTCTTTTTCCAGGGTATTAGAAAGTCAAATTTGAAACATAAGCCTTCTTGCACTCTTGAACTGTGACTGTGTGTTTTTCAGGTCACCCGCAAAGTTTGTCATTCCTTCGCCTCAGGTATGTTTACCTTAACCCAGCCTGTGCTGCAAAGAGGCACTCTCTGCCCTGCTACTAATATAATCATTATTCAAGCTTCGTTGTTGTGTCCTTTTTGCTCTCAAATGAAACTGCACTTTTAAGTAAACCATTTCAATTTTTAGTCTAAATGATTTCTGTCTGATAGATCACATCTGATTGTGAACTGTTGCAATTTGAGTCAGTTTAGTGACAACAAGTATTTTGTTTGGTACTTTGCCCTTTTGCCTGGTTAAACAAGACAGAGCTCTTTAGAGTTGGGCCTCTATGATTGTGGGTATTTTAGCAGTTTCAGAAACCAACAGCAACAGGATCTGATACTAAGCAAAACTCAACACTGTTCCAACATGACCTATTTAACTTTCCGGGTGAGGGTTGCAGAGTTAATGGTACTCTACATGTAGCACAGGGTAACTTTGATTACCTTTTAGTTAAGTTTTAGGTCCTCTGCTTGAATCATTGACATAGCCTGTGTTACCAATGTTAAATATTCAACCTTTTACCACTGGACCCGCCTACTAAAGCTGTTATCTCATGCTCCCTTCCTGACTGCGAGAAAATGTAAATGATGTGAATTCAAATAAGTCATCTGGTTTGGTTGCACTGCCTACCCTTTCGACACAGTCACAACTTAAATGAGAGTTTGCAAATAAGAACCACCTTAAAAGCTGGACTGATATTTACGTTCTCTCAGTGTTGAACCTCAATCCCAGACCAGCATGTTAAACCAGTAAAGTTTACAGAAAATACAGATTTTGCTCTAAAGAAGTAGTTCTCAAGTCCAGTCCTCAAGCCTACTGTCCTGCATGTTCTGGATGTTTCCCTGCTCCAACACACCTGATTCAAATGATCAGCTTGTTATTAAGCCATTCCAGAGCTTGATAACGAGCTGATCATTTGAATCAGGTGTGTTGGAGCAGGGAAACATCCAAAACATGCACGACAGTAGGCCTCTGGACTGGACTTGAGAACCACTGGTCTAAAGGAAGTGTTTTTTCAAAGATTAGTTACTGTGGCTATTCACAGGATAATCAGTATTCATTGAATAAAAGTTATTCGTGTGAGAAAACAAATCAGAGGCAGTTGAGAGTGTAGAGTTAGCACTGTAGAGTTTCTAAGAGCTCAGTCTGGCTGTGCTGCATGGACATACATTTAATTTCAAATGTTTCGTATAATGTATAATGTTTTGTTATATGTTTATCTACAGAAAATAAAATATTTTTGTGTCATTTTCCTGAAGCTTTCACAAAGGCAAGTTAACGCTGCACAGGATGTTGGCTTTGGTGCAGCTGCTTCTGAGACTCAGCAAGACGATCCCCTACAGGTAATAGTTCTTTTTGTTGCAGTTCTCTACAGGTCTCTGTGAGATCACGAAAATAATGTTTGAGTGTAACCAAACCTGTTTTTTATTCTTTGTGCTTAAGTTACGCTTGATCTTATACATATCAAATTGAACATTTATATATACATTATTATGATAGCCTTTAAAAGTGTGCTTTTTGCTCTGCTTTTCAGTGTTTTTATGCCAGTAACTGAACATATCTAAACCAGAGGACAACATTTACAGTAACTGACAGCTCTGATTTCTTCACACAGATCATTGATAGCATAATTGAGGAGAGCCAGAAGGGAAGTGCTGAGGATGTTGGTGAGGTGGCTCAGCTCTTAGATCAGCTAAATGTTGATGTAAGAGCTGAACCAGAGCCAAAGGAAGACAGTGCTGCTCAGGAAGTTCCTGTGGAGCAACCAGCAGCAGCAGCAGCTGCCGTACCTCAGCTTGTCGACAGGCCACAGGAAGAAGAAGAAAGCGCAGAAGCAAACGGAGCATGCTTCATACCTGCCCTGGAACCCACAGATTTCTCGGGACCAACAGTTGGGTCACAAGAGGGTGTTCAGCCCCCAGACATCACCAGCACAGTAGGACAGAGTCAGCCTGCTGGTGCTGGCACGACTGCAAGTGGAGGGCAGGAGCAGAGACCTGCCGATATCTTAGACCAGGTCCCATTCACAGACAGGCAGGCTGACTCGGACTCTGGGCCCTGTAAACCTCCCCGGCAATTTACAGTGGAACCTGACATTGTAGCCAGCACCAAGAAGCCTCCCCCCTCTCGACCACCCCCTCCCAGCGGAGGCCCTCCACCGAGACCCCCTCCACCATCATGGCAGAGTCTACCATCCAGGAAGTCTCAGGACTGTCTGAGGCCCAGCGGACTGGAAGGTAGAGAAAAGTGCACATTTAACCACATCCTCTGTGCTGGAGTGGGTTTTAGATCTTTTTTAGTCATCAGGGGCTCGACGGTGCGACTGTTTCACTCGCATTTATGACTAAAAATAGATGTGTGCAAATTGCAAAATGTATTTAGGGGCACATGTGGGCCTAAAAAAAATCAGCCGATGTAACAGAGTTTTTTCATGTAAATACCGCGGCGAAGTTAGTTTTGGGTTAGGTTGGATATCTGACGGACGTTCACTGCGGATCTACCGGTGTCTTCTATCTCTCTCTATAACAGGGAATAGCAACAGCTGCGCGGTTATATCTACTCGGCACCCTCGTTGTCAACGTTAGGAGTTGAATAAGGGACCATCAATAAATTACCGGTTGATGTTCTCAAAAAAGGCTGGTTTTCTTCAATAGCTTCCATGTCATGTGGCCAATTGACCTAAAATTGATTTCAAATAATAGTACTTATGTCGACCAATAAGACACACATTATTGGATCAATTTTCATTGTGCCCCTACAGTTCTTTGTGTGCTCCTTACTTTTTCAACTTAGGAGCACATGTGCTCCTTGTGAAAAAAAGTTAGTGTCAAGCCCTGAGTGGACTTAGTGTTTTTAGGGTTTAACATTGCAGTATTGTAGATTATCAAGCCTCACAAGAAAGATCTGCTGCAACCAAGTAAAGATGATTTTCTAGATAAACGGTGGTGGTTCAATCACTTAAACATTGCAAGAGGGGATGAAACAAAGATGATTTGTAAAACCTTTCCAAACTTTGATCATAGAATCAACTGCTCTGATGTAAAATCAAAATCCCGAAGAGCCTGTCTGATCCTTTACTAAAAACTACTTCATGTCAGAATTATGAACCACAGTAAGCTTTGATAAAGACCTTTTTGAAGATATTTCGCTAATTGAGCTCATGTTGATTTCTCTTTGTTTCTCAAAGAGGAAATGTGCTCAATGCATGTAGGAAACACAAGTTTTCACTAGGACATGTTTCACATAAGTGGAGAGCAGCTTATTGCGCCCATCTTTCCTTATTTCTAGTTCTACTTAACTGAGTATGAGTATCTTGACAACATTTTTTCTTTTCTCTTTTTTGTTTGTCCAGTGACTCCCATGTGCGCGGTCAGCAGTGATGCTTTGGAGCCCTGTGGTCTGGTGTCTCCCAGCAGCACAGTGAGGAGTCTAACCAAAGAGCTGCAGCATTCCTTGGATCTTGCCAGTGCCACCAGTGGGGATAAGGTGGTAACAGCACAGGTCAGTGAGGGTTCAGACCTGCCTCTATGGTGTTCATTAAAAGGTTTATCTCTCTCTTTTTTTTTTTTAAATTGACTTTTGCCTCATTTTTTTTTTTAGGAAAATGAGGATGAACAGTCTTCATCACAGAGTGGAGAACAAACACCAGGCCCTCAGCGTCCACGCTCCAACTCTGGTAGAGAACTGACAGATGAAGTAAGAGTTTCTCCCTGCTCGTTTTTATCGACCGTGTCCAAGTTGAATTCAAGCCAACCTCTTGCACATTCCCTCCACCAGCTGCTCTTTAAGCAGCAAACTTGTATTTTTGTGTTATCTAAAAACAGGAAATTCTGGCCAGTGTGATGATCAAAAATCTGGACACCGGGGAAGAGATCCCTCTGATTCAGGCAGAAGAGAAACTTCCTGCTGGGATCAACCCCCTCACTTTGCACATCATGAGGAGGACCAAGGAGTACATCTCGTAAGCAGAAAAAAGTCTTTTGAAGCTGAAGGATTGGGAACCTTGAGACATACAGAGAAACCAAATCACACGCAGATTTTACTTGTCTTTTTTTTCTACGGATTTATATTACGCAAGAAATTTACCAAGAAATAGAAATGAACTGATGCTCAAAATGAAAGAAAATCATTTGGCACAACAGTTGTCAGTGTTAACAGAGAGACAAAAGCTTCATTTGTTCTTTTTTAAAATCACTTAACTACCAGACATTTGTGACGAAAAGCGAGGAAGAACAGACAGGTTCAGACCTCAAATCCAATGACAGTCTTTCCTTGTCTATTATTCCAGGAAAAGGTCTTTTCCTGGAAAAGTCTTTTCCCGGAATAGACTTGTTTTCGTGCACAGCATCATCAGCCTCGGCGCTATTTGATTCTTCTGAGAATTCACTCATGAACATTTGCAATATTTCCTCACTATGTGAAGCACCTCTGAGACCTAGTAGCTCAAAAAGAAGATGACTTTTTTTTTTTGAGGAAGTTAATCTTTTTTGAATGTTTCCATTCAGGAACGATGCAGCACAGTCAGATGATGATGACAAGTCTCAGGCTCCTCTAGCAGACACAGATGGAGGAAAACTGAAACAGAAAACGTGAGGAAAAAAAAGTTGACTTTATCGTTTGCTGTTGCTGGAAATGATTTTCTTTGCGTACCCATCACCATATTAGCACACAGTGAGTAACATCACCTACTGCTCCTTGTTTCTAACCAGGACCCAGTTTAAAAAGTTCTTGGGCAAGTCTGTGAAAAAGGCCAAGCATCTAGCTGAAGAATATGGAGAGAAAGCTGTCAACAAAGTGAAAAGTGTGCGAGATGAAGGTAAAAAGAAATCAAAGCGTGTGTTGTTGACCAGGAAAATAAATTGTTTCCACGATAAGACATTTATAAACCACTCTAGAAAAAGCCCTTGGACAACAGATCTGATATCTGTAAGTCAGATCAATAAAAGGAAGTGAAACAGAACTCATTAAACCCACCGATAATTTCTGTGCAGTCATCCTCCTGTCTCATCAGTTTATCTACATGTATTCAAAGTTTGAGTGTTTTTTTTTGTGCAGTTAGTGAAACGTTTTGATTTTCTTCCAGCTGTCTCATTGTTACAAGTTGGTTACCAGATAACACCACAAGTTCTACAGACAATAACTGCAACACTGATTTTGTGTATTGTTGTTTTTTTGGTCAGTGTTCCACACAGATCAGGATGATCCATCGTCGAGTGATGATGAAGGCATGCCGTACACCCGACCCGCCAAATTCAAGGCAGCACACAGCTTCAAGGGTCCCTTTGACTTTGATCAGATAAAGGTGGTGCAGGACTTGAGTGGAGAGCACATGGTACAAGGATCTTTAGTTTTTCAATGAATGTTAAAAAGAAAGAAAAATACATGGAAAAATCTTTAAATGACATAATCTTTGCTTTCCCCTCAGGGTGCAGTTTGGACCATGAAGTTTTCTCACTGTGGGAGACTGCTGGCAACTGCAGGACAAGATAACGTGGTGCGCATCTGGGTCCTGAAGACCGCCTTTGATTACTTTAATAACATGAGGTTAAAATACAACACTGAAGGTGAGCATCATCAGTACGCCAGATCCCTTGGTGTTCAGCTAGGATTGATCGTTTAAATTTAGATGCTCAATTTGACTCCAGGATGATTATTTTTGTTTTCGTTCCCCCAGGCCGAGTCTCGCCTTCTCCGTCTCAGGAAAGTTTATGCTCCTCTAAATCTGATGACCCTGGGGTGAGTTAAAAATAATCACATCAAGCTATTTTGGGCCGTCTGGTGTTTCCAGAGATAGCAAAAGGGCTGGATAATTACAGGCACCATTAGTTTTTGATTGTTTCGCATTTTCCAGTCTCATATTTTCTAACCGATTTCACTGTCATCTCAGGCGAGTTGTGTTCCAGAGGATCCAGAGACTGAAGATAGAAATGCTCCTTTCCGCCAAGTCCCCTTCTGCAAGTATAAAGGTCATACTGCTGATCTGCTAGACCTGTCCTGGTCAAAGGTAAAGCCAAAAACATACAGGATCCGTATTGAGCGTGTTTCATATTTACTCCATATAGCAGCCCTGGGTATTGCATGTAGGATGCGCATTTGGAGCGTGGCAGCAGCGTAGTGCAGCCCTTAGTCAGCTGGACTCAGTATAGAGGAAACAACATGTTCATAACAGGCTGTTTTTCCTTTCTGTGGTCTATTTCCTGCTGATTTGGGTATAATTTAGTGACCATTGAGGCTCTACTATATGTGAAAAAGCAACGTGATTTCACAGTTTCAGTTTTTGCAGGTTTACTCGTGTTTCTTAAAGTAAACTATGTTCCTTTCTGCTGTGCTGTTACCTTCAGACAGAGGTAGCAGTTAAAAGTCCAGGATCTGGAATAGACTATCGGATTGTTCTGTGTTACTGATAAATCCATAACCAGGAAGTATTTCTCATCTGCAAAAATTGATGCACAGTTGGCAGTCCACATATGGTGTTTTATTTTGAAATACCCGATGAAATGCAAGCTTTTCGTGCTCGACTTCCTGTCTGGAACGATCTTCTCTGTGTGGATCGACGCGCATTGGAAGCGTAGAGCAGCAAAAATAGACTCTGCTCTCGATTCCTGTATGCTTTGCTGCATTGATTAGAATGGTAACCTATATGCTGCGTGATACGCGACGCTGCTGCCACACTCCAAATACGCATGCTGTACGTTTTAGCCTTAACAGTCTACCAACATACTCCTGGATTTTTTTGTATTCTTGTTTACTTAAAGTAAGTATCATTTTTTGCCGTCATAAATCAAAGTTTGTACTCTTTTAGTTCAAGCAGTGTTTTATTAAAATGAGGATACCTCTCTGTTATTTTACAATATAAAAAAATATTTAAAAAAAAAAGAATCTGCATGTGTCAAAAAAAATTGACACATGCAGATTTGTATTTTCTGTTTTTCTCACACCTTTTCAATGATGTGTTTTTCCAGAACTTCTTCCTGCTCTCCTCCTCCATGGATAAAACAGTCAGACTGTGGCACATATCCAGGAGAGAGTGCTTGTGTTGCTTTCAGCACATTGATTTTGTCACAGCTATTGCTTTCCATCCCAGAGTAAGTTGTGTCATCTTGCATCACCTCTCTTGGCACAAATCATACATTTATTCATTTTGGCTCCCAGCCTGTATTTATAGTAACAGTTGTTTCTCACCTCGCAGGATGACAGATACTTTTTAAGTGGCTCTCTGGACGGGAAGCTCCGGCTCTGGAACATTCCTGACAAGAAGGTGGCTCTGTGGAACGAGGTGGACGGCCAAACACGTCTCATCACTGCAGCTAATTTCTGCCAAAATGGGAAGTATGCTGTTATTGGAACCTATGATGGCCGGTGTATCTTCTACGACACAGAGGTATCAAGCCAAGCGTCTGGGTTTAACATGTCCTAGTTTTTAGATTGATTTATTCCAGGCTAAACTTGAAGTGTTTTTTTTTTTTTCGCTTTCTGCACACTTCCCCAGCGCCTGAAATACCACACTCAAATTCATGTGAGGTCCACCAGAGGCAGGAACAAAGTTGGACGCAAGATCACCGGTATCGAGCCTCTTCCTGGCGAGAATAAAGTAATGTCTAATCTCCACTTCAAAAATATCAAAGCTTGTTTGATGTCCCTTCAATGATGAATAAATCAGACTTCATAACAAACAAAGCTCTTATCTTCCCTCACAACAGATTTTGGTGACCTCAAATGATTCCCGCATTCGCCTTTATGACCTAAGGGACTTGTCGTTATCCATGAAATATAAAGGTTACGTCAACAGCAGCAGCCAGATCAAAGCAAGCTTCAGGTGAGGCGGGTTTGCTCTGAGCGTGATTCTGAATTGAGCCGTGCGGAGAAGCATCAGAAACAAACCAGTGATATTAAAGCCAGTCTTTAAAGGGATATTCCAGCGTAACATTAATTAAGGACAAACACACTGCAACACAGAGTTAGACACCCCCTCGAGAGAATAATTTTGCCGACCGGTTGCTTCTCTAGCTAGACCGCAGGATAGCAATACAGAAAGCCACAAGCTCAACCAAGCGCCACTCTATAGCCACAAATAATGCTCAGAACAGCACCTAACTTCATCAACAGTACATATAGGGTCCCAGCCATAGCACTAGCCACCAAACATCTTTTTAACTTTGCCTGATTTCTTTAGCAAGGAGACTAAACACAACTTACCCGCTCTCTGCTTGTTTGTACAGAGACCTCAGATTAGTCCATTACCGACTGCAGTGGGGTGACGCAGCTCAAGGAAGAACATCTACGATCATTTCTTTATCATAACCTTGAAGTAATAATCATCATGGTAGTTCTTCTGCCTTAGTGTCTCGGTTTGATTGCATTTCCATGAACAAATGATCATAAATGTTCTTTCTTGAGCTGCGTCACCCCGCAGCAGTCTGTAATGGACTGGTCTGAGGTCTCGCTACAAACAAGCAGCTGCTGGAAGAGAGTAGGTGAGTTGTTTTTGGTCTCCTTGCTAAAGAAATCAGGCAAAGTTAAAAGGATGTTTGGTGGCTAGTGCTATGGCTGGGACCCTATATGTACTGTTGATGAAGTTAGGTGATGTTCTGAGTATAATTTGTGGCTATGGAGTGGCGTTTTGGTTGAGTTGTGCGCGTTGGCTCCTCAGACCGCTGTGTATTGCTATCGTGCGGTCGTTACTTAAGTTGGTATAACTAAAGAAGCAAGCGGTCGGCAACATTCGTCTCTCGAGTAGGTGTCAAACTCGGTGTTACGCCGGAATATCCCTTTAAGTGTTCAAGTATTTCTTTGCTTTATTACATTGTACCTTGAATTTTAAAGCTGACCTCCAGGGATTTTCTCCCCAGTCATGACTACTCCTTCATAGTCAGCGGCTCAGAGGATAAATACGTGTACATCTGGAGCACTTACCACGACTTGAGCAAATTCACATCAGTACGGCGGGACCGCAATGACTTCTGGGAAGGGATTAAAGGTAACCATGCTGTGTGTCAAATGATAAACATGATTTTGGATGAGTTTGTTCCTGTACTCTTGCTGATACTGAAGCCTTGGTTACCTTCCAGCACACAACGCAGTGGTCACCTCAGCCGTCTTTGCACCCCAGCCTGGCCTTATTGTCCCTCAAGAAACTGGAGCAGAGAAACCAGAAGCAGAGTGTAAGAGCCTGGACTCCACTGACTCTGAAACCATACCCTCAGGTGAGTTCGGCGTGATTCATTCATGGGAAATTTTGCTGACATCGAAACTGTCATTTCACTGTGTTAACCTAATCCTTTACTTTGAAGGAGCCCTGAAGACAGATCACACCGAGGTTCTGCTCTCGGCTGACTTCACTGGAGCCATCAAGGTTTTCATCAATGTTAAAAAGTACTGAGCACTTCAGAGGTTGACAGCTCCTCACATTCAGGCCTGTGTGGTGGATATCAGTCCCAGAGATGAAGGGGCCATTTGATGTCACTCTGTTACTTAATGGTTATTGCTCCAGAGAGAAAGCTGAGTGTAGCTTCGTTGGGGAAACAGGGACCGTGTGGAGGAGTTGGAAAAAGTAGACTGTAAAAAAAAAAATACTGACAAGGTTTGAATCCCTGTCACATTTCTATTTTTTATCTTTGACACCAAGCAACTGTGAATAGTTTGGCATAAAGGAGAAAAAAAAGCAGTCAGATATGCCAAGTGTGAGGTTTGAGCAGAGACTCAATCTGTTCCGGTATGTGTGTGTGTACAATAACTGTCGGATTTACAGGACTGAGCGTAGCTACGAGCTATTTGTAACAGTACAGTCACGTTAGATGTTTCTTTGCTCTCACATTTCAAAGATTAAGGTAACTCATGACATTTCAACAACATCGTCCTAATACAAGTCAAAACTTTTAGTGTTAAGAGAAGTAACTATTTCTTTTGAAGCAAAGCGGTTTGAAATGTTATTCACACACAATCTGTGCCTCCGTGTAGAAAGCTTTTCCAAATTCAGCTTCTCAAGCTCTTCTCTAAAATCTATCGAACATGACAGCCAGTCTTTGGTTCAGGAAATCCGTGTACGGTTACTAATGATCAGGGCTGGGTATCCTCAGTGTTTTTCAGAATCAGAACTGGCACTTCAATCCTTTTGATATAATTTTGGTTTAATGAAAGCACATCTCATACTACAAAATAGTACTGTAAATTAAGTGTGTAACATTGCATACTTACCGCTTTTGTAAACAGAAACCAAATAATGCACTATCAATTTCCCCAATAAAAATTTGCACAAACTAGACAGAACCTGTGAAAAACCTTTTTTTAACTGAGAAAAATCCAATCAATGGCTACAACTCAGAGGAGAAGCTGTCAAATATTCAGATACCTGGCCCTACCAACAATCTACACACACAATCATGACAGAGGGTGGTTTATTTATTGTTATATTTCCGCAGGTTTTCATTTTATAAACAAACATAAAAACAAAAATATATGTCTCTGTAACAGTGTTTAAACTTCATATAAAAAAGTGCTTAATCTTGAGATTATGGTGTGAGCAGGGGGACCAAGAGAACAGATGAGTCGGTCCGTTCAAAGAGGAAACCACAAGTTAATGGGGGGACAAAGTCCAGATCTCAGAGTCAATGTTTGCTCCTTTTTGTCTTCTTGCGGGAGCGATGTGGTGACCGTGACCTGGACTTCCTCGTCTTTCTGTCTGGGGACGGTGATCTGGAACGTTTGGACTGTTTGACAGACTTTTTCCTGTGAACAGGGTCATAAATGATATCAGGTTGAATTTAACAGTAATCAGAACAAGTGCATCAATATTGAACCCACTGTCACTCACTTGGAGGGAGAAATGCTCCTCGATTGTCGTATCTGGTCAGCAAGATCTGTACTCCGCTGCCTCCTGCCCCTGTCTTTACTTCTCCGGCGCCTCTCTCCGTGTCTTCTGTCATCCTTGGATCTGTCTTTAGATTTTGATCTCAGTCTCCCATTCTTTCCTTCATCCTTTTCAAACTCCTGTAAAAGACAAGATAGGACATCCCATCACCTCATGGAGGTGGCTTGCAACTTCCACATCATCCCATCCACACTTAACAGACTGTCGGTTTTCCACAAGGGGGAGCTGTCAGTGACACAGAAGAGACAGTAATGAAAATAAAAAAACTGTAGCTAGATGTTCCTTTCCTGTAGGTGGTGCACACTGGACAAAATCCTGTGTCTGGTTTTTAGTGCTCTGCATCAGTTATACTGTTTGCTACTGTGCCAACTGACTAATTTAATAGTCTGATTTTAATGTACTAATAACAAGCACTTTTGTATATTTTGCCCCATACTGTTTGTGATTAAAGAAATATTTCTATTACACATGAGACGGCTGTATTTCTTTGGAGATCTATTAGAGTCAAATGCTGAATAATACTGCAGAAATATTGTCCAAAATTAAGTTCTCTACATTTCTGTCTTCAGCACGTAAGAAAAACAAACTTACACCTGATTTGGTTCTTGAATTCTTGAATTGAGCCCCCCTTTTTTAAAAATTCTGATTTAATGCCATAAACATACTCTAGTGCAGTCATTCTCAAGTCCAGTCCTCGAGCCCCCCCGTCCTGCATGTTTTGGATGTTTCCCTGCTCCAACACACCTGATTCAAATGATCAGCTCGTTATCAAGCTCTGGAATGGCTTAATAACGAGCTGATCATTTGAATCAGGTGTGTTGGAGCAGGGACACATCCAAAACATACAGGACGGGGGGGCTTCAGGACTGTTTGAAACCAACTTTGTAGGCACAGAAAGGTACTAAAATTCACAAGTGGGGGATTTTCATTGACAGTTGATGCTGACAGAGGTGAAAAACTGCAGAGCTTCTGTTTACTGTAAACTTTGTACCAGGAATCGTAACAAATCGAAAGTCAAAAACAGATGGTCTTTCAGAGATCGAAACGAGAAGTGTAAGATGAGAAAAATCCCGCAACCACAACCTGCTGAGAGTCATTAGGACCTGATAGCCATTCTTCATCCAAAGGCAATCTCTGAATCTTATCAGGTATTTCCTGGCAACATATACGCCCCTAAAATGAAGCTCAACTTTCCAGGAACCCTAAAGTCGCCAACAGTGAAGATTTTAACAAGCTTCCAGTAGAGACGTCTTTCCTGTTTGCTGCAATACTTAAAGTCCTATTCCCAGATTGAGAATGACCATGTTTTCAGTTAAGAAGAAAAGCAAAATGCTCCTCTCCAGATATGTCTGTATACATCTGCTGACACAGCACCTGATCATCTGTTTGTGCTGAGTCTCACTTTCACTGTTAAATGCAAACTACACAGACTTTCATCAAGACTAGTCAGATACTATTTTGAAAAACTGTGCAAAGTAATAAAAATGATTAGTTTCAAAAACCCTTGATCAAAGACTGCACTTATCTGGACTGGTTCTGTAAACCCACCTTCTGCAGCAGTCTGTCCCTGTAGTGCTGTACTTGTGGCTGTACGCTCATTCCAGACTTCTTCGGCCTCTTGCCAGACTCCAGCTCATCTTGGATCTTCATGAACTTTACCTGAGTGGGACACATCACAGTAAGTTACAGCAACTTGACGGCAGAAAAAGGGACATTAGTAAAGCTGCTGATGTCATTTGAAGCAGGAGTTATAGCTAGTTTCTTAATTTAAATGCCGTATATTGCTGGATGAGTTGAAACCTGGCCGACAATAAAAGTGACAGCCACACTGAGAACAGAAAAGCAGATATCATAAACTTTTTTTTTTTAATGTGCACTTGCCTCCAGCTCTCTCAGCCTTTTCCCTTTGTGAAAACTTCTGAGGGAGCTCTGGAAGTCTTCACTGTCATATTTGGCTGAACTGCCACTATCGTCGCTGTGTGAGTCCTTATCGCCATCCTGTGAGTCGATGCTGCCAATAGAGGAGAAAGGAGGCTCATGATGTGTCTCAACTGCATTTGACCGTTTAAATATGTGTGTTTAATACAGAGGCACCGAGGCCTTACCTCACGTTCACTTCATCCTCTCTGTCCTCCAACACCATGTCCCACTTGGACTCGGTCTCAGCTAAGAGAGAAATGAACATATGAGCAGGATCATGTGTGTGTGAGTGTGTGTGTGACATGATTCAAAGTTTGTCTTGACCTGTGTTACCTGGAAAAAACGTATGAGTGTTATCTCTCTTCTCCCACTTCGACAGAGGAACACCGTTATCATCCACTGATGAAGACAAGAGGACAGCAGGTCAGAACAAGAACATGTTATTAATGCTGCATTCGAGTTACCTCGGAAGTCAGATGTCCTAGCTGGGAATGACGTCGCATCGGAGTTACCAGCGTTTCAGTTACAAAGTCGGAAAAAAGCAAAATCGGAGGCGGAAACAAGATGGCTACATCTACAAAAGTTATTTTAGCGCCTGTTATTTTAGTTATTTTAAGTTATTTTAGCATCTCCTTTTGTAGATGTAGCCATCTTGTTTCCACCTCCGATTTCGCTTTTTTCCGACTTGGTAACTGAAACGCTGGTAACTCGGGTGTGACGTCATTCCCAGCTCAGACATCTGACTTCCGAGGTAACTTGGAGTAATTTTTCAGGGTCTCAGTAGTAATTTTATAACCAAACAAAAACTCTCCATTTAAGAGCTTTACATATGTCCTTTCACATGATGAACTTACAGGGCATCCCGTCAATGTCATCAACAGCGACTTCGAGGGGAACACCATCTATGTCATCAACAGGATCTCCATCAAGATTCCAGCCTATGGGGCAGCCGTCCAGGTCATCCATGAGGGCTGAGTTTGAACATGTCGTTTTGCTGACCATTGGAACACCATCGAGACCAGAAGACGCATCCTAAAAGGTGAGGACACAATGGAGCATCTGTTAAAGTTGTTTCAGTCCAAACATGCTTGATCATCAGATATTTTCCAGCATGAACAGCTGTTTAATTAGCTGTAAAGCAATTAAGAGAAAAGCGATAAAGTCTGTAATGAGCAGATATGTATTCAGCTCACCTCTGGGGTCTCTGTGGACTCCTCCCCTACATAGACTAAGCCCAGACAGATGTTTTGAAGGTGGAGTAGATGATAGTCAGGATAAATATCCCACTCCTGCCATGCTCTGACACAATTCAAGACTTTTTGCTGTAGACAAAGAAAAACAGTTTTAACTTGCTGCTTATTTGCCTCACACAACGACAGTGGATAAGAACATTTACCTGAAACTGCTCAGCCTGCAGCCTGGATTGTATGTTTCTGTGTGCTGCATTAAGATCCCGGATTATCTGTGTTAGCTTTTTTTCAAAACTGGAAAGTTAGAGACAAAAATAACTTAGAGCTCTCAGATAAAGAAAAGATCAATTATGATACAAAAATTGATGGTGAACTACTACAAAGTCTCTTACTGTCTACGATAATATGATGCACCAGCAACTTTTGCAAAGGAGTTGTGCAAGATGTCTGACACAAGATACAACCTGGCAATCTGTAGGTGTGAGGACAGAAGACAACAAATGTTACAGGCGTAATCATGTCGACTTTAACAACTTTGCTCATGTGAAAGCATACTAGCCTTGTTGGAAAGAGGTGCCTGACTCCATGAAAAAGACTCAGTGATGAGTCTCACTACTTCTTCAGCTGCATCTGCTCGCTCCAGACAGAACAACATACCACGGATGATGTCTTTTCTGCTCGGGGTGAGCGCTGTAAGTAAGGTCTCCAGCCTCTGTTTGTCTCTGAGTGGCATTAACAGAAGAATAACAAAGACTTCAATTTAATTTGGATGAAGTTAAAACCTTTATACCTGCTGAACATACATACTTAGCTCTGAGCTGCCCTCTCTTCACCTCCTCTTCAGAGGAAGCATCTTCTTCCTCCATTGAATCTTCACCTCTCTGAGGGTGGCTTACCGGGATAGGGGGTCTCCACATGGACCCGCCGCGGAACATACAAAAATCTGTAGTCCTCCACTCCGTCTGGGAATCTCCCTATTATAAGAACAGAAGTCGTAAATCCAACGATTGCTTCAAAATGAGACATAACAGGAGAATTTTTGAAAGATGAGGTTTTACTTCAGAAACCTGCCTGGAGGATGGAGAAAAGTTTCCAGCGATAGTATACATGGTCTTGACTTTTATTGTCAAAGAGGAACCTGTGACGGTAAAGAAAGAGTAAATTAAACATTAACCCTTCAAGGGCGCTTACATGAGCAACACACCGCTGCACAGGCACAGCAGTTCTTACCTGTATTCTGGATTTTTTATTTCTTTGTTCATTATAAGGGCTTCGAACACAAAGCCTTCACGCACCACAAACTCTACCATCCTGTGAATAAGAGACAAAAGACTCCTGTCGAGAAAGAAGAATATATTAGAGCAGGATATTTCTGTCAAAACTCTTCCCGCACATTAGAGAGTCAGTTGCAACATGAGATTGTAAAACCCCTTTTGTAGCTAGTTAGCCTCTAGCATGATCATTCAGGTAATTAAATAAGTGGACACAAAAGCAGCACACCACTGCCTCTGTCCTACAAGACTAGATACCAGCTGTGAAGTAAGAAGAGTGTGTGTACCTGTCTTTAGGGATTACCACCTGGACTACGGCTTTGGACAGAGTCTGTTTGTGAAGTCAAACCAAAATAGTGAAGACTGAATTAAAAAGTGAGCACTGACAGATGAAACACTGCAGCATACATACAGCACAGAAAACCAGTCAGTCAACAAAATGGTAGGGAAGGACTTCAGTAACTTATCACTCTAATAAGATGCAGAGATTTATCCAAAAGATATACAAGTTTGAAAACAGATATGCTGTGGTCAAAGTTAAAATATCATTGTAGATTGAATCTGTGCACTACTATCCCCTTCTCCCGATTGTCTTTGTTCACCTTTAATTGAAATTTGGTTTCAGGACACTCACTTGACTACGAGAACGGAGGTAACTCATGTCAATAACAAAGCCTGTAGTGCTTCATGGAACTTAAAATGAGCAACAAATATTAATCATGTAAATATCTCATATAACAGGGACAGGTATACCTTGTCAAGGTCCTCTTTGTCCGTGTCCAATGGTTTGGTGAAGTCATTCCGGAATCGATCTATTGGCTGAGCATTGAAAGGCAGACCAGAATGGGGTGGCATTGTTGCTCTCACCCCTGTGGATGTGTAAACAGGCTGACGGGGAATACGCACTGGTTTCGCCCATCCCATCTTCATCACGAACCCCATGATTTTTTTACCTGAGATACATAGATAAACTGTCCCACAATCATTGTCACCTTGAGGTCAAATGTATCTGCTAATTTTAAAAGTCAGCGTCACCTTCAAGTCCAGCCAAAGCTCGCTCTGCATCTTTCCGCATCATGAAAGCAACAAAGGCTCGGTTGGAGATCCTCAGGCGCTCCTCTGAGTTTCTGGGCCACATTATCCTCACACTGGCCAGAGGGCCATACTTACAGAACTCTTGACATAGCATTTCTTCATTCATCTAAACAAACAAAGAGAGTGAACAAAGAGAACTGACATCGATGCTGCGCTGAGCTAATCACAAGCAGTGAGCCTCCTCACCTTCTGACTGATCCGACTTATAAAGAGGTTAGTGGTGGCTGGTGCTGAAATCTCATCATATACTGCCAGTGGAAATAACAGCAGTTAGATGAGTGTTGGCATTAGCCATTTCCAAATAAAAGATTTCTCTGGAAGGGGGCTCTCACTTGATCGTCCAGCTGATGGTAAACACAGACCTCCCTCTCCTTCTCCTCCTTCTCTTCCTTCACCTCCGGTAACATTTTTCTTCCTTTTATACCTTTCTTCACGTTCTTCTTGTATTCTGCATATCATAAACACTTCATTAGGCTAAGATACCATCAAAAGAAAATGACTGAGCTTAAACATGATAGCGGCGTATTTACTCAGACGACGTACATCTTAAGTTCTTCTTTGAAGAGTTCAAGATTACTCTTCTGTTTCCCTTCTGTTGATCTTTTCTGGACCTGTCAACCAAGCAAGCAACTGCTGTGGTTATTCTTATAACAACCTGATCTCACAACACTGTTCAGAGTGAAAAAATGAAGAAAGGGGGCAAAAGCAGTTTCTGTTCACACTAAATTAGAGTATAAACCTGAACAACTTACAGTTTTTTTGCTGTCAGCAGCTGATACTGATGAGGCACGCTGGGACACAGGACTCAACTTAGTGGGATGTCGATACAGCTTAATTTTGTTGAGCACTGCTGCTTCCTCCTCTGCAAAAAAAATGTAGGAATCAATGAAACTTGACAACTTATCAATATATTCAGAGGAGATGGCAACTTTGGCTCCATTAAAAAGGAAGCAATTCTTTGCTCAGTCAGCGGGAAATCAGAACTCTGTAGATAGATTCCTTCAAGAAACAAACATAAACGAGTGAGTGTTGCTAGTGCGTTTGAAGGTAAGGAGTGAATCGATTAGATTTCTTTATGCATGACTACAAATAGAAGCGAAAGGTGTACGAATTTGGCATATTTATTTCATCATCATTTTATTATCTCAAAACTGAATTGTTTTGACCGGTACATTGAGAGACAACTCTTGATTCATTTTTCTCAGGAAGGAAAGAGAAAACTGCACTACAGCTGCATCCAACAACAACACCAAAATGATAGCCCTCTAAATGATTGCTTACCTTTAGTGGCATTAACAACACCCCCATGGACAAAAGGTTTCTTATTAGCCTCAAATGATGCCACAAATTCTTCAAAAACCTCTGCAGCTTTCTCTTGCTCCTATCAAGTGAAACAGAAACATATGGAGCATGTTTTTATGGCCTCATCATGTTCACACAGGCAGAATATGAACATTTTCTTTATGTTCTTACCTTTTTCTTGAGCTCTTTCAGTTTTTTCTGTGTGAGTAATTTGACCGGTGTGGCAGGTTTTCCCTTTCTATCTGCCATTCTCAACCTGCAAAAAAAAAAAAAAAATGCAAAAATTGAAGTTACAAACAAATAACATCTAAGATCCATTTAGTCCACTAACTTTAACATTTCACCCCTGGAGAGACTGCAACACCATAATTTCTCAATTCTAGCTGTGCCTATCAGATCTTTGTTGAAATTTTGAAGTTTTCCAAATGTCCTACTGAAAAGGCACCAGAGTCCAGTAAAGTTGAATCCAAAAAGCTTTACTCTACTTCACAGAATCATAAAGCAGTGATCAGCTATGCAGAGCGACTGACAATATGGTCATACAATATCACATCATATATATTTTTTGTATGAGGTGTGGGCCCTTCTTTTGCTTATTTTCCCTCTAGTCATCAAGTTTTTAATTGCATTTCACTACCTCCTTTATCTTGGAAAGTCCAGTTTTTAATTGGTGTCTGTCTGTGATTTATGGCGGTCAGAAAAACCTCCCTTCTATAATTAATGGTGACCAGATGCAGGCCTAGTTTCTCATATCTCTTATATCTCATATCTCTTGTAAGTTCATTCACTTTCATGGTAGTTCCTTTTCCAGTAAAAAGGGCCTCATCTTTTCTTAAATTCTGGTTTGAAGTTTCTTCTGGATTACAATTTTATAATATACAATGGTGTGTGTATTCTAGCCATCACAATACCCTCCACCAAGAAAAGTGATTTATATTGGGTCTTTACATTCACTGACAACAAAATACAGAGGTTCTGAATAGCCATGCATCCATACAAGTGACTTATTTCATTTTCCTTGCTAATGAGTAATTTTGCAAGAGGAAATTGATCCCCAAGTGTGCCATCTAGGTGTGATTCTCCAGCTGGGAGAAATTTGACTTAATGAGATTTTGGTTGGACTTCAGTGTGAACATGTATTTTCCAAGTCTGGTTTCAGTCAGGCACAATAACTTGATTTTAGATAATAACATTTCAAGTACTGGCTCAAGATGTAAATTAGGACTATTTCTATGTCTGTGTTGTTTTGGCAACTCTTACATACAGCTGTCATAATCTGGTGTTGATTTGGAATCGAAAAACTGAATTTAGCTCATTAGCAAAGGTATGGAAGCATGTCTGCTCAGGGCTTCCGTACAAATCCGTACTTTCTGCTGGGTCGCATCATCTAGTATTTTAACAGTGTCCTTTTAGGTCAGGTAATAGATTCAGACATTTCATAATGAAAACAAGCATGGACTGTAAAAGATGAGTTATACTTAGTAACATTCATTGCAATGTCTCCCCCACATATCGTCTATCGCTAGCGGTTGGCTGTGAAATGGAGATGTAGATGTTGGATGTTAATGACTATCTGAAGAAGTTGCCGAAAAACTAAAGCAGTATTAGTTTATAAATCGATTCAACAGATATCCTGGTTGTACAAACTGAGTTTAAAGGCCTCAACTGTCACTCCCCCCTGTTCCTCCTTTTTGCTAGCATGAGCTAACGGCTGCTTAGCTTAGCCTCTCTAGGACATAGTTTACTAATACAGTCAATCTTAAATGCTAGGTACAGCTCATATTTGTAGGTCGACCAATTTATAATGTATCTCATAATCATCACAGTTGCGAAAATCTGTTGTCGGTGGTAACTATTTATGTAAAACAGTGCATAGTCCAAGCTAACTCACATAACTGTCTCTTGTCTTCTTCCATAAAGGATCTACAGCCTGCACAGGATACAATACAACACAGCTATAAGTCGTGCATGCTAACAGCCTCATGCATTAACTTAAACTGGCACTTACTATGACTGACATGCTATTGCTTCAGCATTTTGAGTGCGAAGACAGTTAATGTTGCCTACATCACAACATGCTATCAGACAGAGGAGAGAGCTGGTCGGTGGAGGAGGACGCCTGCTGCCCAGTCTCTGCACCACGATGAAGGGAGTCTGTGATAGGGTTACTGCTGCTGCTGCTTCTATTGAAGGGTCCGGATAACCATTCACTTTTCAAGGTAACCTCTTACAGACCATGACAATTCACATCTAAATGTATTCATGTGGCTTATAGTTGAGAGGGTTTTTTTTTTCTGTAGCTCTATTTAAAGTTAAAGAGCATTCACAGGTCTTGCATCAACTCATAAGAGTAGACTTAAATGTTTCAAAAATTACAATAAGGTTACCAATATAGGGGAGAGTGGGGTAAGATGAGCCATTTTTCATATTTTAGATCTCTACATCAAGGCAATCATAGTTTTGTCTCTATCAAGTGTATCTGCATATATTTCAAGATGTTGTGCATCCCTGCAAACCAACAGAATGAGTGTAAACATAACTGTCTTGATAATATAGCATGCCAAAAAAAGTGATCTCCTTACCCCGTGCATGGGCTAAATTGAGCTGTATCCCTCCTACCATCCCACTCTCCACCCCAGCCCTCCCTCACCTTCTCTCTCCCTAAATAACAGTCACTTCTTAACATTCATGTGTGTTTTTATCTATTATATGCCATTCAACTGGTACAATAATTCTTTTAATTATTATTGCATATAACTGCTAAAAAGCTGTTTTGTAAAAAGCCATTTTAACATGAGAATGCCTTTAAGTGATTCAGAACATTCACAGCTGTATTTTTGAAAAGAAAAAGTAACACATTTCAACAATCTGAACTGAAACTCTGATCCTCTCATCAGACTCCTTTACTTTCTCCGTTGAGCCACTGGCTCAACTCACCCCAGAACTAACATGATGACTTTGCTAGTCCTCTAAGCTAAAAGGGTGGACTTTTATGTTATGTTTTTGACCTCATGTTGTAGCTCATAGATACCACAACTGATGTATAAAACAAATTTAAAATGATCATTTTTGGTCCGTACACAATTCTAACAAAACTTATGACAGACTAAATTCACTTTCAAGAGTGAAAAATGTTTTTTTGTAAATAAATGTCTAACCCCTTCACCCATGTGCTTCTAACCTTCACAGACTCCATGAATTGATGCCCATCTCCTAAATCTTTGGTCACATGATCAATTTTTCTTAACCATTTACAAGCAACAGGGGGTGGCTCAACTTACCCTTTGGCTCAACTTACCCCACTCTCCCCTACCCTTGATACAAGCAATCAATCAATCAATCAATCAATCAATCAATCAATCAATCAACTTTATTTCTATAGCACATTTAAAATAACCACAAGGGTAGCCAAAGTGCTGTACAATGACACATAAAAACAAATAACACAGATACAGCCTTAAACATATTTTTTGATTAACCACAACAGGTGTGATTGTGACATGTTTGTATGAAGCTGTATCTAATCATAAACATGTTCAAAACTATGAATCATGCAGAAGCTTTCTGAGATTGTTGACATCCTTCCATCTTCTTGCAACTGAACTTCTCTGTTAAGGCCCCTGTGAGGAGTTTTTCCACATCTATAAAATAGCCTGAAATTCATTTTGAAGCCCCCTCATCATATCCAAAAGCAAACATGATAATCAGTGACAAGACTGTCTATTTTTACATTGTAATTTTAAATGCTTGAAAGCGGTGCAAGGGGGTGGGTGTCAGCTGAGCAGCAAAAGAAAATATCCACAGAAAATATTCACAATGGTAAGACATGCCCATGTAAGGTTGGCAGGATTTGATTTTGGACTTAAAGTCACGACTTGTGCATGTACAGGGTAAGAGAACAAAGCAAAAATGCTTTGACAGTATAGTTTGAAAACTACACTTATAAAGCCACGGACAGAACAACACTTTTTCACTGTGAAGCTAAAACCTCTAGAGCTCCCCCTAGTGACTGGTTGCTGTGTAGGTCTGAAAGTCTGCCTCCTCCATAATGACAGGTGGAATTCATCACTAATGCAGAAAATATAGCCTATTATCAACCTTACTCCTCCTATCATTTCACAGTTATCTTTTTTACAGTCTCCCTTCAGACATAAGTTGAAATTCAGCTATGCATTTCCTCTCATTCTCTGACAAATCAGTTGAGAAAGATCTTCATACAGCTTTCGATGAGTCTAACAAACTGACAGCATTCAGATCCTGCTGTTCTCCATATTAACTGTTTAAACCAGCAGATCTATACCTCCATCCTTTTTTGTTAAATGGTGGATACAAAATTTGATTCTCAATTTATTTTTAATGCAACAATAAATAATAATAAAAAGAAACGTCCACAAATACTGATATCCTTAACTTTATACTCTGCATCTTTGGTTGATTGCACACAGTTTGAACTCTAAGGTCTTTTCTACCTGAGTAACTGCTTCAGTTTTCTCGAATTTGAAAGTAACTTTGTTCCTCTTGTGATTCAGATAAGCTATAGATTTTCAGTGAAGGGGGCATTTTACATGGTCCAATGTTTTTGTCATAGTGTTGAGGATTAATTGCCACCATTAACCCAATGTAAGACCCCTGACCCACAAATAAGGCTTTCTGATAAAGAGCAATTTATGTTTGGTTTCCCTTGATAGCCTTGTGGTTTCACTGTGCGCTGCATAGATTCAAAGCACCAGTGCCTGAGGCAGCACATCAACCCAATAACGTCAAAGACTACCTCATGTTCAGGGTATACATCATGTTCTTTTTATTGACGACTTTATTCATTCTCTGAATACATGGTTGATATTATGTGCAAATGTGACTCAGATTTTTTTTTATCTAGCCCAAAGCGGACTCTTCCAGAGGGACTGTGTCTGGTTCACATACTGTACATTTTAGCAAACTCTAGTCAGTCTTGTGTTTCCTCTTGTTATCTATTTTATGTAAGCAGAAACTCAATTATCTTCACATACATTGTCATGTATGGACCATTTCTTTAATTTCAACCTTGTTCAGAGTGAATAGGGTTGTGTTCAGAGTACTTCAATTTAAATCTCTTTTTGTCATTGGCTTTGTATCACTAAAATAATCTGCTCCAGAAAATGTAGAAAAGGAAATGCAATACAATTTAGACAATAGGAGACAGTAGTTTACATTGTGTTAAGTAGGACAGAGCCTTATTAATTTATTGGTCATTTCTTACTTGATCTATCCTTAAAGAGAAGTTCTGAAAACAGTCACAGCACATATCTTAGAAGTACTCATAAAATATGTCAGAATAACTATTACAATGTTGGTCTGACCCCAAATAGCCAAAATGCCAAATATAAAGTTAATGGTGAGGTTGCTTTCTTGTGAATATAGTGGTGGGTACACATTATAAAATATTAGCACAAGCATACGTGATGATTGTTATAAAAGTCAGGGATATCTAATTATAAAAAAATACACATAAAGGCAGTTGGCGATAAAACATCTCATAAGATAGTTTTCATTTGATTGATGAAGTCAAAGATGTGGAAATCTATAGAGTTTAGAGGTATGGGTGCTTCTGGCAGGAATTCTATGCTGCAAAGGTCATCACAAATGTTCAGTGAGTGCCCATAAAAATGTCATATTCGGTGCTATACTTCAGTTGTCTTCAGTACGGTTGTTTGGTCAACCAGAAAAGCATTTTATGAACAACTTTGTCTGAGATTAAAAAATGATGGTTCTTTTAATCGAAGGCCCATATTTCAGCCTGCCAATATTACTCTTAAAAAAGACTCTCGGTAAGTTGCAGATAAATGGTAACTGAACTTCACTTTTAACTCCTTGCTAGTCCTCTCACCACTTGAAACCTTTTCACACAAACATTTGATACTCACAGCTTAAAGAGATATTCTGGTGTAAAATTAATTAGGATCAAACATACCGTAACACAGAGTTAGACACCCCCTCAATAGATGAATGTTGCCGACTGCTTGCTTCTCTAGTTATACCAACTTCAGTAACGACCGCAGGATAGCAATACACAGCGGTCTGAGGAGCCATGAACAAACCTTAAACCAAAAAGCCACTCTATAGCCACCAATAATGCTCAGAACAGCACCTAACTTCATCAACAGTACATATAGGGTCCCAGCCATAGCACTAGCCACCAAACATCTTTTTAAGTTTGCCTAATTTCTTTAGCAAAGAGACTAACCACAACTCACCCACTCTCTTCCAGCAGCTGCTTGTTGGTAGCGAGACCTCAGGCCAGTCCATTATGGAATACAGCGGGGTGATGCAGCTCAAGGAAGAACATTTATGATCATTACTTTATCATTTCCATGAAGTAATAATCACCATATTAATCATTTTGCACTGCAGATGCGGTAGTTCTTCTGCCTTCGCATCTCAGTCTGATTGCATTTTCATGCATCCTAAATGTTCTTCCTTGAGCTGCGTCACCCCACTGTAGTCCATAATGGACTGGCCCGAGGTCTCCCTACAAACAAGCGGCTGCTGGAAGAGAGTGGGTGAGTTGTGTTTAGTCTCTTTGCTAAAGAAATTAGGCAAAGTTAAAAAGATATTCGGTGGCTAGTGCTGTGGCTGGGACCCTATATGTACTGTTGATGAAGTTAGGTGCTGTTCTGAACATTATTTGAGGCTATAGAGTGGCTTTTAGGTTCAGGTTTGTTTATGGCTCCTCAGAACGCTGTGTATTGCTATCATGCGGTTGTTACTAAAGTTGGTATAACTAGAGAAGCAAGCGGTCGGCAACATTCATGTCTCGAGGGGATGTCTCAGTCGGTGTTACGGTGTGTTTGACCCTAAACTAATTTTACACCGGAGAATCCCTTTAATTGAATAAAATTAAGAATTATAATTAAAAAAAATCAAACAACATAATCAACTTCTCCTGCAGGGTTCAAACGTTGAATGCTTAGCTAAAACTAGACTCTTTACTAATAGATCTGTCACAGAAAGTCCAACATTTTTGGACCTTCTGAACCACTTTTATCGTTAATATTTTCTTTTTTCAAAATTTGGCTCTTTAAGTGTTTGAGGTTGAACCATGCACAAGGAACGGTTTGACAGTAATGTAATTAAATTTTCCTTTTGACTCTGACAAATATCACATTGTAATGATGTAGCCTATAGTATTTAGAAAAAAAAGTGGCATCATACTGAACTTTGCATTGATAAAACTGTGTCTGATATATATATTTTGTCCTAATAATTCCTTTTAATTTGGCACTACCCTCAGGCAATATGGCCCACATTTGAGAAAATCTGAACATAGGTTTTCATGAAGGGCCCCTGCTGCATGTCTGCCACACTGAGGCCCCTGCTGGGAGTTTAGCATGAGCAGGTGTAAGAAGGGTAAAAGCCTAAAATGGCCACCAAACCGTGTTCACCATCACCATCATCATCATCACCATCATCAGCAGCAGAAGCAGCTCCACCTCAGAGGAAGCCCATCCCCTAGCGTCCGTCCCGGGAACGTACCCCGTATGCGCATGGGCGGAGAAACTGCCGCTGTGCGCTGTTATTATTGTAAGAGTAATTTCTTTTTTACGAAAATGGCGTCCAGTCAGGGAGGTGTGGGAGCTGTCACGGCTCTACAAAACCATCATTACCCCAGCGGACCTCACTGGAGCCCGGGCATCAGCCAGTACCAGCAGCCGCACCAGCAGCAGCAGCAGCACCACACGGCCCGGAGCTTAGACCGGGCTTTGGAGGATGCGGTCTGCTCCGGGATCCTCAACCTGAGCGGCAGGAAACTGAGGGAGTACCCGGGGATGAGCTACGACCTGACGGATACAACACAAGCAGGTGGGTGGGTGCATGCATGGACTGAAAGACATCACATGTAAGACACAGGCAGCGTGCTTCAATGGAGATGTGCTCAGAGATTTATGTGTCTTTGAATGCAGCACGTCCGCATTGTGGGTGCATTTCTGTCTAGTCTGGGCGCATTAATATATAGGTGACAATATTTAAAGGGATATACCGTCCACTGGGTTGGCTTCTGTGAATGCACACAGCTTTACACACCCTTGTTGTAATTACTGTCCACTTAGTCTCATATATCACACCACTTTTCTGCACAGGGGGGCTCGGCTGCTGTTGTGTGGTTGTTTTGGTCGACGCCAGCAGCTTTCAGTCTCTCTCTCCCCCCCAGGAGACACATGAATGAGACGGCAGGCGCACCCAAAGCCAGGCGCTGTGCAGCGGTTTGTACACCAAGCCGCAGTAGATTTGGCACTGGAGCTGCTGGCGTGCTGGAGCAGAATATGAATGAACCGGGAGGCTCGGTTGTAGATCTTGCTCATTGAATATAATTTGCGCTGAGCATCTGATAGGCTACACCTACATGCTCTACTTTTTTTATTTTTTTCAGTTTCGGCACAACCAGACAAAAGATGCAGCGCACTTGCAGCCTCACCCCCTGCTTGCCTGCCTGCATGCTTGCCTGGGTGCATATGCCCATACAGCCCAGAAAGCTTTGTGAAGGAGAAAGACACAAGTCTGCTTTTTATTTCTTATCTATGGTATAAGCCATGTCAGGTCTTTAGTGTTGAATTACAATTATTATTGGTTTTACACATTCATGAAATCAGTGAGGCTTGTGCTTCCTCAAAATACTTCTATTCATTTGTCTTTGATATGGTGGTTTAAGGAAGCAATTATTTCCCAATCGTAATAAATCACTCATTGCCATTAAAGAGGACATCTCAATTATGCTGGACCCCACAGTGATAGTTTCCCCTCTCTCTCCTCATATACCATATGGTGCTACTCCACCATTTGCAGCTTGTGGCAAGCATCTAGTTTGAGCCATTTCCCCAAGGGGTTTCAAATTTTCTGCTCAAAGGTTTTGGTCCCAGCCTGTGTGACCAGCTGAAAGATTTGAGCACATGGGGACAAATCATATATGTAGCAGGTTAAGGTAGTTAAGATAGAATGGTGGAATCGTGAATTGCTTGTGTCTGAAGGGTGTGAAAGCCTGTATTGCATTTGTATAGATGTGAAGTGCATATTTCTATGCACAGACTGCCTTAGAAGGGAGAGACAGATTGAACAGGAAGTTAGCATGCACTATTTCTGGACTGCTGGGTTGCACAAACTCTGCTCTTTATTTATAATAAACTGTGGTAACAATCAGCATGTCTCTTTCTAAAACAAGACCTTCCGATTTCATTGTTACTGCTATAATGAGTGCAGCTTATATAACTCTGGTGGGGATCAGCAGAGATATGACACATTTTGGTCACACCTTTCATGTCTGGTTTTCAGTGTAACTCAACTCATCACCGTGAAAGCTGGTGCCTGTTTGCTTGCTTTTCACATCTTCATTTAGACGTTTGAATAAAAGGTGTGCTGGGAGGATGTCTCACTCTCAGACGAGCGAGGAGAGAACAACACCTTACAGCACCACCCTTTACATCAGCCTCACAGTCGTACTTTACAATGCTGCAGTCAGAGGCATGTTAAAGTGAAACCAACACTATACAGAATCTTAGATAAACACACGGTCCTTCTGCTTTCAGTGCAATCAAGACACAACAGATAATTAAAACCTGTCTCTTCTCAGCCAATCAGTTTTTGAGTTTTTGAATATTTTTAATATCAGTCAGGTGTAGCCTCTTTAGTTTTCAACATGTCTCTCAAAGGTAAAAAAAAAATACTTTGGAATGAAGGACAAGAAATGAAAGCAGGAAACCAACCCCGAGCCATTGTTGTCAGATTGCTCACACAATTGGGGGGGGGGGGAGCTTAAATTCTCAGCAAACAGTTGATCTAGCTAGGTAGTGGTTGAATGCTAAAATCACACTGATAATAAAACCATATAATAGGTGGACAAATATTTCTAACTTTGAACTAATTAGGCCTCTAGGTGGGCAATGCGCCGTTGCCTTTGTAGCTAATATGCTATCAATTTGGGTGTTTTAAGGATGCAGCATGTTTGCTTTTCCTTATTTCTCTCAAAGTAACTTTACAAAGAAACTTTACAGGAAAAAAAGAAGGAATGATCAAAACCTTGTGACAGTGAACTATATGACAATTATTAAGCTCTTTTTCTATAGAATATTTAGATCGGGATCTTTAATGGAGACCCCAGCATGAGGCCCCAGCATTAACTGGCAGTGATTAAAAATTCACTCCACCCCTTTGCTTTTCAGTAGTTAAATGGGTTTTTTATACAGAAAAGCATTTTATTGAGTGCCCCCCATCTGACCAACGAGGAGCAGAAGGCTGCAGTGTGTGCACACAGAGAAAAGAGAGAGGACAGCTCACACTGGGGTGTCTGTTTGCTGTGTGCTCACTGGCAGTTTGTCTCCACTCAGTTTGTTTTCCCATGAGGGAGTGAAAGATCTTTGAGCTGCTGCCCTGACCTTGGAGAGGGGCTGAGGAGAAGGGCATTAACCTGGGCAGATGTTCAGATTTACATCCTAACATGCCTCAGCCTGCCTTACCCTACCCCAGAGGGCACAAGCATGCACATACGTTGCACAGTGCGCCACCATGCAGTGCGTTAACAGACATAACACTAAGCTGCTGAGCTGTATGTGATATCAATCAGAGGAATGAACAAATGTATTTCAAACCCCAAACTCTTTTTGATTTCTGAGGAAGCTTAATAACTTATTTACTGTTTACTCAAAATGTGGGTCAGGCAAGAGATTTAGTTTATTTCATCTCTTGTTTTGCGACTCTGCACCAAAAACACCAAAAAGACTGTACAGTCTTTTTAACAAATGAGTCCTCCACCATCTTGCACATTCTCATGTCCTCTGTTAAGGCTCTGGTTTAATATTTAGTGTCCAAATGAAGCTCCAAGTGTAAGGTCAGAGAAACGATAAGGAAGTGAGATTTCTGTCGCCAACCAAGGATACGTGTAATAGTGATTCGACAGCCAAGGACAAACCAAAAGCTGCAGGATCCCTCATGTGTAATGTATCATGTACAAACTTTTGAAGTGAACTAGCTGGTTGAACAGGTGGCAAAATTAATATTCCATGTCTTGAGTTGAAACTCAGGGCACATCTCTTATTGTAAGACTGTAATGCTAAGAAGTTCGGTATGGTGTGAAGGACAACTCAACAAAGACGGACGTATTGTGCTTTTGCATTCTTGAATTTAATTATTGACTTGTGGTAAAATCTGAAGTGTCACTGTTCATTAAAGAACAAGAACATTTTGGTCCAGCTATTTTCCAATCAAGAGGAATACAACACACTCTGTACTTTTCTCTGTGCTCCATCTCACTGGAGGTACATGAAAATATTCAGGCTGTTTTGTCCCGTCTTTTCTGTTGTTAGCGCTCAGCGAACAAAGACAGGTGCTGGTGGGATGGCTACAGAAAAGGAGTGCCCCCAAGAAATAGAGTACGTTACACTGATAATATAGAACGCAAACAATGGGAGACTGGCAATATGAGTGTGGCCTGAAAAAAACCCCACATTCCCAACTGGTAAATCTTCCCTCAGGGCTCCGTTTCTCGTGTCCTTCTGCATGTCTAGACAAGACATATGTGTACCTTTCAGCAGGAACACATGCCCCAACTGAAAACTGCATGCATAAAAATAACCAGTATGATCAGGATTATCATTATCCGTGATAAAAAAAGAAGTTGCAGGCCTAATTGTTCAATAAATGGCTGATGAGTTTCTCCTTGTCTAAACTGCAAAGAACAGGTGATGATGAATGCTTGCTGGAGACTATCTCCCACAGTTACTACCTCCATATTTAAAATTGTGACACTTATTGTCCTGATTTTAATGACTTTGAACCTTCCTGCTGTTCCTCTAAAATTTCCTCTGATTCCCAGGAAGTTAAAAAGAGACACGCTAACATATTCTAACGTATTCTCAGAGCTGGGAAGAAGACAAAGAGAGACCTATTTCTCGTGAGAGTTGAAAGAACTTTGATAAAAAAACATCAAGTGCATACTGTATGACTATATTCAGTTTGTAATGTAAGCTAGAGGGTTCAGTTTTGGTGCTACAACATGTGATTATTATCATAATTGTTTTTCAGAATCTGTCAGAGGACATCTGTAAAGATTGTGTGTGAACCAAGTGTAACTGTTATCTGCCCGAAAAGATCATTCAAAGTCATGTGTAATCAACATTTACCATGTTCATTTTCATGAACAGATTGCAAATTTGTGTCAGCTGTGATTATATTTTGTATGTCAGGTTAAAGATAGTCCCTAATACTTCATGAATGCCATAGAAAGTCACAAAATTACTACATTACCATGGGTGAACGTGTTTTGAAGACAGGGCCACACCCATATGTATAGATTTTAAACACTAACAGGCCCTTATGCACTATGATGGCAGGTGTGGTTAAATATGTAGTGAAAAGAGCCAATAAAAACGCCACTCTAAAGCAACCAGAGAATATGTATGTCAAATAAACCAGAATAATGCAGTAATACCTTAATATTATCTAGACGTAGCATTGTACAAAATATCTTTTAGATGGAAAAACATCAAAAGATAAATGAAAAATAAACTATCAAATAGTGTCAAGAGATTGAATTATCACGGAGACACCACATCTGTTGATGTGAAATTAAAGCTCATGTGAGAATTCCCCCCCCCCCCCTATGAAATAGACTGAAATTCATATAGATGCCTTTATATGGCATCTAAAAGTACAGAAGGACATCAGCCTCAAGATTTCAGATTTTCGTGTCTTCATATTTAATGTCTAAAACAGGTGCAAGAGGGGGTAGGTTTCTTTCTTTCTTTCTTTCTTTCTTTCTTTCTTTCTTTCTTTCTATGTGTTCCAACCATGGCAAATCTCAACATTTCTTATTCATTGGTTGGAAGGGAGCAGGAAGAAGATTCAAGAGGTTTAAGGAAAGGAGCAGAGGAAAAAGCTGTGTTTCTACAATGTCCACAAAAATAGGTATTATAAATGATATATTTGACTAAAAACTCAGCAAGAAGAGAGAAAAATAGCTGTTCAAGCATGTAGAAGACAAAGGTTGGTTGAGCCACAGGGAGTGTCAAAATAGACTCAAAGGGAAAGTTCCTCACAGGAGCTTTCACTCATGATGTATTACTTATATATTTGTGAGTATGGGATTAACTGAAAGTATGACATTGCTTTATACCTTCAATTAAGAATACTTCCTGTCTGGTCAACTAAAGCTCCTATGAGGAAATTTTCACATCTATGACAGCACCTGAGATTCATACTGATGACTTCTCAAGATATCTAAAAGCAAACAAGATCATCAGCAACAACACTGATGATTTTTATATTGTGATGTTAAATGCCTGAAACTGTTGGGAGCAGGTAGGTGTCAGCCAAGCAGCTGAATAAACAGCCCTGTTTGTACCATTTCCACATAAAGTATTCACAATAAAGAGACATTTGTGAATCTGCAGGTAGTTAAAGTATCATTTATAGTATCATAGCTACATTTTTTAAGATGACCTCTGTTTTTCAAAGTGGAATATGCGCATATGCAACAACTCCTTGAAGAAAGGGCCTCAGGACATCTTTATGCTTATGTATGACACTGTCTGTGTATGCGTGTATGTGTTGTTTGCAGTATGTGGCATTCACTGATATATATAATGGCCAGAGGGAAGTATTAGTTCTGTGTGAGGGTGACTCTTGGCCTAGTTTAGGACAAAGTTGTTGCCTGATCATGAGCCCAAGAGTTACGATGAGTTTCCCCATGAAAGCACGCACGGACATCCCCTCACAAAGAAGCTGTGCAATTACAGGGACCTGAGACTTCCCCGGGCCATGTCCTAGCTAACAGTAATTTCAGCTGGAAATGGGTTTAATGTTTTAATGAAAGTATAAATATGTAGCTAACTCTATTGTGTGACCTCGGCAGAAAATTGTCTCTGTGTGAAGAGGATTCAGACACAGAAACAGAATCAGCTGGAACAAATTGATAGCAGAAGGACTTTCTTTGAATATCAAACACGTCATGTAAATCAAAGACAAACATTGTGCTAATAGAAGGTACATGCCTGACTCTGAACACCCAGCTGTGCTCAGGACCACACCCAGATCCTTCCAGCATAAATCTGTGGTCACGTCTGCCGCAGGACACACATAATTAACCCTAATTAATCATGATTTTGTCAGGTTCCTTCTCATTAAACTGATGCTTGAAGTGAATCTGCTTCCATGGTACTGGCCTTCAGGTTTTCTTTGCATGTCATGCTTGGATTTCTTCAAGACCATTTTTGATAATTTTGCTTTTTTTTTCGTTGGAGTTGATTTTTGTTCTCAGTGCCATCTTTTAATATTTCATGTTTTGTATCTTTCTGCACAAACTTACAAGAGATAAAAGACTACGGTCTGCTGTTTGCACCAGCTCTCAGCAGGATATCTAACAGTACGGAGTGTGCTGTGTCACTACACTGGTCTAAAAGTATTAATGAATGGATTCATGGTTTTGGCTTGAGGGTGCAGTTTTGCAAAGGAGCTGTGGATGAGTTTGTCTGCCTGGCGCGGCATGTCCTGCGGGAGCTCTGGTCGACCAGCAGGTGGATAAGAGGCCCACTGTGAGCTGCAGATGGTGCATGGTCTGGGTTGGAAAAGGGGAGCGAGGGGATGGCTCACAAAGCCTGCCTCCACCCACCCCCCATCTCCAATCGACCCACATGATTCCACTGAAGAATCCCCAGTTGTGGGGCAGATGAAGGGAGAGAGGTTGGATTGTTGTCTATGTGCAGCTGGGTTACAGCGTCAAGGTCCCAGCCTTAGGGAGCAGCGCAATTTACTCTTAATGGAAAACAAGTATAGCCTGTGACCTCAGCTTTAGTCTGTCCCCATGTGGTCATTTCTGTTTCCCTTAACCTCTGGGCATGTTTTCTTCTTTGTGACACTGACTGTCTCATGGTCTGTCTTCTCACTTCTGCTTATTCGCTGCTGTCTGAGCTGTGAAATACAACTACAGAGAGCTGCCTGTCTGCTCTGATGTTGCTCATTTAAGGCTTGTCGGAAAAAAAGAGAGCCTATTTAAAGACGTAGGCACAACTGACATATTATTCTGCTATTCTTATGATGACTTGAAACCTCACAGAGTAGATATTTAAGGCTGCAAAACCTGCATGTATGTGTTTTAATTTTGTTTGAATAAGAGCTACTCATGTTGGATACTTTTATAGTAATCTATTCCCAGCAATCAGAAACCGCTTAACAGTAGGTCAGTGAGCCTTTGCTTCCAGGAAAGCCCATAAAGCTCAATTGTTTGATAAAGAGTAGCAGGGACTTGCAGTTGCATGCATTAAAGAGATGAAGGTGTGCTTGTGTTTGCTCTCCCAGTTGTACAGATGTAGCACTTAGGTAAAGTGGGACTAAATAATTGAAAGCTGTTTTTTTTTTATCTGTGGCTGTGCAGCTTTCCACATATATCTGTAGTTATTGTGTCACCCAGAGCAGTGTTGTTTTTGGCAGGCATTTTAGATTTAGTTTTAGTCTTAGTCATTTTGACGAAATGCTTCTTCGTTTTCGTCCCATTTTAGTCATTTCTATCCTTGATAGTTTTCGTCTAGTTTTAGTCCGACGAAAACTCAAAAGGTTTTAGTCTAGTTTTAGTCTCTCGAAAAGGTGCCTTTTGAGGTTCGTGGTGTTCTTTCCCGACAGTTTGAAGCTGCAGCATGAGGAAGCTGTGGCTCCACAACTGTCGCCTGTCTCGTCTCCCCGTCCCCGTACAAGACATTGTGTTTTATTGTCACTTGAACTGTATCTGAACGAGGACCAAAAATCATCCCTCTTTTTTCGGCCACCGGACACCGCTGCTGTGCCTGCCGCCACGGTGTGTGTGTGCGCGCGCCTCGTCCACCTGCCGCTCTGTGTATGTGTATGAGTGTGTGCGCGCAGCTGTGCGCGAGCGAGGCTTTTGGTGCGTGTGTGATGGGGGCGTGACTGTTAGGACAAAAAAAGCATGTTTTGAAACTTTGTTCGTCCACCTAATAACAATCTAGTCTCGTCTCGTTCTCGTCTGACGAAAATGAATACAATTTTCGTCACATTTTAGTCTTTACAGAGCTTTGGTTACGTTCGTCTTAGTCTCATTTTCGTCAAGGAAAAAAGGGGTCTGACGTCGTCATTTAAGTTTTCGTCCTGCCTGACGAAAACAACACTGACCCAGAGATAATTCAGAAGACACACATACAGCTATTCAATCAATGTGTCTAAAGGTGACGTCTACACAATGCAAGCGCGTCTTTGTGTGTTGTTTTCATGGATGCTATGTATACCTGTGTTTCCTGTGAAAACGCAGTCTTGTTTATGGAGGAATTGACACAAAGAAAGATGGTGAAACAGAAATGTGTGAGTGTTTGTGTGTGAGTGTGGGTGCTGTGAGATGTCTTTGATTGAGTGCTGTGTGAGTGATTCAGCAACCTTGAGGGATAAAGTGCCTCAACCTAAGCTTTGTGCATGATCAGAAGGCGTGCCTGAAATATAGCCTTCCAGAGGGAGAGTGAGTGTAGTTGGTGATGTATATTAAGGTTTGATATGTCCTGTGTGCACATGAGAAAGGCCTGAATTTTGACAGTTGAGTAATGAGGCCAACCAGCAGTATCTGCCTGAGTGTCCTTTTCTCATTCACATTCAGAGAGAGAGAGAGATATGCTGCGATTCATTGACAGGCAGAGATTACTTTCACATCCCTCTTTCAGAATAGAAGCTCCAATCTGCTCTTGGTTGGTAAGTGTAAGGTTATGAATTTGCAGCAGATTGCCTTTAGTTATAGAGTGGAGCACACTGTTATTTGGTTATGACAGCATCTTATTCTTTTAATTTTCAACAAGTCCTGTATGTTCAGTAAGCACCGTAGAAAATTTGACTTTCACACCAAGTTAAATATCACAATACTTGACACTAAAATGATACCTAAAACTGAAACAACACTGCTTTAAAACACAATGACTACATAAGAAGCAGGGAGTCTACAAGGGTAGGTCACTTTGGGTTTCATAGTTTATGAAAAAGTGTGATTTTAACAACAGACCAATTCATTTTTAAAGCTTTCAAAGCAACCAAGTCACATCTTCCTATATTCAAGAAGCAGTATGTTTATGATGTATGTTCACAAACTTAACATGAAAGTGTGCTTTGTGAACTGGCCTCACTCTGTGACGCTACAAAACCACCATAGAAGAGGGTGCAGGAATGAAGCCCGGTGCTATTTAGCTGTCGCACATGTGCGAGTCTCGCAAATAACTGTAGCTTTATACTGTACATTTGTTGTATTTGTACTCTGTTGTAATGCGCTTGTCATGTTATTTGGAATCCACTGTGGGTCAGACATTTGACACGCCACAAATACGCTGACATCATGTATCAGGGGCGATAAAATTAAAAAGCACATCAACATCGGAGCTAGTCTGCTAACTTATATACTCACCTTGGATAGGCCATCAGAGTGTCTGTCACTGTGGTTCTCGATAAGGTTTGACGCGTTTCCTCTCTTACATTACACTGTTTGCTCAAATGTTTCGATAACAGCCCTCAGGGTCACCAGTGCGTGGCATGGAGGATACATAGTTCCTGTCCAGGCAGGGGCATGTCTCTGAAGAGTTGGTATTTTTATTTCTGTGCATGCTTTCTCCACACACACTCAAAGGACATGCTAATTAGGTTACCCCTATAGTGTCCATGGGAGTATATACGTGGATGACTGGTTGCTAGTTGAACTGGTGACCAGTTCAGAGTGTGCCCCACCTTTCACTCAATGCAGCTCGAATCAGCTCCAGCCCATGTGAAGCTGAAAGGGATTAGCAGAAATAATGACAGACATCAGACTGGATTTGAAATTATATGTCTGTACTTAAAACTATCTATTCAGAATTACACATGTGCAATTATCTTATACATAGCGGTGGCAGAAAAAATCGATACAGCATAGTATCGCAATATTTTTTCTGGTGATATATCGTATTGTGTCATTCACCAAGTATCGACGTTTTCAAATTAATTGTTAATATGAAGTCAAATCTATGATAATGGAAAAATAAAATCAACTGTTTGTCCAGTGAGGTTGACAGAAGTGACATCATAGAGCAGGAGAAAGTTAGTACAATAAAAAAATATATATCTATAAGATTTGCAAGATGTGCTACATAAAAATAAAATACAGCGTAAATAAGACAAACATAAAGAAAAGACAAATGCTAAGTTTGCTAAACAGTTGAAAAAATGTAAAAATCGCAATATATTGTATCACAATGCTTTATTGCAAAATGTTAAAAATCGCAATAATATCGCATCATGGCCCAAGTATTGTGATAATATCGTAAATGTAGGGCCACTAGTGATTCCCACCCCTATTATACATAACAAGGGTATAACTCATTGTGCTCAAGTATATTGAAGAAAACAAAATATATTTATCAGTCTGAATTATTTAAGCTCATATGTTCACCTACTTTTGACAGAAATAGCTGTGGGTGGGCGCTGACAGATTCTACCTACTCCCTGAGATGTAAAGTCATTGCTGTGCCACTCCCAGTGTGATCAGTATTGGAAATACTGAGATATTACACCATCAGTAGCTCCCCTCCTTTTGAAGCCCAAAGACTCGAGTGTAATCTTAGACGAATGTTCAATGAGGAGGCATGCTGCCCATCGTTCAGCCACAGAGACGCATTGATTATCCTTTCTCCTGCAGCAAAACATAATGGATGCACAAAGATTATAATGTGTCACCTGCATGTTGAAAGTGTGTTTTTATTTTATCCGATTCAGATTTGTCGAAGAACCGCCTCACAGAAATCCCCCCTGAAGTCTGTATGTTCGCCCCCCTCGAGTCACTCAACCTCTACCACAACTGCATCAAATGCATCCCAGAAGCCATCATCAACCTGCAGATGCTGACTTATCTTGACATCAGGTAGGTCATCGCTAACGCAGCTTTCAGCTTTGTTCCTGATGTGTCTCATGTGTTCAGTTTAAAACCTCAAGAGAAGCTTCGAGTTCCCTTTTCACTGAAAAACAAGACAGAAAATGCTTATATGAAAGAGGGGCAGTTCCTCTATCCCCAGTCACCAAATACTCTCCGCTACATACTTCTGTTTACTGTTTGAAATATAGGTCATTGTTTTTTCTTTCTCTTCAGCCGAAATCTCTTGTCAGTCCTGCCAAAATACTTGTTCAGCCTCCCCCTCAAAGTTCTGCTTGTGAGCAACAACAAGCTGGTGTCTGTCCCCGAGGAGATCGGGAGGGCCAAAGAGTTGATGGAGCTGGTGAGCAGTGTGTTTGTTAGTATACTTGAACTTTTGCAAATCCTACTGCCTTTGTAATCAAATTCCTTGCACTCTGTCTCCCCTTGCAGGACATAAGCTGCAATGAGATCCAGGTGCTGCCAGCTCAGGTTGGGAGGCTTCATGCCCTACGGGAGCTCAACATCAGGAAGAACTGTCTCCACATGCTGCCTGAGGGTCGGTTCATCACTCAAGATGCTCTTTTTCCTTTGTGTTCTTAAGAAATCTCAAAATATTGATTCATTCTAACACTTTTGGCAAGTAAACCAATTCTCTGACATCCAAGAATAACATCTCTGCAGTGTTTGTCCACGTTGGGTGGTATGTAGCTGTCTGTGAAGTCGAAATCACTCTAAATGGATTATGAAACTCAGAGGTGTTGAAGCATGAGGCAAAAAGAAAACTACATATTAAAGAGAAGTCACTGGTGTACTTTTTGGAGGAATTGTTCCATTATATGAAAGTCGATCAACCCTGAAATCTGTCTGTGTGTCTTGGCTTCGCAATGATTAGGCGTTACCAACAAGAATATTAAAAAACACACACGTGTTGGGTGTAGTGCGTTAACTCAAAATAAAACTCCTCTTGTCTCTTCTTGCAGAGTTGGCTGACTTGCCCCTGACGAGACTTGACTTCTCCTGCAATAAGATCACAGAGATTCCTACAGCCTACAGGAAACTCAGGCAGCTGCAGCACATCATCCTCGACAACAACCCTATGCAGTCTCCACCTGCACAGGTATATGCATGCATTGTTTAATTTCATGTTTCCCTGTTACCTGCATGCTAAGAGTGTTTATTAGTCAAGCAGACACGCCCCTCACGCTCTAACGTTTTTGTCACAGTTGCACCATCTAGTGGATGAATAAACAAACTCCTCAGTTACGGTGGCAACAACTTGACTCTGGAGATATAATGCGTCCCTTTGTCTGTTTCAGATTTGCCTCAAGGGAAAAGTACACATATTCAAATACCTGAACATCCAGGCATGTAGGATGGACAAGAAGCCAGACACCCTGGACCTCCCCTCCCTCGGCAAGCGCTGCCTCCCCCAGCCGCTGACAGACAGGTCCTGAAACATTTATATTTATAGATTCAACATGGCATTTACACTCTCAAAGATGATCCCTCCCACTTGAACAGGATATTTACATACACCCTTGTGTCCTCGATTATAAATCTAACATTTTGGTTTGCACATATTTTAAAACATTTATTATTATCCACTCTGACTGTTACATGTTACAAAAATAAAATCTCTACTGAGCAATTTCTTTTTGTTTCATACAGTATGGAAGATTTTTACCCCAGTAAGAACCACGGGCCTGACTCTGGAATTGGTAGTGACAATGGCGACAAGAGGCTGTCAACAACTGAGGTCAGAGTTCAGACAGACAAGAATAATCAATGTGTTATGAACATATCATTGTGTTTGACTGCTTGCCATAATGCAGTGGTTCTCAAGTCCAGTCCTCGAGCCCCCCCCCCCATCCTGCATGTTTGGGATGTGTCCCTGCTCCAACACACCTGATTCAAATGATCAGCTCGTTATCAAGCTCTGGAATGGTTTAATAACGAGCTGATCATTTGAATCAGGTGTGTTGGAGCAGGGACACATCCAAAACATGCAGGACAGGGGGGGCTCGAGGACTGGACTTGAGAACCACAGCCATAATGCAACATGTAAAGATTTGCAATCATCAAAGGGAGAACAGGAATATTTCATGAACACGTGGAAACACTTTTGAGTTCAGGCTCGGGTGAAACAGACTTTTCCAAAAATAGCTGTGAGAGTGTCGACAAAATTGTATAGCAACCTGCATGATAAACAAGAAACCAAACAGGATAAAACTAGAAAAATAACACTCCAGTATTAGATTTGATTTGTTAATGTGAAGCTGGCCAGCAGGTAAACAGTAGAGGCTGATGGAGAATACTAAGACACTGGAGCAATAGAAGAGGTTTGCATGAGAAACAACCACTCTGAGACTCGTTGTAGGAGTCCAGTTCTGCTCGAGGCACAAGCAGCCTTACTCTCTTTGTATTGAGATAAAACACGAGATGAATGAGTGTTTCTCTGAGGAGGTCAGAAAAACTGGGCAACAGATGTGGTAGAGGTTGAAGTAAAGGATGTAAATTTTGCTCCACAGTCTTCACTTCTTGTTCTCTTCTCCTGCAGCCTTCTGACGATGATACCGTCAGCCTGCACTCCCAGGTTTCAGAGACAGCCCGTGCCGACGCCCTCTCACTCCTCTCCAAAATGGACTCTTGCAAAGGTTACCGAAAATAAGTATCACATATACCCTATGACAACAATAAGAGAGACACGGGGTTGGTAGAATGAAGTGCCTAAAAAATATGACAGTTTATGTGATGACCGCGGATGCTTCCTCCCTCTATCAGATCAGGATCTCTATGACTTTATAGAGCCCAACCCGGATGAGGATCCTGCTCTGTCAGAGTGTGACGGACAGCAGAGCACTCATGTGTCTTGTATAAAGGTATGAAGTTATTTGTTTATAAAAAAAAAAAGGATGGTCAAAAGCTGTCAGAAGAGCTGTCACCAGAGGGTAAATCAGTTTCCACACACATGGTCTTTGTTTGTGTGTGTTTTAGGAACTGGAGAAAGTTCTTAACATGTCTCACCAAAGCAAAGATAAAGACAGCTGGAAAGAAGAGTCAGGGTGAGTTGGTGACACGTTTCTGCAGTCAAATGAACGAACAGTTTAAGTGTCTTTGCCAAATCTTGAATCTAAATGCTTGCAAAACACAAACAAAGTCAGCAAAAACAGCTCCGTGGAAACGGAGAGTTTCTGACAGACATGTTTTATTGTAATGAGTCACCAGGCTGCAAAACACGACCAGTTAACTCGTTGTGGAGCACCTGAGTCTGTGTAGGCTAAAAAGCGAAGACACTGTACTGAGCTGTCTAAATTAATGTCTGAAACATTAAAGGGATATTCCGGCGTAAAATTAATTTAGGGTTGAACACTTCTGCAATAAGACTTTACAATGAACTGTAATAGAACTGGACTCACACCACCACTTTTTTCTGGTACTTAAATTGTATATATTGTATATACTTTTATTTTATTTTATCTTATTTTATTTTCTTCTCCCCTTTTTTCTTTTTCTAATTTTTTTCTTAATTATAACATTTATTTAGTTTCTTAATATCACGATCTTTATTTTTATAACTGCATTTTGCACTACCTTTGTCTGTGACGCTGCTGTGGCAAAAAAAATTTCCCCCATTGGGGATCAATAAAGGAATATTCTATTGTATTCTACTCTAACACACCATAACACCGAGTTGGACACCCCATGGAGGGATAGATGTTGCCGACCGCTTGCTTCTCTAGTTATACCAACTTTAGTAACAACCGCAAGATAGCAATACACAGTGGTTTAAGGAGCCATAAACAAACCTCAAACAAAACGCCACTCTATAGCCACAAATAATTCTCAGAACAGCACCTAACTTCATCAACAGTATATATAGAGTTCTAGCCACAGCACTAGCCACCAAACATCTTTTTAACTTTGCCTGATTTCTTTAGCAAAGAGACTAAACACAACACACCTACTCTCTTCCAGCAGCCGCTTGTTTGTAGCGAGACCTCAGGCCAGTCCATTGAAGGGTTCAGCGGGGTGACGCAGCTCAAAGAAGAACATTTATGATAATTTCTTCATGGAAATGCAATCAGACGGAGACGCTAAGGCAGAAGAACTACGGCGTCTGCAGTGCAAAATGATAATTATGATGATTATTACTTCAAGGAAATGATAAAGAAATGATCATAAATGTTCTTCCTTGAGCTGCGTCACCCGCTGAACCCTTGATCTCTTGATGGGGTGTCTAACTCAGTGTTACGGTGTGTTTGACCCTAAATTAATTTTATGCCGGAATATCCCTTTAACGGTCAGTCTTGATTAACTAGACCTGGACTCAAATACTAGCTAACACCGAGGGTAAATGGTTGTTTCAGATGTCTCAACTCATGAGTAAGTGTGTGTGCAGACCCCTTGTATACTAACTCACAGTGTTGTTTCCCCAGCTCTGATAAGGAGCAGCTTGTTGAGGAAGAGGACGATGAGCTGAAGGAAGTTCTGGATCTAAGGAAGATCGCTGTTCAGCTTTTGCAGCAGGAGCAGCAGAACCGGTGCGTGTAAATTTCACCACATACTTTCAAAAATTTCTGCAGTCTTTAGTTACTTTCTCTTCAGTCCTCACCATGTTACATGTCTAATCATGTCAACCAATCAATGAGTTTTTTTTTTAATATAGCGCCGAATCACAACAATAGTTATCCCAAGATGCTTTCCAAAAGAGCAGGTCAAGACCACACTCATTGTTTGATGTAATACAAAGACACAAGCGTAGGATGGGACAGATTAGACCTGTGAGTGAGTGACAGTAGTAAGGAAAAACTTCCTTTTAACAGGCAGAAACCATGAGCAGGACCTGACTCATGTTAGACAGCTACCTGCCGCCGCTGAGTCTGGGAGAAACAGAGAGAGGGGGAGTTATTGGGAAGGAGAAAGAGCAAGGGGGAGAGAGAGATGGCAGGTGGGGAAACGTGTGCGTTGTTCTTATGTGTCAGGCTGATTGCTTCATCTCCACTGTGTGCGTAGATTCATTGTTTCTGTGAATAAAACACCTTTATTTCTCAAACCCCCCAATATTGCTCCATTTTACAGTATTTTTCCTCTCACCTCTGCAGAATGACTCTCTAACTTCACCTTATTCTTGTTTTTTTCCTTTGCCCTGACTGCTGGTTGTTTGATTTTCTGCCTCTAGGCGGCGGTCCTTAATTTGCAGAGCGGAGAGTCTCATCCACCGACGGAGGGTGACCGGTAGAGCGCACAGGTAGATTGAGTTTGTTTAACATCGTTGATACAGAGCTTGGTTTTAACTCTAGTTTTGTACACACACTGGCACAGCAGGCCTCTACAGTTTTTATGTGTTACACTACATATTTAATGCAGTTTAAAACATACAGTCCAACTTTTTTTAAATTCATGTCTTTAGTTTTGTCCTCTATGATTCAGTCCACTAGTGTTGTGTAAAACGGTGTTGTTGGTTATTTAACAGATGCTATCATAAAGCGATGAATCCAGTGTGAGGATAAAAATCTCTTGTTTCCCAATTTGTAAAATTTCTGTTGAAATGGTTCCTGTTCCCCTCCAAATCTCCACAGAAACATAACTGAAAAAAGTTTACCTGCATGCATCATCAACCATGAATTGTTGCATGAGTCATCGCCATTGTAGCAGGGCTTGTCATCACGCAGGTCCGTAACTGCACCTGCATCTGAATGTGTCTGCAGGTTCTTAAGTCACTCTGGAAGTTCCAGCAGCAAACCAAGGCCCCCGCCCCAGACCGCTCGCAGGTATGTTATAGAAGCACACCAAATCACAACAGGGTCTCTCAAAAAAGAGGAAGTCTGCTTTGCCTCTGCTGGATAAAATCATTTAAAGGCTAATTCTGAAAATGATAAGGAACATAAAATCAAATCGCAAATAAAAACACCCAGAGGCATTTTTCTACTGAACTGAAATACAAATATTTTGATAGTAAACTGGTTCAGATCTTACAGTAAACTCCCACTCATTCTGCCCCACAGCAAGTCACTATTTTTGTTAAGTCCTTGACTTATGATTAATGCTTACAAAAAAAAAAAAAAAAACTGTCTGAAAAGTGGGCATCATGACAACTCACCTAAAGTGAAGCCAAACATTTGGAGCTCCCCCTAGTGACAGGAAACAGTCATCATGCACCTGGCCTCCTCCATGTTAACAAATTGGACAAGGGTGAAACTTAACAGACACTATCAAGTAACTTTTCTTATAGATGTTTTTTTGTCATCCTGCTGATTTACATCTTTTTCTTTCTAAGAGAAGTTTAGTTCTTATTCTGAGAGTTATGAGAGTCCCACACCCCCTCAAGGATCTGTTCTGCTTTAGCGATATTTCTAAGCGTTGTACTGGCACAGAACAGTCCACTATCCTATGTGTGACCTATAAAAACAAAGTTGACAGGAAAATGCGAGCACAGGTAAACAAACTGGCCTATGTCTACACACAGTTGAGAGGTAATTGGCGAAGTGAGTGAGAAGAGGGTGAACTGAAGTCAGATTATATACAAATTTAGGATCACATTATAAAACTGTTGCATGGTGTCTTTGAGGTTATTTTAAAACTATCACATGATTAAACCTGTGTCTCTATTTCAGTGCTTCTCTGGATGAGGGGAGCAGCGGAGCTTCCGTTCTGGGTGGACAGGTACAAACACCCTCGATTGAAATGAACTCCATTTATGGCCACATCTCTTCTCACAAGTTTAGTATTTTCTTTGAGCATCATACCGAGATTAATTGAATATAAACTGTGTGTTTTTACAGCCCTCTTCTTCCTGCTCCTTCGATGGCAGCCTGAGGACAGATAACTCAGACTCAGAACCAAAGTGGCCTGAAGTCCCACCTGTTCTCAACCAGAACGAAGACCGCAGGAGAAACAAGTACCTGAGAAAAGATTATCTCAAGGTGTGAACACGCTTCTTAATAACCGATGTGGTCTACTATTTTGCATTAATCATATTCTGCAGAACTGACCTCAAAAGTTGCCACGGGATAAAGGCTCACCTACCTTCAAATAAATTCGATTGAAAAAGCTTTGTTTGTCCCTGGAGGGGGAAAAGGCTTTGTAATAACTTGCTACCACAGTTTTTGGGTGTGAATAGGTATTTCTCTGGCCTGCTCACATAACAGAAGGTTTATTTTGGATTGGGACAGTCCACAGACCTCACCTCACTCCAAACTGACGACAACACTGTATCTCAAAAAAACAAGGTTGCTGCCAAGGGTTCTTATGAGAACCACAAACTCGATTACCCTTTTTTGTACGGGGGTGAAAATAACTCTCTGCATTACGAGGGGCCATTACTTCTAGAGGGATTTTTTTGTGTGTTTGTAATTTTAAGCACCTGTGAAATATTACCATCCATCCAAGAATCAGCATTTCCACTAATGGCTAAAACTTGAGAACAGCAAATAAGAAAAGAATGTTGTTGTTTTTTTTTTCATTTCCCAACAGTACAAGTGTCAGAGTGCTCGGAAAAACTCCAGTGGGAACGATGACTGTGAGGTGGGTCTCCACAAACATCCTGATTAAGAGGAAGATCTGAAAATCTTATCACCTCAGGACATCTTTCTGACACTACCTCTGATTGTTATGGGTGTGTTTCTCTTTCTCAAGGAGGGGTTGCGCAGCAGTGATTTCAGCACAACTCTGACTGTGTTTGGACTCAAGCCACGATCAGGTAACCCACACGCACCCACTTTATGGCTCCTCATGTTTTCTTTTGTCTGTCCTCTAATTAGAATAAAGGTCTTGATGTCGTTGTGGCTAAAAAAAAAAAAAAAAAAACATCTTGAGAGTATTGTCTTTCAAATTTTGTACGTACATGCATGATGCTTGTGCCTGAGGAGATTCAGGTCACATGTCACACGTACATGTCTGTTGTGTAACACCTTCCAAAGAAAAAAGCACAACACATTCAAGAAGGATGTAAGCCCTTTAGACTTTTTAAATAGAAACAGAAGCTTGAAGGATTTTTTTTATGTAAATGTCAAATAGTTCTTGGTAAAAAATAAATAAAGCAATAAAAGTCATCATTGTACCCTGAAGTTATAGATGATTTTTACAGCTATAAAGTTTAGTTTGGCTGATTCAGATAAAAAACAGTAAAATGAGTCCCTGTCCACAGTATCCTGGTGTTTTGTTTGACTATTCACAGTAAAACAGTGAAATCAGCGAATTGCTACCAGACTGGATTATCTTGTTAGGTTAAATGATGATGCAGGTAGTCGGGGAGAGCAACAGTTTAGAAGTTTTTTTCCCACAAAATGCAGCGTATGTTGCACTTGGCTCCCTTTGAAAAAAAAAAAATCTTAAAATGAAACATGGAAAATCCCCAGGAGAGTGCTCTACTTTCTCACACAACTCACCACTATTAAAATGATAACACATTCATCTCCTGTCAAAGCCCCAACTTTTTTTTTTTTAGGTGGAGCCCCAGCAGCATTTCTCTAGAAGTGAAGAAAGTTTCCAAGGAACTGTTGATCTGTTCTCTATCAGTGCAGTAGCTCTGAGGGTGAAGGCACGAGAGGACTGAAGGCTCTTTGTAAACACAGAATGTCTTTGACTTTGGTGTTCTCCAATGTCTTTTGACTGCGCCAAGAAATCCTGCAGACTCAATTTTCTCACTGTTAAATAACTGCTTTTTGTAAAACCTCAGGGACAAAGGAAGTATTTAAATCTCAGTTTGAGGTGTAATTACCAAAACTGTGTAAAAAAAAAATGCTCACAACTTGAAGCACGTCCTCAACAAGAATATTTACGTCATACATCAGATGCAAAGTTGCTCACTGCAGCCAACAGTCCCTCCACCTGTATTTAAGCTTCATTCAAGCTTTGTTTTGACAGCAGCACTTAAATACAGCAGTACATTGAGGCAGTGCTGACACTGAATTGTTCACTGGAGCTCGATAAGCTGTATCCAAAAGAACACCTCCAAAGGCTGGTGTCGTCCAGGCATGCACGAAAACAACCTGCCTAGTAGAGCTGCAGGTCTGATGTCCCACCCTTTCAACTAACCATCACAAGCCTCAATTCAATGTTTAAATGTTAAAGATCTCCTCAGTCAGACCAGATCCCAGTGTTGGTTTGAAGCAGACACAAACAGCTGTAAAAATGTAATGTTATCCTGTGTTTGTTACATTCTTCCTGTGCCCGGACCATCTGGTACATCGATGCTGCAGAAATTTAACAAAGCTTTTGATCAGTCCTCTTTTCAAACAACTGATTAATTAATAAAAAGACAAATAAACAAATGGACAAGAATCTGCACGATACGTATTAATACAGAAACCATGTTTGGTGAAAATCTATTTGGATTTTGTTGTTTTTTCAATCTGTGTTCCATCAAAATAACTGGAAGAGGCGGGGTTTGTGGGCTATACTGCAGATAGTCAGTAGAGGGAGCTCTACATCTGTTGGCCTAACAGTCAGTGAACTTTCATAATGTCCATTTCAGAATACAGTTGATGAAATAACAGCAAAGGTCGTTATAGATTAGTCCGCCGATTGTTTTTACAGAACAGTCAAATTTTTGGTTTGTAAAATTTCAGGAAAAATAGAACAGAAAATGAGAGAACTAAAGACAGCTAGATCACACACATCGTTTAAAAATCAATCCGTAAAAAGTTATCGCTGTAGCCTGTTGATAATGTGTTGAAACTGGTAAACATTTATCCCCGTTTAAGGTTTTTTGACCAATCAGAATCAACTATTCAACACAGCCAGGTAATCAGTAAGAAAACCAATACTAATCTTGAAGACCGAGTTCTTTGGGTGGTATATTAGATTTAGAATAAGAAAAATGCAAGCCAAATCATCAGATCTTCTCGCAATCTAATCTAAAGATTTCAAGAGAAGACAATGTTCATGAGCACTTACTAGAAATGTTCTTATCTGATCTTTCTTTCATTATGGGAACTGAGGATGGCATGACTAAAATTCTCCTCTTAACTTCCTATCCTCTTAATCTTCTGTTGCTCCGTTTCACAGCTTCGATTCTTATTTCTCGAAAAATAGAGTTTGAGTTTACTCAGATATCATCAGACTATGACTCTGGTTGTTTGCGTCACATTTGATTGGCAGTCTGCCTTGTATGATAAGTAAACCACATGCCCTAAGTTTGACCTGCACAAGCCGTCTTTGCTTTGTTATGGTTTTCTTCGTATCTCTCTGTGCGTTACCAAGAACTGAGAACAGTACCTTTTATTCTTTCAGCCTTCACAAGAGGAAGCCGCCAAGAGTACAACTCCACGGACCCCAGTTTCACCATGAGACGGAAGATGGAGCACTTGAGGGAGGAAATGGAACAGATAGGACTGTTGCGGCAGGTCAGAAGTCTCACAGCTTGTTCATAGCTTTACACAATGCACTAACTCATACAGAGGCTAAAGCCTGCCAGATCCTGCTTCTGTGTGAGTGTGTATACTTTTAAGGAAACAAGTGAGATTGAAGAAGATGAGTCACTCTGTGATGTTTTTCTCCCCCCTTCCTTCCTAAGTCATGAATGCTCACATCGGTGGTAGTCGTTAAAAGTCTGAGGAGTAATTCTAAATCAGTTAGACATTTTTATCGCCATCTATAATCTAGAAGCACTAACAGAGGCTTACTAGACAGTTTGAGGGGTAGGGGCAAATAAATAAAAAGCTGCATGGTGTACGCTGTGGGGCACCAGCCCACTCAAAGTTGAGACAAATGAAGATGTGCCTCCAGCAGCATTGGAAGACTAGTTTGAAAGCTCTTCAGCTACACATTAAATGGATTCAGCACAAATATTATTCTGTTTCTGATTTCACCCTTTCCTTTTGGCAGTCAGAAAAAAAATGACTTCCTGAAAGCATCAGCTGACAACACAGAGGAAATGTTTCATATTACTCCTAAGGCCTGACTAATTTATCGGCAAGCCAAATAAATCGGCCAAATTTAGCCCGTTTGAGACTGAATTGGTAATCGGCCAAATTCGCCGATTTTCACCGATATTTTCAGAAATAAAATGCGAAGAATAAGATTCGGTTTCACTTCGAAAAGGTTCCGCCATTCGAAAAGTTCCCCAACTTATCCTGTAGATGGCGTAGCGACCTCATGACAATCTTGATCCACTAACTACCTCACAGCACAGCAGAGTGACGAATTTGAAGCAGGCAGCTCAGGGACCCATGGAGGACAGTGGTACAGTTTGTGAAATACACAATAAGTCAACAAATTTCAGTTCAACCCACTCCACGATGTTCCCTGCTGTGCTGGTCTCGGTCACGCAGAGTTAACGGTGAAGCGCCATGTAATATGCAAGCTAAAGTTAGAGTTAGCCATCTGCTATTAGCCTTGCTACACTGTTAGCCGTGCCAGTAACGGTAGAATAAACAACAGTACACATTATGTGATCGAGCTACTTCTCCTACTGAGGCAACTGCATGTCTCCAGAAGAGACCGGACCGGACATGTGTAACGTGAGTTGAGACGTGGAGGCACCGATGGGCGCGGGGGCTGGGGGGGTTGTATTTGAAAACGCTTTTCTGGTCCGAGTTTGATCAGTCGGTCTTCCAGTCGGCGTGAAGAGCAGTAACCTACAATATCTACAGTATATATATATTTTTTATAATAGTCGCTATCGGCATTGGCCCCAAAAAATCCATATCGGTCGGGCCCTACTCTTAGTGTATCTGAAGAGCACAAACTACGTCACAAGCAGAGGAAAGAAGAATTTTAATAAATGGTGGACGAGAGCAGAAATGAACTAGCTAAAGCTGTTAAAATGCACAAGGAGCGGAGTCAAACGGAAAGGAAGAAACCACAAACAACTACATGGTATGTGCTTTGGCAGTGTGAGAAGACTGGTTAAGTAAGGAGACAGTGTTGACAGACAAGTTAGAGGGAGAAGAACCCGTCATAAACAGGCGTATGCTGCTAATGTGTCGGGATTGAAAATGGGGTTAGAGGGAAAAAGAGAGAGAGATATGGGGACAAACAACAACAAGTGCTCAAATGAACTTATACTTACAGGGCCTGTTATAAAGGGAATAACAGCATATCTGTTTGCACTAGGATCTTGACAGTACAGCCATCAGGAGCAGTATGTCATCACATAAACAACTTTTTTTACAGTGCCGACTCTAGTCTATAAAGGCGACAAAGTATGGCTGACTCATACAGCTCAAGTCAGGCCTGGACACCTTCCTCTGCTCCTTTTTGGTTGCCCACTCTGTCGTTCATTTGTACTCACACTTCAGCAACAACAGCCTGTTTCTGTGTGAAAAATGTCTTAACAGAAAGCCCAACTACATTTGAAAAAGTGATATAGATAAATGAATAAACTCTCCTCCCTTTAGAAACTAAAGTGTTCCTCTTATTTTAGGAGTTAATGGTTTCATTAAGTTACTGTCATTGTGTTCCCAGAACATCGAGTCCAGACTGAAGGTGCTGCTCCCTGATGATGTTGGAGCTGCTCTGATGGATGGAGTCGTCCTCTGCCATTTAGCCAATCACATTTGTCCTCGTTCCGTCTCCAGCATCCATGTCCCGTCTCCTGCAGTGGTAAGCAAACTGACCACAGATTAAAAAATCAGAAAGTCATTGTCAGCTGAACACCGTGTGGCTTTGACTCAGCATATAATATAACGGTAGCATTGTACATGTGGTTAAAAATTGGAAGCACTTGTCTTCCAAACTTATTCCTTGTGTGGTTTTGTAACATGTTTGATTATTTTTGCTTTTCACTTCTAACATGATTGATATTCTGGCCTCCAGCCAAAGCTTAGCATGGCTAAATGTCGCAGGAATGTGGAGAACTTCTTGGATGCGTGTAAGAAGCTGGGAGTCCCGCAGGTAAAATATACACAATCCATCACTCTCATTCGTGCAGCTGACAGACCTACTGCACTGCATGTATTTATTATTTTTGCGGCTCAGATTAACGGTCTACTTGTGTCATTTGCCGTTGTGCTCCTGAGAGTTACAGTAATAATGACACTGCCATTCACTGAGCTGGTTTACACTGACACTATGAGAGGAAATATGAGCTACAGTTGTCTCTTTTCTCTTGAAATCTTGTTGGTAAAGATGTCTGTCTCCTCTTTCAGGACAAGCTGTGTCTGCCTCATCACATCCTGGAGGAGCGTGGTCTGGTAAAGGTGGGTGTGACGGTCCAGGCTCTGCTGGATCTGCCCTCATCAAAGCCCTCACAACTCTCTGCTGTTTGACACAAGCCTGAATGTTCTTCCCAACCTGTAGTCATTTAATCAAGCCTAGCCCAAACCACACCTGCCTCCCCGTCACCAGGGACCAGAGAGCCCCCCTTTTGGGTGAGGACCCGGTGCACAGTGGGTCTTTGGGGGTCTTTTTTTCTGCCTGACTGAAACAGGAGACAAATGGGGGATAAACCTTCGTCTCTGTATATGATGTCAGCTGCAGCCCTCTTCTTGCTCATCGCATTTTCACCTGTGTCCTGTTCCCAGTTCCTGGGCTCTTCCTGTATGTGAGTGGACTAGCACCGTGACTGTGTGTTTGGAGAGATAGACGCAACAAAGGGTCTGCGGAAAGACCTGCATATTCCTGTCAACAAGCTCAGTTATTATTGAGCCTGCAAGTGCCAGTACTGACAATATTTCCAAGCTGGTGTTGGAGACAAACATGTGACTGTTTTTTCATTGAGGAGACCTCAGCTGCATGCTGTCCTCGCAGCCACAAACACCTGACTATGACCTCAAGCGTTCCTACTCTGTCTGACTTTATCTACTGTTTTCTGGGATTTATTTTTCCCAGGAAAACTTGCTGTTGAATTTATAAAAGTTCTGTTTGTTAGTTTTTTTTTCTAACTTATTTGCAAACTATCATTTGAGGTTTCATTTTTAAGGGTTTAAAACGAAAGGCTTTCCAGTGAAAAGTCTAATTTGTTGGAAACAATAGATGCTCTGAAGTGAACCAGATCACATCTTTCAACTCCAGTGTACAAAAAGTGACATTTAAGCACTGTGAGAATATTTGTGTGACTGTAACAAAAAGACGTCCCTGTTAAGTTGTAATTCGTTACTTTACTGTAAAGGTTTTTGTCCTTGAAAAATATCCTCATCAAATCTTTTTCTAATCTTTCTCCGCTATCATAACCAGCCATCACTTGCCAGTACTGTTGATTGGCCGTGTCATTACACTCAATGCAGTTTGGATTTCATTGCATAACCTCAGACGAAACATTTTAACCTGTTTAGTTGTTTGTTGGTCCTCTGGATCAGAAAAGGGTTCAGTGCTGCTCAGAGACCGTCACTCCTGCAAACCTTCCACACACGAAGGAGCTTCTCTTCCTGCCAGCCCACTGTGCTGTATGTTGTTCCTCAAGCATCCCATTGTTTAAAGAAAGTGAAACTATTTATGTATCTATTTATTATTTTATTTATTTGTTGTTTCTATGTGCATATGTTGCTGTATTTGTGCAGTTAAACATGGGACAGGTTGACTTAATGACTCCAAAGTTATTGTTATTTCACGCTTGGGTTTAAAACTAGCCGAGACAGGTTTAACACGAGTCCCTCTAACCTGGAGATTAAAATGTTAATCCTCATCTGGAGAGCTGACAGTACTGTTGAGAGAGTCAAAGGTCATCGAACAACAGGAGCTTGATTTTGTAGGATTCATTTCGCAAGAGTTAATCTTGTTTTTAGAGGCGGGCTTATTCTCAACTGAGGATATAAAGTGTAAAGATTACGGTGACTCCTTATGGAGCTACACCCTTTCACATTTTTAATGCTTAAACCTAAATGCTGTAAATTTAGGCTATAATCTGTGAATTCTTTAAAGTAAAACAGCACAGGTCTTGTCAGGATTTGCATTTTAGTATTGGCTCTCCTGGGTAGATCTCCCTGATGTAGCTGTGCTGCATCAGCTATTTATCCAATATTGAAATCAAAGTCAATTGAAGATTTATTGTAAATACCAGATGCCGAACTTTCAATAGATTAAATGCAAAACTGCTGCCGTTAAAACACAGATAATCCTGTATTTTAATGGATTCTTGTACATATAGTTTGAAAATTTGCCTGCAGACTCCTGATGCCAGACAACAGACAGGAAACTGAAAAATCATTACACCAAACTGTTAACATGCAACAGTTAAAGGACATATGTGTGAATAAACAGGGATTTCAGTATATTTTACATGGACAGGTAGTACACCCCGCATAAAATCAGCATTTAAACTCAGGCTTTGTTGATCCCAGTCAACATGCTTGCAATTCAGTCACACCTGGTGTTTGTGTTCATTTTGGTAGTTCAGTTGTGGGAGCCTATAATTGATGCAAAGTCCTGTATTTAAAACAGAAACAGGAAACAAAGGCGACTGGAGAAGCAGATTTACATCTACTGAACAGCAAACATGTATTTATTTTTGTTTAGCTGAAACATCTTCAAGGCCAGGCGTGCTCACTGCAACTTCAACAGCTTAAAATGTCTACAACAATGTCTGACAAAACTCCTGAAGAAGGAGCTTTTCTGTAGTTCCTCTGCAGGGGTGCTATCAGGTGCATTTTTTGGAATATTGCATTTATTGAGTGCATCTTAAGAGTCAACAAATGTCAGGTTTAACATTTCCCTTCTCTGCATTTTTTTGGAAGATTTGTGAATGTTTTTTATGGCCTTTGTTGAACAACCACTGTTGTACAATTTGACTTATTGTGAGGTTGGATCATATCTTTCATGATATCATCACCTGCATGAGAGTAAGGGGGATTTTATGTGTAGAATACCTGAGAACTTTGCTTTTCTCTGGGTAGATTGTACTGCCAAGCATTGTTCCACCATTTTCCAAAGAAGAGAAGACTCAAATTTCCCTTTCAATTCATCAGCCAAGAAGTGTCACAGTCACAAACTTGAGGAAGTCTTATATAAAGCTCTTGTTCATACAGAGTATTCCCTCGAATTTCTCCAAACATGTTACCAAGCATTTCCCCCTGACCTGCTGTTGAACCACATGACATCATTTAAAAACCTTTGGGAAACACTCCAATCTGATTGTCCTTTCAGCTGCTGTATGTAAGAACAGATAAGATTAAAAAAAAAAAAACATGTTACAATGAAAGGTCTGCAACACAAGCAGGTGTCACGGAAGCTGGCTGGCTGCATTTCAAAGCAGAGGAGGTTATCAGTGAAAGCAGCGTCACGTCTGCAGCTTCTTTGAACTGCAGTCACAGGTCCAGAAACAGAGACAGAATTGCACATGTGTGTAACCTACCTCAGATTAGCCGGGTCAAATATTGAGATTGTTTTTGAATTGTATTCCATGTTCACACACTGGTATTGAATGAGTTAAGACACAAAATTGCAGCAAAGCCTAACCATTTATTGTTGTTACTGTTGTTATTTTGAGCCACAGTGACGCTGGCTTTCAGATATATGGAAGAAAACAGTGACAAGGTAGAATCAGAGCACAGAGATGGACACTAACAGACCAATATATGGCAACCAAAAAGAACTTTCTTTAAAGCCAGACTGACAGTAAACCGTAACCCTTCACATGCTGAGAAAAAAACTCACAAACCCTGACCCCCCCTGTTTGTGTTACAGGAGCTGTAATGCATTTCACACCTGCAGGGTGCTCATGGAAACACTTTAACTGCTCATTTAAACATGTGATGCATGCCTGGGCATCTCTCAAATACGTTCTGGTGGGTTGAACCTCATGCATCTTTGTTTCCTGTCCAATGCTGTTAGAATTTTTTTTTTTTATTACTTTAAGTACTTACCCGTTCATCCACCTACATGCTGCTACATGGATAATGGAGGTGAGCAGGTGTGAGATGTCAAATTAGCATCTACAGCTGAGTTATTTCCACTCGGGGAAATAACTCAGCTGTATAATTGTGTGGTTTCCTCCTTCTTTTAATGTGTTTGTACCAGCACCTCACCAGAGGGAGTTGGTTTTCCTTATTTTTGTAGTGATGTGGGCTGAGTCACTCAAAATAACTATTTCTCCTGTTTTTTCTTTGTATGCAGTTTTTCTGTGCCCTCATTTATCAACACAAGGATGCCTTATGTTACCTGAAAACCCAACTGTACGGTACCTCGCCCTTTCATTTATTCATATATGTTTTTGTTTTTTTTACTGTTAAACAAGTGCCAAATCCTGAAGGCTTATGTCATCACAGCTGTCTGTGTTTGAACAAAAGCACCACTATGACCACTATGACCACTGTCAGCACTGTGGACTGTTAACTCACTGATCATGTAGCAGGTAAAAATTCTACTCGAGCACTGCCTGTGCTGTTCTCAAAAGTGTACACTGTGCCCCTGAGGTGTCACATTTTTATACCCATAAGTGACCATCATGCAGGGACAAAGCAATTACCTTGTGCATTCAAAATGATAGGTCATTGGAGAAGTTGTTGTGTAAGCTGTCTTGCCATTTTTGATGAACTCGTTTTAAACATTCACTTCTGGCTCCAGCTTCTGTTGTTATCATCCCGATGATAGAGCCACGTTTGCAGATGAAAAAAGCTCCAGAAAGAGCTTCATGATGACAGGAAGAAATATTTTAGAGTCATAATCTGTCTTGTAAAAATGCTAAACTGCATTTATTCAACAGTAAATCTATCAAAACAAAAGTGTTAAGTCCTCATGAGTAGCATCAAGAAAAACAGATTCAACTTTGAGTATTTAAGTAAAGCTAAATCAACAGAATAAAGGCAGCTCTTGGCTCTGCCCAGCACAGATCACTGATATTACACAACAGTAACCACATCATCAAAATACTGGTGAATAAATTGATAAATTGATGGCAAGTAGAATAATCAAAAGTTAGTAACTTATGTGCTAACACTTAAAACTATCACCCAAGAGGGCTTGGCAGTTGTCAGACTGCTGAATTTTAATCTATAATTTTGTTTTACATGAATTATGTTTGAATGAAGAGTTCACAGTATTTGGTCTTCAAGCATTAGACATGTGCTGATATCTGCAGAAACACAGTTTTAAAGTGGCTGTAATAACTCTTCTTGTTCGTACAAAAAAATCCAAGTTCAGACAAAGCTGACACGAAGCCCCTGCAGTTTTAGTGAAGTGATTAATGTGTTCATGTACTGTCTGTTTAATCTGAGATGTACTCACTGAGTTCCCACAGTGCTGCCTGGCAGAGAGGATAATTAAGACAGAGAGGAAGTCAAAGGCTGATTCTTTGGAAAATCCACACTGGATTTTGTCAACAGCTAAAGTATTCGTACATAGAGTGCGGACAGTTAATATCTTGTATTTGAATGCAATTAAAAAGGTCCTTCAAGAGCTGTTTGGACAAGGAAATAGTCATAGCTATTCCTCATGTGAGTTTTACAAAGTTTGAAACAGTTGATCAAAGTTAAAATGGTTGTTTAATATTATAAAAAATGTTTGTAATATCAGCTGTGGACGGATGTTTTACATCAGATCCACAGTTTCCACATTATTTGGTTTAACCGTTTGTCCAGATCAGACTCACAAGAATGTTTTTGTCTTTTAAGGCCAGGGTGCAAGTTTTAATGTTTTGAGGAAAATACAACAAACATAATTTCATTTGTGATGATTTAAGTTGATACTCCCTTTACAGCATCCACAGCAATACTTTATGATCAGTCAACAATGACTGCAACCAAGAGAGGTCATAGTGTAACACTGTTCTTTGCAGATTCAGTAGAAATCTTGATCTATATTTTGCTATATGTCTGTGATAAATCCACTGAAGGTGTTTCCTACATTATTGCATCAATAATACCTGTTTCTAACTCATTTTTATGATTTAAAGCAATTCATCCCACTCAAAGGGAAACAGTTAACAGTGAGTCATGTCTGAATCCTACACTGCCAAGAACATTCAAACTCGTGTAAATATGCTTTTTTTTTTGTATTTTACAACCTGCAAAATGCATGCAAGAATACTGAACAGCTGTGGCTGAAGCTCTGTACATATCATCTGTATATATGCCAGGGGTTTCTTAAAAAACATCCAAACATGGACAATGTAAAATAAAGTCAAATTGTTTGCATCTCAGTCTGACTTGTCCCTACATGCATCTCCAGGTGTGGTTAGGCAGCGATAAACAGTCTGCATACAAGAGCTCATTTTATGGAGAACTGTGACAACCCCTAACTGTTTCCTAAGAAGTCTTTTGAGTTAATAGACAAGACCAAACAGCGTTTGGCAGTTTTGTACAACTTCCAATTTAATCATTTGGGCAGTTCAATAAAAAAGAAACAACCACAACTCACTTTTGAAGTAAAAGTACAAATTAGGTCAACTGTTGTTTATAACGTGGTTCTTTATCTTTTTACAACCTTGTGTCCTAAAACACATGCAGGGTCAGACACTATGAAGGTATTTTTTGGTGCAAAAGGTTTGTGCATCTGTAACGTGATTTGTAGTTGTGTACAGCGATTGTGTATGTGTATTAGTAAATGTGAAATCCACACTCTATGAGTTGTGTACTTTTTTTGTGTTGTACCTGTAGATATTATTTATTTCCACAAGTACAACACAACATTTACACATTCACAAATCTTAAGTACAGGTGCACAAATCCTATTTTACTAGTCACAGATTCAAACTCTGACACGCTCACATTTTTGCTCCAATTGTTGCAGCATATTTGGTGCAAAACATATTTGTGCACCTGTATGGAGTAATGTGAAGTTGTGGACAAAATTTGAATATATGCAGATCTTTATGTGAACTTGCGCAAAAAATGTTATATTTATGTACACAATCACTGGACACAACTACAAATCACGTTACAGATGCACAAACCTTTTGCACAGTCCCATCTGTGACCTTGTTCCAGATTACCATTCAGATCTGTTGTCCCTCAGCCAGACCTTCTTCCAGTTTCTTCCTATCACAGCACAAGCTTTTCGTTGTTCACGTATGTTTCCTGATTGAGCTGACACATGAGTCTCCGCCTGTTCTTTTTATCCAAATCTGAAAGCAATCATTAGCCTAATAATTCATTGGAAAACACGCCCCTTATCTTTTATCTTAGCCTAATAATTCCTTGGAAAACATGCCCCTTATCTTTTATCCTAGTGTAACCAAAATGGTACCTCCAGCTCTTCATGAGTACAACTTGCAACCTGATTTGTTCACAGTAAATGTTACACACTACATGTGACAGTAGTTCCTACTCACTAAACAACTCCCCATACATGATAAGATGATATTTACTTAAAATTATCCATATTTGCGATGATTTTTACTTCGGGTTTGCACAGTGCAGTGTCAGAAAGAGGAAAGAGACACTGCATGCTGCCTCGTTTTCATTTGAAGTATCAGGACTTGGAACTTGTTCCTGGGTTTGCTGTAACATTTGGGCCAAGAAACAGCTGTGTTTCAAATTCAGTCCGTACAAATTCACATGACAGTTCATTTTCCTTTGATGCTCAAGTCATTAAGACAAAATCTCACAATGGAAAAGACAGGGCGTAGTCAACATCTGATGAACACTCGGCCAAATTCAACGGTAAAACAATATATTTCAAAGAAAATTATTATTTTTGTTTTAAAAAAAAGAAAAAGAAGACTCTAACTATTTCCTGATAAACTCATTTCATTGTAATAAACGTATTAGGCTATAGCTGAGCGCGTAATACATAAAGAAAACACACCCAAATATATTCCTAAGTTAGTCAGTAGTGAAATATGTCAGCATCACGGAGTAGGTTACTCATCTCATAATTCAACTCAAGAGTTAAGTGTGACGATAAATCACGCTCCTCCACTCCAGTGTTGTGATTCCCATCAACAACCTGTGTTTAAAAGACTCTTCAAACCACATAAATGGCAACTGTGCTTATTCAAACCACGAGGAGGAAATAGCTCAGCTTTGCACTCTTGACATAGCAACAGTGTTAAATCATCAACTGAGAGCAGAACTTCTTCTTTGCTGATAAAGCATTTCACATCGTTGATTGAGAAAGGCGTTAGTTTTTGGTCTTTATTGCTCAGTTAAGTGCACATAACTATAATATTGTCATTTAAATAGTGCTTAAAATGAACAAGAGTTTATAATACAAGTCAATGTGAACAGAAAAGTTAAAACTCAGATGTCTCTTGGGCATTTTTGTATCTTGTAAATCATTAACAGAATTATCCTTTACAATAACAATGCCATTGACTCAGCAGTCAGAATAAACTTGTCAGCTGCTAGCAGCTTGCAGTATTCTCATGTCAGCAGAGCACATACATAAACTTAGCACAAAAAGAAAGGAAATGTGTATCTGGTGGATTATTTCTTTGTTGTAACAATGCTTCTTAGCAATAAATCTTATACTCTTGAAAAGCCTGTTCATTCCATTTTTAATAGTGCCTTCTTTGTGAAGAATTTGTGCGATGAGCAGCAGAGCTAAGTATGTGTGTTGCGCCCATAAAAAGTTGCCAAATCTCCGCTGCTATTGCCAAATGGCTTATTTTACTGCTGCTATTGTCTAAGAGATCAAGGCAAACTTTATTCCTGCTAAGAGCCATTTGTTTCACAACCAGCAGTAAAAAAAACACAGTAAATACTTCTATAAAAGTAATAAAAACAACACTAAAAACACAAAAAAACTATTAATAAACTAAAGTCAGATGGGCACTGATTAATACAAGGAGTTAGATGAGTAAGAATAAGTCGTATGCTTGTTGTTTTAAAAGCCAACAGCTGCTGGGACAAATGAGTTTTTGCATCTCTTAGTCCTGCCTTTTGGTCGACTGTATCTGCAGCCAGAGGGAAGCAGATTAATTGTGCCCTCTTCAGTGTCATTTCCTTGTTCAAGTGAGCCAGACTTGGAAGGGTCTGGCCCTTCTGGTACCTCCAGATGCTGACTGATAGGTATCTGATTGGACAACCTCAAGCTGGTGTTCCACAAAACCAAGTTGCAACATTAGTTTGAGTGAGCCCTAGTACCATTTCCAAACTAAAGGCCAAGTTCCTTATCACGGGAGATCACAGACACAGGCTGCTAAGTGGCTGTCCCAAGAAGACAACCTCAATGCAAAGAGATGCAAAGTTGAGATTCTGCAGCCAGTGGCAATCCCATATTTCCACAGTCTGGTTTTCACCTCTATCCTCCAAGATGATAATGCTTACCCCCACAGAACAGGGTTTATCAGGGACTACCTCCAGAATTTGGCAGTAGAGACCAACACAACCCACTGGCTGACTTTCAACAAGGATGCCGTCCCACAGCAGTGTGTGGCCAGCATGAGGAGGATGTAGTTCCAGGCTGTTGCAGATACTGAGCCTCCTGTTTGTTTAATGAGTGATTGGTTAAATTGCCAGTATGTCTTGGTTCTTCACGCTTCAATCATCCTATTCACTTAACAAAGCCAAACAAGAGTTGACAGCTTAACAAGCTGTTTGACATCAAAGATTTCACAACTTTTTCATGGGCGCAATCCAAACTCAGCTCTACTGCTCATCCCACAAACACATGTTCCTTACCAATGTGGCACCATTTAAAAGGAACATAAACGGGTTTTTAGTATAAAATGTATTGCCATTCATGCCAGCAACACCTTCATCAAGTATGCAGATGACACCACAGTAGTGGACTGCATCACCGGAGAGGACGAGTCCGCCTACCGCAAGGAGGTGCAACAGCTGACAGTGTGGTGCAGAGTCAATAATCTGCTCCTGAACTCATCAAAAACAAAGGAGCTAATTATAGACTTCAGGAAAAAACAAACAGACTTGCAGCCCCCTCTCATTAGTGGGACCTGTTTGGAAACAGTCCGTGACTTCCGCTTTCTTGGGGTCCACATAGAGGAGAAACTGACTTGTGACAAGAAGACCACACAGGTTCGTCTCAGGAAGAACATCTGCCAGAGACTGCTCGAGTCTTTTTACCGTTCCGCCATGCAGAGCATCCTCACGTACTGCCTCTGTTCGTGGTTTTCCAGCTGCACAATGAGGAACAGGAAAGACCTCCAGAGGGTCACTAGGATGGCTGAGAAGGTCATTGGGTGCTCTCTGCCCACACTGGAGGACCTTCACAGCTCTTACTGCCTCAGGAGAGCCACCAACATCATTGAGGACTCATCCCACCCAGGCCACCCCCTGTTTGAGCCACTGCTGTCAGACAGACGGTACAGGGCCATTAAAGCCAGGACAAAAAGACTGCAGCACAGCTTTTTCCCAAACGCTGTCCGTTCCATCAACACCTCCATGAAAGTGAGATGATTGTCCATAATTACTCATATCCAAACCCTGTCAACTGAATTCATTTTGTTTCATCATTACATGAGCTGTTGTTGTTGTTACTACTGTTGTTTTAATGTGGCTACTGTCCCCTGTCTCTCTCACCCTCGTTCTCTACTCTCTCTCTCTCTCCCTCCTCCTTACGTATTCCTTCTCTCCACTCCTCTCTCTCTCCCCCTCCCTATCTCTCTGTACTCCTCCCCAACCCAGCAGCAGCCTGGTGGCTGTCTGGCATGTGTCTGGTCCTGCTCAAGGTTTCTGCCTGTTAAAAGGAAGTTTTTTCTTGCCACTGTTACTCATGTTAGATGAGATGGGCCAAACCCCATCTTTGATTGGGTCCTGATATTTCATCAAACAGTGAGCGTGGTCTAGACCTGCTCTTGTTCTTTGGAAAGTGTCTGTTGTGAATTGGCGCTATATAAATAATATTTGAGTGATTGATTGATTGATTTGAAGATGTGTTGCCAATGTATTTATGGGTGTAGTTTTAATTGTTCTACTAGTTTTAACTCTGCACTGGTTTTACTGTTTTACTATCTAATGTTTTATTGTACCTTTTTAAAGCACTGACTGCCTTTTTTCATTTTGTTGTGCTTGTCACAATGACAATAATCTGTCTAAGAAGAAGAAACACAAATTGCCTTACTTTATGTGCTCAGTTTAGTAGCTATTACAAGGACCTGTAACACAACAGTAAGAGACTTCTACAGGCACAGGAAAATCTCATCTTCACTGACCTCTTGTGGCTGTAAGTGTTACACCTGCTGCACCACAGACCTTCGGTTTGTGTAGTCTAATATTCAGAAAGTGCGACTCATTTGATGATGATTATTTTTAGTTACCGACTACAAACAGTAACGTGACCAGGAGTGATGGAAATGTAAGTCATAAGAAGCAGCCGATGAGTGGAGTCGAAACTGGATGCTGATACTTTCGTCAACACAACACCTAGGCGGACCGAGTCCCGCATAAAAATGGCTCAGTCTCCAGGAGGAGCTTCATTTATCACAGCCCTGATACTGTCTCAGCCTTATAAACTCTATCTGAACCTGCTGCACACGGACGACCCGCATTCACGTGAGTACATGACAGATTTACTGATATACCAATACGGGCTGTTATTTTTTGTCCGTATCACAGGAGAGATAATCCGATTTCATATGGCAGATTATAAAGGTTTTTTTTTTTAGGTAGGTCTTTTATTCCCTTGCTTTTCTAAACAAGTCTTTCTCGATTGGATCCAGATCAAACAGAAAACTTTAAGCTGTACTCTTTGCTATTTTTGCAACTTCTTCAATGTTTTTTATTTATTTATTTATTTATTTTTCCTTGTATCATCAGGATCGTGATGGCGAATAAATCCCGGCTCAGTCATGAGGTGACATTTCTGCTGCTTTACTTAACCTGCTGCGAGATCATGCATTGTGATGGATTCACAGGTTGGTCCTTATATCTCCTCAGAAATGTATGTATTCGTCTGTAGATGTATTTGTTTGTGCTGTGGAGATCATTTGTAGATGCTGCTTAGAAGTCATTCACTACATTCCTGTTGGGAATCCTCATAAATCACAATTTTAATCTTAAATCCCCCTAAAATTGAAATCATATAGCCTATTTAAAACACTTTGCATGCTTTGATTTTCCTTTTTTCTTTCAGTCAGTATAGTCATTGAGCTCAATGTCAAAAGTGAAAATTTCATTTTCTCACCGAGTCCTCAGCAAAGACAGGGTAAAGTTGCAAGGCATGACACGAGTGTGCAAACATGCCAGGTGAAAGAACTTTAACACAATGTGCGAATAAAATAAAAAAACGGTTCATTTGCAGTTGACCCTCCCAAAGACATTGTGATATCAGACCCTGGTCTTCTTGGATACCTTGACATTACATGGACCTCCCCTGCCAGCCTGGATGATATTGCAGAGTGCCAAATATTGTATCAGGTGGATTACTTCAACACCTATAAGAACAGCTGGAGTGTAAGTACATACCTTATATTTTACTTGCTTTACAAGCTGCTAAGACTAATTATCATTGTCATGTCCTGTCATTAATACCAAACACTGACTGATTGTATGATTTATAATCAGGGTTATATGCACGACCCCACAGAAATAACACTTCAGTGCTAACAATTAGGCAGGCCAGTCTTTCAAAGGTCCATAAGGTATAAAAGCCGGCCGGTCAGTCTTGATAGATTTTTTTGTTGTGTCTGTCTGGCACCTGATCTGCAAACATGGCAATAGATGCAAATCTTGATTCAGTCTTTCCATTGTTTTAGAGCCTGCCGGCATATGGTTACTATAAACAATAAGGAGTTGTTTTACAATTTTATCCTCCCTTACTCATCATCATGAGTCATCTGCAATTTCTGAAGAACTAGAGCGTGGTATGGTGGGTTTTAAACCTTCTAAAAGCAGGATTTAATCAGTAGCTATGTCCACAGGTAGAGTTTGGAGCCATTAAGTTCATCAGGTATCATAAAAGTGCAACATGTTTAGAGGTTTCAGAGAAACCCTGATTTGATTATGGGAAGAGAATGTGCTCAAAGCTCAGATTTTATGCAGCTTTAAGGCTTTTTGAGTTGTGGAGGCAAGGTTTGCCTGTAAACAATCTTTTTTTTTTTTTTTTTAAACCGTTGGTTCTTTTTTTCCGAATAGGAAGCCTACCCCTTCAAAGAGCATCATTTTAGGTTGTGTTTACTAGCTGGTTTTGCTCCCCTCTCCATAGCCAGAATCTTCATTTTCTTCTTTTTTCAGTCAAGATGCCTCAAGTCTGAGACATCAGCCTTTTTTTTTTTTTTTTTTAAACAAAGCCCCCTTTAGTCTAAAAAGCACGTTCTTGCCTTAAAAGGTAAGGATCTATCTTGTTTCTGCTCTCACAGTGACACATACGATTACATAATATTAATACTACATGGTAGTGATGGTAGATTGATGGTAGATTGATGGTAGTGATGACGACAAAACCATCTAGACAACAATGCCATATGACAGAAAAAATAAGTTTCTCCTTCACGGTATCAAACAGTTAAGACTGATGTTGTTTCAAGCAGCTAAAAAGTCTGAATCATCATTTTAATTTTGACACTTTGACAGGTATGAACAGTGTTTATGTCTTCATTTGAGTGCTTCAGGACATAATCTCATTTGGTAAACAGCTTTGATAACAGATCTATTCTTCTAGCCAAATTGGCAGACAACACCTAACCACCATGGCACACACCCAGTTCAAGCAAGAGTCACTTTTTTTCCAGATACAAAATGTTCTCTGTCTGAGACACCTCGTGATGATAGTTAAATCGGTGCAAACGAATAAAACAAAAGAAACTGCCAGACATAATCTAAATTAAGGGGTTGCATCTCTTGAATGGCAGGCTGTCAGGACGCCTAGAAGGAAGTACAGTGCCCAGTTTGACCTGATGAAAGATATCAGAGTGAGAGTGTACACCTTGCTGAGTGGACCCTGCACCAACGGTACATTGGTCAAGAGCACAAACTACACTGAGGTGGTCCAGCAGCCTCTTGGAACAGGTCAGTCCTGGTTGTTTCTACTGATAAAAGAGTGAAAATAGGGTTCAGAGTATAAGTAGACACTGATCGATTTTTCTCCTCTTGTCCGCTACAAGGCATCACGGGTACAGCAATTCAAAACTTCATTTGTGTGTACCATAACATGATCTACATGGAGTGCAAGTGGGAGCAAGGTCCGAAGATGCCGGCAAACGCACAGCAGAAACTGTATTTCTGGTGAGTTTTGTGCCAGTCAGAGACCCTTTTGGCCGGGGAAGGTTTCATCAAATCCAATATGGTTTTGTAGACCATCATAGTTCTCAGAAAGTGAACCCTAAAGGCTTGAGTGATCCACCGACAGAGGTTGTTTTTGAATACAATTGCTCAACAGAATTAGTCTAGTTGTTTTCACATTTGGACGTTTAAGACTCAAGAGGTTGAATTCAATTATCTGAGACATAACTCATTCTTGAATTTTCATCCTGCGCAACAAGCAAGACACAGGCGCGATGGCCTCATTGAGACGTCCTTTTCAGGAATAATCCACACTATCAACAGCAAAACAATGTCATCAGCTCTCATCAATTCTGCATAAATAGATGGTGCCTGTTTCAGCAGTGTGTCTGTGGACTGTCTCATCTCCAGGTACAAGGGTCTCGAGAAAGTGGAGGAATGTCCGAAATATCTGATTTCAAACGGATATAGGAGCGGCTGCAACTTCACAGGGATATCTCTTCCAGATTTCACCAATATCATCTTCTGTATAAACGGCTCCTCCCCTAAAGGACCCCTAAAGTCAACATACACCACTCTGCAAATCCAAAACCACGGTAGATACCTGTTCATCTCAGGTAGCTTATTCATGCCAGTTTCCTGAGGAGGATATCATAATTGTTTTCATGTTCTGAGGTTTTTAAATCACCTTTGCTGTTATCGCATCTGCCTTTTCAGCGTGTAACCTGTCATTACAATGTTTTTTTTCCAGTGAAGCCTGAGACTACAGAGACACTGTATCTGAAGGCAGGTCCAGACAAGCAGCTGGAGCTACACTGGGACCGTCCTGTTGGCCGTATTCCCCGACACTGCCTTGAATGGGAGGTGGAGCACAATAAGGAGGGACCAGATGGAAAAACTGCGCTGGTACGGAAGACTAAACATGTAGACTTTTCTATCTTCAAAACATAACACACCCACTGTACCTATTTTTATCACCCTGCAGAAAACAAGAATATGTTCTTTGTAGATTTACAGGCTGCAATAACATCTTCGAACACATTTAACTAGCTTTAGTTTTAATCCTAATCCTTTATACAAAATAATCCTGGATTTAGTGTAACATTAATCTTGTTTCCCAATGTGCTCTTGCTCTGTCATTTAGTCATTATCCTTGCTTCATCATTCACTCTTTAACTTTTCACTGTTGGGGTTGGGATGAAGGGTAGGGGATGAGGTGGGGCAGAGTTGTGTATTCTTTCTTTCTTTTGTATTCTTGTGTGTATAGAGCGCTTATTGCTAATCCGTTGTATGCAAAGTGCTACACAAATAAAGATTGATTGATTGTAGAAAGAAGTGCAGTTGTAGATTAAGAAATATCTGATGTCAACACTTGAATTATGTCTGTTAATGTTGGTCAGCCAGACAAAACAGTGCTGACATTTTTGACACTTTACAAGCCAGGATACTTGAGCCAGAACATGATCTCACACCAGATTTGATGAGGTACAATTACAATAATTATACATCACAGGACAGTTAGACACATTCAGGGCATGAATTTTCATGCCACAGCATTCACATACCACTTTATTATCTACCTGATAAAGAAGAAGAAAAACATTGAACACCTCCGGCATCACAGATATAAAGCTGTATCACACCTGCTGTCAAAATAAAGGAGATGTAGATCTTGGCACTAAATGAACTCTGTTCCTAACTTTACAACATTCAGATGTCTTTCTTTCCTTTTGTATTATTTACAGGAAAAGACTTTGACCAGACAGATAAACCTCACTCTACCCTTCATGCACAACATGAGAAGCTGCTTCAGGGTTCGTTCCAGATTGCATAAATACTGTGCAGACAAAGGGTTTTGGAGCCAGTGGAGCCATCAGACATGCAGTACAGGTAATAAAATAACAGTCCACCAAGTCATCCTCTACACTTTATTAGTAGATAAATGCAAATAGAAAGGAGCTTGAAGTCTGCTTACCTTATCAACGCAGGTTCATTATGAAAACCAGAAAAAGAAATTATGTCCATTATTCAGCCTGTTTCTGTCTCTATGAGATTTATTTTCATTTAATTAAGCCCTTGCTTTAAATGGTGTGACGTTTCATAGTTATGGGAACTCCAACTTAGAGATTTGATGGTTCTGAGTCTAAATTCCTGCAATTTTGAAGGACCTTAAAAAACATTAGTGGGTGACTCCATTACAAACTAAGCTGTAGGGTTTTTAAAGAGACATCATCCAACCTTAGTGGGAAAAATAACTTGGTGGATTACTCGCCCGAAGGCCAAGATGTTGTCATCTAATGTAAGTATTATTCTCATCATCTATCAATTGTATTTTTTGACTTATGGTGTCATGGCTATTTCTGACATTTGAAATTACTTTTATCAGCTTTGATTTTGGTTGATAAACTTTAGAAGAAGAGGATTTTTATCAGATGTAGAATCAGAGATACTTTATTTTTTCCCAGGGGCATTACAGTTGCTCTGATGCAGAAAGTAAGATTAAAGATGAGTATGAAGCTATAAGCTGGAGGTAGAATATATAAGTATGTACAGTTTGAGTTCAAATACACATGTAAAAAAAAACAAAATATAGAGAAAATTTGAGATGTAGAAAATAAGGAAATGTTTTGAAATAAGAATAAATCAATGTGTGAAAATGCGAAGATGTAAAAAATGTGGATTCCATAAGATTTATTTTATGAAATGTTATTTTATGTAGATTTGCAAATACAGTATTACAGCATACAGTAGTTAATTCTGACTATGAACTCTAGGTTGGGTTCATCTTTACATGTTTTTGTGTCCTAAGATTTTGTATTTAGAGGATGTTGCTGAAGCCAGATGTGTAATTAACAAAACCATGATCCTGTAAACACACACACACGATTGTGTGGGATTTCTGCCAGAGGGCACACAACACATGTCAAATGCTGGTATTAATATTTGAAAGTTACATGTGTCTGGACATTCATAAAGCAGATACATACAGGTTTTTAGGTTTTTTTTCTTCATGTTTTATTAAACCGAGGTGCATTTGTTGTTGATTTATATGACACCTCTTCTTCAGGTTTTTGAGATGCTTTTTGGTCAGATCTGATAGGAGGGACTTATAGGTCAGTGCGGCCTTGTGTGTTTGGATATTTTCTAATATCCATTTTAAAGCCCATTTGTCTATGTGTGAATGTAAAAGCCCAGGCTTGCTTTATTAAGCTTTTAAAAAGTGCTGGGGAAGAATACAGATTTATAATTGGCAAGAAACTAAACAAGGATAAATACCTTACTGCCAAACAGGGAGGGAATTAGGCAGATGATGAGAACTACACAGTTGAGAATAAGATAAGATAATGAGAACTTTATTTATTCCTGAGGGAAAACTCAATGTATGTATGAAAGGAACACCTAAGATTGATTATTTTAATCAATACTTACTATCATGATCATGGTTTATGATCATTAGGTAAGTATTAGCGATTAGTATGTATATTTAGGTATATTTATGTGTATTTTTAAAATAGGTATTTTATACTCTATTTGGCATAATATGATACACCTGTAAATTTTTAATACTTACACATCATATTTAGTCCTTTTGGTGTCCACATTGTGTTTTGCTTCATTATTTTGTTTTGTGCAATCCACATTTAGATTATGACCTAAGGTCAGATGCATTGTGGAAAATAACAAAAATATGAAGAAGAAGGAAATAGCAGTGGGGCTTCGAACCACGAGGATCAGAATCAAGAGGCACTGCGCTGACCTATAAGCTCCTCAAAAATTTGAGGAAGAGGTATTATATAAGCATAAATATATAAAGAATATAGATATATAAGTAAAATATGAAGAGAAAAAATAACAGTCACGCACACAATCTGAAAAAAAAAACACTGGATGAAATGTTGATGGGATGTCTTTCACTGGAAAAAGATTAAAAATGTTTTGCCTTTGAAATTTACATTCAAAACCCTCCTCAGTTGTGCTTCTTGTCAGGTTGTTTTTGTTTATTCAATAATTGATTGTGTCCTTTTGTCAACATAAACAGGACAAATACTGGAGCCACAATGAGACAACCCCCTAAGAAGCTGGGTCCATCAGAGCCATTTTTTGCACTGGCAGCGCCTATTTTCTCTACAAAACCAATGCACTTTTGTCAGCTCTCAGCTTCCAAAGCACTGAAATCCCTCTATGAGCAGTTTGATATAGTGCAATTTCAGTCAGACTAATGTGTTGACATGTATTTTGAAGGTCCAGTTTTGGTCGCACTCAGGCAATAAATTGTTTTTTTGAACATGTAAATGAATGCATGTCAGCTCCTTCTTGTTTCTGCTCTCATGGTGATCAGTTGAAAATGACTCATTCAGGAAAAGGCTAGACTTGCTCAGATAACTTTTCTATCACTGGCTAATCAGACCCTGGCAGGACTTGATTTGGTGTCAGTTTTTCCTAAAACAGTGGTTGATGAGAAATGAACCTGGCTCCGTTTTCAGGTCTGCTGCTGGTGCTAGAACGCAATTCTTGTTCATTTTATTTTCATCTTATGTAGTGGTACAATTTTTACATTTTTGTTACAAAAGCATTTCAATGTAAACATCACTGCTGAAGTGCCGTGAGACAGCTTTCACAAATCAGCAACAGTTAATACCACGGTGGAGAAATGGACACCGCTAATTCAGAAGACAATGTCAATAACCCTAATAATCACCGATATCTGAAGCTAGAAACTCGATTTTAAGGACATCGCTGTTACTTTATGTTCATGGTTATGTTTATGAAGGTCCACCATGAGTATTTCTTATAGATTTTGTCAGGGAATGAAGAAATGCACAGGGTCACTCTGTTCATTGACAAGAAAAATAAGATCCAGTTTTTCATATGCTCTCTGGGTACTTGAAGCCACGAAAACTCATAACACCCAACTCTGTTAAACTGGCCTCTGGTATTACTGTCTCCATTCTTGCGAAATTAACTTTCATTTGTGTGTGTAAAATTTTTGTAGCCTTTTTGTTCATGTGTCTTATCATGTCAAACTGCCTAGTTTCTTGCCATCTCCCCTATAGCAGTCTGGACTTTTTAAGTCCTATCAGTACAGGCTTGAAATATCTGTATCTGGGGGTTGATGAATGAAGCCAACCGTTATTTTGTCCAAATTTTAAAATGTTTTCACAGAATAAATGTTTCTGATTGAACTCTATGCTTGTTTGGATCTCCTTTGTTGCAGCATCAATCTTTATGCTGATGACACCTTTCTTTCCTATCGGTTATAAAACAGTACCTTAAAAAAAACTGATCTAATAGTCTGGAATGGTAAACTGAAGCAAGTTTATCAGGAATTGAACATTTCAAATTGAATTATTACCTCCGCCAAGGAGGTTATGTTTTCGGTAGCGTTTGTTGGTTTGTTTGTTTGTTTGTTTGTCTGTTAGCAAATTTACGGAGAAAGTTATAGACGGATTGACCTGAAATTTTCACCAGAGGTGCGTCTCAGCCCCAGGAGGATCCCATTAAATTTTGGTGGTGATCCGGATCACCTTCTGGTTCCAGGAATTTTTTGAAGGATTCTTTATCATTGTGAGATAGGGCAAATTTGGGAATTTTTGCATTTAACTCTATAAAAATGGCCAGAGTCTTTAGTAAAAAATTACACAAAAGGATCTCAATGAGTTTTATGAGTTGTCAAAGGTTGATCCTGATCCAGACAAAATTCCGGATACTGTGATCCAGAACACACAAAAATCAGGTTGTCATTGGAATTTTCAATGCTGAAAGATAACCAATGGGCGGCACAGTGGTGTAGTGGTTAGCACTGTCACCTCACAGCAAGAAGGTCCTGGGTTCAAATCTGGGTCAGGGCATTTCTTGTTTTAGGAACATTATGAACAGTGAACATACCAGTTTAAACACAAATAAAAGTGAATAAAAGACACGTAACAGTAAAAGTTTTGGTGTGAATCACAATATAAGGGGGGGACATGAGCTGCTTGGCAGAGGTCTGCGCTCTCTGAGTGCTTTTCTAGTTTCTAATGGGATGAGCTCTTCAAAACAGAAAACACCATATTATTAACTACACAGGAGTCAACAGATGTCCTGTACAGTCATCCTGCTTTCATCGTATTGCACCACTGGATGATATTTTCCACATTTGATTCATTAACTTCAGGCAGCCTTTCCCTTTTTAATGCATTACTTGAATATTTGAAGAGTAATTTAAAGGACAACTAAGTCATTTTAATGTAAAGGAGACTGAACTGATGATATACTAAAAACGTTTACATCCAATCCCATAAGAAGTGCTGCAAACCAACTTTGAACAGAGAGAAGCTGGTTGACTGAACTTTCTCAGCTGGAATTAACTGAAAGAAAACTAATTGGGAAAATTTGTGTTTGTTTAGCTTGTTTTTTATTGTTTTTTTTTTTCTGCTTTATCAGTTTTTCCATTTATATGCAATTACTGCTTCACTTTACTCATTTTTCTTAAATAACTTGTAAAAAAGTCTTCATTAAAAACAATCAACTGTGTAACTTATAAAGCTACACTTTACATGATGCCTTATTTGAGACCTGGAGTCCAGTATTCTTGAAGTCCCCTTAATTTTTGAACAATGTTCTTATAGCTTGACAATAAAAATCTGTGCTTTACCAACCTAAAAATAATGAGTCAAAACTTATATTAAAAAAATTAAAACTCCTCTAAAATGCATTAAAATAATACTTAAGTCTAAAAGATGGCTAAAAGGCCAGTAGTCTTTGTGCTGTTCATTGACTTAACTTTGTGTGTGCATGTGTGTGTGTGTGTGTGTGTGTGTGTGTGTGTGTGTGTGTGTGTGTGTGTGTGTGTGTGTGTGTGTGTGTGTGTGTGTGTTTTCTGCCTTTCAGTAATGACAGCTGCTGAACCAGAATGGGACGTTGTACCTGCCTTTGTGTGTATTGCTGTTGCCATCATCGCCACACTGGTGCTGTCACTGTGTGTAGGGGCAGCGCTCCATGTGTGAGTACACCTTTCCAGCAAATCATAAAAATACCAAAAACCCCAAAAAGAAGGTGAACTCTGTCTAAACTGTGTTTCTTTTGCAGGAGGAGGTCAAAGCGAGAGAAAAGGCCTGAATCTCTCCTCGCCAGCTTGTTTGGCAGAAATTCAATCTCTTAGGGACGGACAACAGAAAAGACCTGAAGGTGTAAACCTTTGACCTGAGTACTGAAGGGTCTCCGGCAGCAAATCACACACCAAAACTCCCAAAGGTGCAACATACTGTAGCCCTCACATGATATTGTTCCGACTGTTGATCGATTACTGAAGATACTTCGCATTGGGCTGAATGTTACAGAAACTGCAGTATTTTAATGTTACAACATGTTGTGCTACCTATTATATCTTTTAACCATTATCTGAGGTGTAACTTTAAATGTAACTTTCGAAGAGAAAATAATCATATCTGGTTGTAATTTTTTTTAATAATCATTATTTGCGACTCTTGCCAGCTGACACGTCAGCTTTATCACTACAAAAGTATTGCTGACTCTTTGGGGATATGTTTTTGATGTTTTACAGTTTGCCATGTCACTTGCCAGTGCAGTAAAAGCACATCTCAACTTGATTTTGTAAAATGAAGAAAGGAAGAAACCATGCCACTTTTCTATTTCTGTATAACCTAAATTTCCATTGATCCATGACTGAAAAACATTGTAAAACTCTCAAAACGTGTTTGTTGCCTTGTTTACAACAAATGTGACAACCAAACCTCCCAGTTTGTATAATTTAATTGTCTGATTTCACAACAGATGAGGAGTAAATAAAACAAACTAACATGGAAAGTCTTCCAGATATTTATTTCTCAACACATTAGGAAAACAAATTCAGAAGGACGCTTAGATTTTCTACCTTGATATGTTTGACTTTCATTTATAATCATCCTCATTTAGGAGTGTTACTATGCTCTGTCCTGTTTCACTGCACTTGACTGACTCAGAAGGCCAGACTGTGAAGAAGGCGTGTTGTATTTATGTGTATGCATTTAACCATAAACAGAATAAGCACTGATTAGTAGAGCTCTGCAGGTTTGCCAGCTATACAGTTTTCTTGCAGAATTGAGATCCTTTTCAGGTCCTGCTGCAGTAGATTTTTTTGTCAGTGGGTAGAGTAGACTTGTTTTGATGTGAAGTAAATGAATGATAGAAAGCCATACCGAGATAAAAATGCTTTTGATGTAGAAATTGGCAGATAAGTGGGTTTTCACTTGATCTGTTACACAGCCACACACATGCACTTACACACCAACACACACATTCCTGGAGTCAGCTCATGCAGCACACTTGAAAAGGACAGCACAGGAGATATCAGCACAGCAGCTGCAACTGTCCAGTTTTTTATATATATATATATATATGTGTGTGTGTGTGTGTGTGTGCTCTTAAGTGTGTAGAAGAAATAGTTACTCAAACAGGACTTCTTTCAACAATGGTTACAACAACTGCAGTGCATTTTGAAGTCAAAGTTGTAGATACATTCATTTATGGTCGGCTTAACAAATGACCTTTAAAGGACTTTCCTGTGAGAAATTTGTGGGATTTGAACCTACAGCTATAAAGTCAGAGGATTAATCCCACTGAAACTGTAAATATAAACTAAATCTGCTCAATTCCCTTATCAGGGGGAGGCTTTTCTTTTGCCAGTGGCGTAGAAGCGAAAATTATTCTGGTGTAGACTGTATCAGGGCCAGATTTCATCACCTAAACATGAGATGTAAACAGTCACGGGTAATTTGTTCTTTGAGATATAGATTGTTTTGAGAAAAAATGATAAGCCTACGCTCAGTATGTGCTTAACCTTGTCTGTAATCACTGAAATATTGTGGCGCAGCAGCCAGTGTTTTTTTTGTTTTATCGACCATCATAAAGAAACAATGATAACAAACGGCTTTATTTTGCATATGTTTCTTCAGCTGTTTTATCAAGTTTCCGAGAACAGAGGTTTGTTTCCTCAAAGTTGACCTCAGTTACCTAGATTTAGGTTTTGGAACAATTTATAACAAGCTGGTGTATTCATTTATATCCGTCAAAGAAAACAGTATGAATGTAAGACTCTGGGTTTTTACAGAGATCAGTCTCTTTGTTACAAACTGCTTGAAGATACAGAAATAAATGTACACGTAGACTTTCATTTGTCTCTTTACTTCTGAAGCTGATGGGATAACAGCTTGTATTTCCTAAAGTTCCCCTTTTTCATTGATTTGTCTGGTCCAGTGGTTCTCAAATCTAGTCCTCTAGCCCCACTGTCCTGCATGTATTGGATGTTTCCCTGCTCCAACACACCTGATTCAAATGATCAGCTCGTTATCAAGCCATTCCAGAGCTTGATAACGAGCTGATCATTTGAATCAGGTGTGATTTGAAAACCACTGGTCTGGTCCTTGGCTCATTAGTCGGTGTGTAAGGTCCAACATGTTGCTTTGATGCCTCTTTTCTCAGAGCTCACATTGCCCTCTAGTGTTCATGGGATTTCAAGCACTCCCCGCATTCCCAACACAAAAACGTTTTACTCCACAGAGAAACAAATCTTATGATTATAAATTGCATATATTTCACTGTAGACACGTGACTGTCAGTGCACACCACCTCAATCAATGTTTAAACACCATTTCAACCACCCTCAACAGAAAAGTCCCAGCACACATCTCTAACACGGCTCTTCAATGTGATTCTTTTAATGTGACTTTGCCGTTGCCATCCCAAACATGCCTCTCCAAACTAATCCATCTGCACTGGGGAGGACAGATCAGAGAAGGACTTTTCACCATTGCAACACTTTCTTCCATGCTGGGAAAGTAACCACCTGGCTCCCTGCTGAGTGTGTTTTTGGTGCTTGATCCAATATGCTTTGACAACCACAAGGTCAACGCAGCAGCTGTCTGTTTCTCACAGCCGGTCACCTTGGTCCTACCTGACTCTTCACATGCATGTGCGTGTGAAACCTTTTTTTTTACTGAATTGTGCTGAATATATAATTTGATTTAACAGAATAAAAGAGGAAAAAGGCATGCAGACACTCTTATACATGTATTTCTTACATTTGACTGCTGTGTGTCTCATTCAAATGTAGCCCACATCATTGCTGCAGTTCACAGCATGTGCAAGATAGGATCCTGTGGTACTGAATGACAAGTGAAGTAACTTTTTCCGGGTTAATATGTAATTTGGTGGAGCAAATCTTGCTGTAGGATTGGCTGACAGGTAATGTACAGCCCAGGTGTTACTTGTCACTCCAGTCATCCCTCTTACCAGTCTGCAGAGGACTTCAACTGCGCAGCATCTTGGGAGGAGTAAACCAGCATCAGGTTTGAATTAAAAACCATCTTGCATTTGTTATTCATAAGTGCATAATTATGACAGTAACCCCACCTTGTTCTTTTTCCACCAAGGTGTCAGAGCTCTCGCTTGTCTCTGTCCCCGGGGTTCAGTAACTGGAATCTGTCCCTGCAGAGTGATTGAGTGCAGGGCCTGGCTGGTTACTGCACCCAGGGGCCAGGCTACTCTGCAGGGGCAACGCTATCTCTCATACAAATTCAATTTAATGCTTGAGACTGACCACATGTGGCTGGATGTGTTGCGTGTCCGAACAGCTGGGGTGAAAGAACTGTCTTTTACTTTGGCTTTGTTGGCTGCAGTGTGTCATGTGTGAAATATTCAGCAATGAGAGCATTGAGCAGCAGCTGCAGAGGCTTTATTCTCCACAGACTTTGTAATAAGTGTGTCAAATCTATGCCATTTATTTCTAGATTAAAATCAACATTTGTATTCATGAATACTTCACTTTTATGTTGCTGATAGGCTGTTTTCTTGTGCCATTTAGCATTGAAACAGTTATACTTGAAAGCAGGTTTGTTTCATCTTAACTAAATCAGTAAATCACTCTACCAATCTTTCTGTTCCACCTCTTTAATTTCACAGAGCATGGAAAAGGGATCAAGATTCACTTTCAGATGGTTTAATACATATTCCACTGCATGAATCACCCTGCAGCCCAATGAAGAGCCACACTGTAAGCCTTGACTGTTTAGGTTTTTGATGTTTGTTTTTTTAGCTTTGCAGCAGTAAAATATTATCAGAGTTGACCATATGAGATTGAGGAGCAATAGACCTGAACAGAAATAAAGCAGTCAGAGTTAAGATCTGATATGAAAGATTAAAAGTGTTTTTTTGGGACGATTGCAGAACATATTCTTGTTAACTTTGATGCATGCAATCTAAGATGAAACTTCTGGTGATATGACCCACACAAAACTTAGTGTACTTACTATAAAACTATCTTTTATCTCATTTATTTCTTTAAAAATGACCTGAGAAAATGTTGGAATATAATGTGAATTCAACTTGTGGTGCACATTTATCCCTAAAAAATACTCCTGGGGTGTAATATTTGAGTATCCTTGGTCAATGTTCTACTCATTTAAAGAGAATAGTGTCCTTCTGCGCCATTCATTAACTAATGACAACATGCGTTACACGTGTCACACAAGAAATCACATCTTCGTTGTGCTTTACAAACTACACAGAAAGGTTTTCCCCCCTCTTCATTCTGCAGTTTAACCCCAGCAACTTTAAAAAAACCGAAATCACATTTCAAAGATTCCCCCGAGGTCACCGCTATTATAAGACAGCCACTTCACATACTCAACACACTGCATTTCACTACTCACAGGAGTCAAGTGTCAGGTTCTCATGCTGGAGCTGAAATTGAGGTTTTTATTTCCCTTTGGAGCTGTTGATTCAGGAAGGAAACACAGTCCACAGCTGGGGAGTTTTCACACGTCTTCAGCTGCTCGGATTGTTTATTTGCAGACTTTCCCTCTACAAAAGGTTTCTTTAACCAGCTGTTACAGTTTAAACCAAGAAGTGTGTACTTGGACACTTCACATCAGGCTGCTCAGGAGTGGATGTGCTGTCTTTTTTACACTCAACACTAAGGGGATATTAGGACTCTTTTGTGCTTGCCTCTCATTTGCACATATGAAAACATACATAAACTACCTAGAGTATGTTGTGTGCATGGTAGTCTAGTTTCACATAGATGGTACCTTTGTGTACTTTTAGTGTGCTTTCACGATTGTCTAACCCTGACAGAAAAAAAATAATGTGGCACGATAAAGATGATTTAAAAAAATTTACTGCAGGAGTTTAGCTGCAGAAGAAAAGGTTTTTCTCCTCCTATCAATAAGCGCCACGATCACACATTAACAAACTGCAAGCTAGCAACCCACTGATGTCTGTGTAAACATACAAAAAAGGCTTTCTCAAAGGTATGTTTGCTCTGGCTGAGGAAAGCTCTGCATTTCTGCCATTGCTGTCAGGTGCAAAAAGGGTGAAAGACTGCTGCATGGGGCGCATTAACAATAATTAACACCTTATACTCCCAAAACTACAATCATTTATTTCATATTTTCCCTTGTGTAGAAATACTTTGTACACATTTACATTTTTCCTCTGAAAAAAAAAAAAGATTTTCATATTAAACTATAAACACTTCATAGCTCTAGAGCTGGAGAAGCTAAAAAATCTACACTTCTGCTATCAAAAGGCTTCGCATTACTAGATATGTTTCAGCTGAAACGCACAGAGAAGGTTCAGCTTTTTAAATATTTAAAAAATGAAAAAAAAAAAAGATGCCATAAATACATATACAATAAGCTTTTCTTTTGTAAAGGGATACAGAAATAATGAAAAAAAGGAAATGAGGAAAGAATTCAATCCCTTTCAATGTTCAGTCACTGCACATTCATGTCCTGTTTCTGTAACAATAGAGATCCACATCGATACGCAGTGGAAACGTCCAGCATCTGTGCCCGTCCAGAAAGCTCTGTGTGCTTTTAGCTGTTGACACCTCACCCCTGATACCGGCAGGGCTGAGGGACCCACTGGCTGTATGGGAGGAGGGGTGCTGGGGGCCCTGGCCTAAATTAGACCTTCACAACCTGACTAAAAATAACAGTGAGAGCAAGACAGCAAGAGAGAGAGAGAGAGAGAGAGAGAGAGAGATGGGGGGCTGTGCTTACATACACGTAGGCTGTGTGCAGAGAGAAGGAAAGTAGCACACCTCCTGTTTGAGGATTTGTCTGTGTGATCATGTGGTGACGGGGGTTAAAAAGCTCAGTACATTGCATCCTCGTAGATGTCCGTCCGCAGGCAGAAGAGGATCCCTGCGCCCAACATGAAGATGGTGGCTCCCCAGCCGAGCCCGTAGCCCCAGTTGAACTCGTGATATGTCTGAAGAACTGTCCCATCGATGAACTTGATAGGGTAGAGGACCAGAGCGCAGGCCTGCAGAACCACTACGACAAAAACAGTTATCATGAGACAAATCAATTCATGATGATGATAATTATTTGAAGCTATTATGAGTAACTTTCAGTCTGTGTCAAATTTGGCTCCCCCTGTAGACAAAATAGTACCTCCTACACATTTCAATGGTGTTTTTTATTTAAATAAATCATAATGCTGATTTTCAACTATCAAATTAATCACTTGTTGAGACTCTTTGCTGTAGAAAATGTACAAAAAGGCTGCTTTGACATCTAACACACACACACACACAAAAAAAAAACAACAAAATATGTGTATAGCAACAGTCAACCATCCTAAGTCATAAAGAGGCATCCATATTAATCACAGTCTGTTCCAAGACACACACAGGAGTAAGTACTGATGCTGCTTCATGATCCATGAAAAGCAAAAAGACCGTAAGTGACAAGATGGATCATTTCTATGTAATACTTTTAGTTAAACCCATTTCTGCCTGGTACGTTTCATTTCCCCCCATCATTTGAAGACCAAATAACGACTACAGCTGCAGCTCTTCCTTCCAGACTAAATACTCCCTCTACACTATTAATCCTACAGTTGTTCTATGTTTGCTGCCAACAACATATCAGATTCTGATATGCAGGAAAATAAGGTTAAAGCTTTTTTTTCCCAGTTTGAGTCCTCTATAAAGAGAATAAAACACCTTCACTTGAAACATCCTTCTGTGGGTTTCTCTCTCCTTTGAGGTTTCTTTTCCTCCTTACAGACACTGAGGTCTCAATATTCCAGCACCCCAAAGTAAAGCTTGTGCAGCTTCTTTGTTCAATGGCATGTGGAAAACTTTTCAAACAATCATTATTATTCTTCTGACCTCCACTTCTTTGTGAATCATATTTCCCTTAAAACCATTCAGGATCATTGAGCACCGGTGGTAAATGTGTTGGCGCCACTGTGATTAATGGTGCGTGTGTATGATCAAAGGCACATTGTGGTCCTCACACCAGCTACTTTATTTCCTCTCCCTGCATGCGAGGTGACTCCTGGGGAAGGGACTCTGAGTAACCACGACTCCGCCTTTCCTTCCTACAGGACGCGGTAGTGGGCGTGCAGGAGGCAGCCCAAGAATGTGGCTGTGTTGATGAAGCCCAGACCGAGCCCGAAGTCCTCTGAGGTCATATTTCCGGACAGAAAATAAATACCACGCAGCCATGGTCCTGCTGAGGGGCATTTAACAGTCCAGGCCCTGTGCTGCTGCTCTGCTGAGGACTAAACGTCTGTGAGGAGACATTATCCTCCCAGGGCTCTTAAAGCAATTACACACAGGAAAGGATAACACTGCAGTCCCACACTTCGCTGTAAATGGCTAACAGTCACAACCACAGCCAATAAGTCGACTGAGCACACTGGTCCAGAGCGAGACAAAAACGCCTTACATTACAAATGAAACTTAATCACAAACACTCTTCCTCAATTATCCTAATCATCTGCTACTTCTTGAAATAAATGAAATCTAGTAAATATAATAAAAGGATACTTTCTGTAGCAGTGTACAGATTGGTAGAGAAATTGTAAGATCTTGAATACCTTTGCAATATTTATCCAGGTTTAAAACAACAAAGAGGATCATGCATTTTTCTTAAATAGTTTATGAGAATTACGCCTATTCGCTGTTTTCACTGTCAGCCGGTTAGCAGTTTAGCAATAAGCCTGGAATCCAAGGTATACACGGCAAGGTAATACACAAGCTCCTCTGAAGCTAACAATAACTGTGCCGTCTCGATTTATAATTAAAAATAATAAAAATGATAACTTTATTTGTATAGCACTTTTAAAAAACAGTTTACAAAGAGCTTTGACATGTAGTCATAGAGCACATGGAAAAAGACCGATAAAAACAAAAAGCTCAGTAAAAATGGAATTGAAGGCCATTTTCATGTCATAAGGAACCCAGACAATACAAGAACCATGCAACATAAAATGAGACCATGACATAAGATAGTTAAGAAAAAAGGAAAATGCAATTAAAAGGGGGGTCGAAAGCGGAAACAGGATAGTAGATATAAGAGGCAATATCAATAATGATAATAAAATAATAACAGGTAATCCTGATAATAAAAGCATTGATGAAATAGAGCAACAGAAATGAGCAAAAGATAAAACAATAAAAAGGCTTAAAAGGTTAGTTAAGAAAAGAGTACAAGTATAAAAAATAATAATAATAAAAAATAAATAAAAAGACAGTAAGGCCGAAATGAGATAAGAGATGACAGATAAAAGATAAATAATAAAAGACGGCATCACATAAAAGCAAGTCTGTAAAAGTAAGTTTTTAAATTTAAGAACATCTGAAACCATTTTGAAGTTTTATCACAGAATAATCTCGGTTTTGAGTTTGGAAATGCTACAAAAAGCTTATTTCCTCTGTTTTTATTCTTCTAACACAGGCTCTGTGTTAAATATGTATATCCTTAAGGTGGGTGTTATCTACTTATCCACAAATTTACACATCAATCTACAAATGTTATTTTTTCGCAAACAGAAGTATGACTTCTCCTGTTCAAAACACTTTTCTGTCCGTGTTTTTGTGTAAAACTGCTTAAGGAGGAAAGTCTGTTTCTTATATAGTCCACTTTTATTATGCACACTGGAAAAAACTGGGTACTAGTTAAGTAGCGGTGAGTGGTTAGTGTTACATCACTGTTTTTATTGTAAAGTAAGCAGAAGCTATAATTAAGGTGTTGCAACTCCTCAGCAGTGTACTGACCAGTGTGTTGGGATAGAAACCATTGGATTTCATCATTTGTTTTAGGAACAGATCCTCCCTCCCTCACGTGTGTCACACAAAGGTCCCCCTTACAGAGCATGCTTAAGAAGATCAGTCCAAGTATGAGGCAGTACTGCTGGCAAAGACGCCTGTGGTCGGTTATTTTCCCTGACTGACTTCACTTTGTTGGTAAGTCTGCAAATTCTGCGGCTGCTTTTTCTTGGCACATGAGCCGGCCGTTCTTCAGACTTCTCACCACAGAAAGAATGAGCTCAACCAGCGAGCCTCATTCAGCTGCTACTTTCCCTCTGCACCCGTCTATCTAATATAAGCGCTGGAACGAAAAAAACACAGCTATATGGAAATTGTTGTGGTTGCTGCTAGCACATATGCTCTCTCTTTAGTTTCTAAATGTGCATGAACATGATGTGTTAGTACACAAGATCCCAGAGCTGGTGTAAAAGTGATAAAAAAGGTGGAGGCACACATACCTGCAGTGAAGAGGAACACAGCCACGATGCGGTAGTGCTGTCTGTGAGTCCCCTTGCAGAGGGAAATCAGTGCCACCAAAAAAGCCACGAGCGTTGCCACAGCTCCAGCCACCAGCAGCACCAAGGTGGCAATCTGCCAGTCTGTAGGACAACACACACGCAGGTTTGAGAGGAGCAAAATGGTCAACAACAGCTCGATTCACAGAACGGGACTGCTGAATTGAACTGCTGTGTTGACAAACACAAAACAAGAGTTAATCCCACAGAGTAAAGAGAATGGAGCCGAGCAGGCGGCCTGCACCGGAGAACAGGCCTCATCAGGAACCTGGTCAGTGACTGGGAGAGCATCATAGTGACTTCATCCATGTTAATCCATTTCTGATACAATTTTAAAGTTAAAATGTGTTTTTTTTTTTCTGCCCTTTGGTTTCAGATGCATTTATCATCAAATAAACTTTATCGGTGTCTTTTTTTATTTATTGTACATTTGTCTTTATCTAGAAGATAATTTTTGCACAATTTTGCATAAATCTGTATAAAAGTTCACCAGATTTTTGTTTTGCTTTTACCTGAGAAGTGCATTTGTGCAGTTATTTCTTTGCTCATTTAGGTGGAATTTTCACTGGGGTGCTTTGAGACTCTAAGCTCAGGTTGGCGTGTCTTTGGTTGGTGTTGCTGGAGCGTCTGTTTGCGGCTGTAAGCCTTTTTCCATGTTAGTTCAGCTTTTGTGGCTCAGTCACAGAAAATTTATTCTTTTTATTCCAAACAAACTTCAGGGGCTATTTGTGGAAAGAAAACCCCTTACTTCCTCTCTGTTAGAAGATTTTTTCGTCTGGAGACTAAAGCTACACAAGGCATGGTTTTCAAAGCTTCTCCATTCAGTACGGTATTTACACAAAGCCTGAAACCAGAAATGTATTCTGAAAAAGATGCTCATAGTTTCCTCTCCTGCCTGTTCTTGTTGTGGGTGTCAGGAGAAAGCCTAAACTCTAAAGACTAACCTGTGAGGGAGATTTGCATTCGATGAAGCTCACAGACTGAGCAACATGATTCAGTGGTTGTTTTTCTGTTTCTCTGAGCTCCTGATTCTTTTGTCTTTGAGATGTCAAAGAGGAAATATTTCCTCGGTTAGCTCACATAACACCGGACACCAGGTGGCTCAGCAGTTTAAGTCCCCATGTTCAGAGGCAAGAGCCCATGTCACAGTGGTGACCAATATGACTCCAGACTACGCCCCTATGCTACATGCCATCTCTACAACCTACACCCCATGTTTACTGTCTCCCTCCCGCTGATCTGTCCAATTACAGGAAGATGGCTGAAAAAAGAGCCGCTGGTTTAGCTTTGCTGGTAAAGCAGTTACATGTATAGTGGTTATAGTCCTTTTGGGTCATTTCTAAGTCTAACATAATTTGGTGCACGTTATGTTATGTTACCCCCTACTCTCTCCCAACCTTTTCTATTTCTGAAGCTGTCCGATACACGAAAGGCTTAAGCCAAAAACTAGTACAAATAGGATTGATAACATCATCCAAATTCAAGAATCTGGAGTCAAGAATAAAAGTCCCTGCATTACAAATCTGCTTTGCCTTTTGGGGGGAACTGCCCCTTTAACCCCACCACGCCCCTCCCTTAGTGCTTTAATGAGCTCTGCAGACATTCAAAGCGACAAACCCCCTCCTATTCATCCAACACATTCCTCAGGAGCACCAAAACATCACATTTGTGGTGCCCTCTGCAGGTTTTTGTGTGGCGCCAAAAGATACTATAAAATCTAAAATATTTCAGCAACCCTTCAGCAAAACACTCAAACATTTTCGTCCAATCCTTGTACACTTTGCTAATTAACTTTTTTTTCCTAACCATTAAATAGTCAGCTGCTGGATATTTAAATGAGATAATATCAGCCAATCTACCGCAGAGATCAGCAGCTTGCCGCAGTTTAATCTGCTACATTAACTGTGAATCTCCTCTTCTGGTGGGTGGGAAAGGCTTCACACAGTTCGGTCATGTGGTCTCTCTGCTTGACAAAAGACGACCTGGTGGGTCCAGACCTACTGAGGAGGCTGGTGGGGAGGATGCTTATTGTGTCTCTTCAATCCCACTCAAAGGCCTTCTTCGGGTTGAAGTGGTTAACCCTTTGTTTACCAAAAAGATGTATCTCTTGGTGCAGCATGTGAAACTGGCACTTTATGTACTTTAAAGTACTTACTCAGCAATCACAATAAAACTGATAACACAATGGCTGATTCTATTTCAATATGCAATCAAACTATGCTGGCGTGGCTGAACTGAGCATCACGACAATGTGTTTGTTACAGTGAGTCCACGTCACAGCTCTGGTATGCACAGAGGAAATTTATCACAAGAAGCCCTGGATGCCTTAGCTGCTGCTCAGAGTATAAACAAGCCAACTAAAACATAAGCTGCCCAGGGGACAATTTCATAACTCTGAGTTGGAACATCTCATATATATGGTTTACATGTATTCCCTGAGTAAATACCTCACTGTAATTATCTGAATTGAAGCCATACTGCTGGGTATTTCTGTTGTTTACTTTCCTCCCTCTATGGTTACAGCTCTCTCTTACTTATCATCTCATAAAACTGCATAATATAAGACAGAATATCAAATTTAAATTCTTTATTCTTGATTAAAATCCATTTTCTTTCTTTTTTCTTTGTTTGTTTTTCTGAAAAGGTACCAAATTCACATCAGTACATCTTTTTTTTTTTTTTTTTTTGCTTATTTGTGTATAAAAATGATGTGTCCACAGTTGCCAGCCTATACTGCCAAACAAAAACTCTTCTTTATCTCCTACCTAGTATGAAAACCTTTGTATATGACTAAAAACATGTTCTGATCCTACACTGATGATCCCTCTGTAAACAGTTCCTCTTGTACAAAGTACTTCACTCACAAAATCATGTTACTTTTTTCAGCATCAATCAAAATCCCTGAGTCTGACCCCAAACACACAAAGTTAGAACAACGAGTGCAGTGAAAGTGTGGAAAAAGGCTGCAAAGACTGTTATTGATCCCTACCAGATGTGAGGGTGGAGAAGCAGGTCCACGCAGCCTCTTCTCCCGAGTGTCGTGCATCGGGCTGGGAGCAGGACTCCCACAGAGAAAGGGAGAAATGCTCGGCGGTGACCCAGGCTGGACTGAGCAGAGCCACCACGTCCAAACAGAGCGCGAGGAAGACGCAGAGTAGCGCGATAAGCTTGAAGGGCCGGAGCACGTGCACTTCGTTCACAGACATGTTTTCATACCAGAGTACAGCAACAACAGGTCAGGCACGGGCTGATACAGAGCTCACTAAAAGTCCGAGTACGTCCTCTCCCACCATAGCCTTCACTGGACTGTGCCTGCCAAGCTGGGAAAAAGTTGGCCGGGACATATCCGGCTGTTTGGCTTTTCAAAATAAAGGCCCGTAAATCGACGACGTTATCAAATTGAAATCTGTTTATCTTCTCGACGTTTTTTTTCTCACAAATAATTTCTTTTGTTGTTATTTAAAGTGGGGTATTTGATTTGCCGTTATAATTCAATGATGCCTTTAATTCATTTCGATTCAATACACATATCTCATAACTGTACTATACTTGCAATATTTTCTAAGAAGTCATAAGTTTGATCATTTTTATTAACATTATGCTTTCCATAACCACAGCCGTTTTTTGCTTATCTAATTTGTTATCTGTTCCCAAGGGTAAAGCACTTTGTAAATTGTTTTTTAAAAATGCTTTATCAATAAAAAATTCTATTATTGTTTTTCATTGATAATTCATTAAGATCTGAGTGTCGACACTCAGATCTTAATGAATTTTCATTCATAGCCTAACTAGCAGCTTTTAACCTTGGCTCCAACAGAGATAGCAGGCCCTTATTTACTTTCATGACAACACACGTTAGCATGGACTATTTGATGCTGTTGGGCCCACGCTGGCTAAATTAGCCACAAGCTAGCCCTCGTAGTAGCAACCAGGCTACATGCAAACTCGAGTTTAACATTTGCTGTACATGCATTTCACCGTCACGCATCATGATGCACGACGGTGGGAGGACCAAAGCTTGCAAAAATAAAAAATTTCTATAATATCTCCTTCAGCACCCACCTCTTTTCAGCAGAATGTATAACTCTCGAACTCCGCGACTCCTGTAACTTCTGGTGTAATCCGACGGTCGTGAGGTCGAGTGTGGACAGAGCGCAATGCTTCAGCCGGATGTTGTGCGGTCCACAATTTGAAGCCGTTTTCATGTTATGGTCCGATTATGGTACGATCTCCATACGGGTGTTAAACTGGGCTCTTGCAGAGCTACCAAATACTTTTTGTCGCCCATCTCGTAGTATTGCGGCTATGCCGATAACTTTTATCACGGACTACTTCGCTCTTGGCGGAATTAGAATCTACCCGAAGTGAGTGCACGGTGGATCACGTGAGCGTGCTCCACCAATAAGGTGGCTGGATTATTGTCACGGTGGCAGCCGGCGTTACCGAGACGGATAAAACACATGAAATCTAAGAATCAAATTGAATTTCAGCGACCAACTTTGTTGTCTTGTACTTAGCAGGACCCAGACTTTTCGTTTTTTTTATTTTATTTTTCTGCCGTATATGCGTTTTGACCGGATATGGCGAAAACACTGGTCACCCTCAGGAGTATGATAGTTCCATAGATTGAGATCAGTTCTGCAACGTTCAGTTATCATTTTAAATAATCAACTCTTGAATTGTGGATTAAAATCGATTGTCTAGATTCGGTCTATATGTAGACGTTGAAATGACGTATACATTTATACGTCTAAATCACGTCTAAAAATAGACCGAATCCCGACGTTGAAATGAAGTATAAATTTAGACTAGACGTCTGATATACGTCTTTTGCTCAGTGGGACACTCAAACCGAGACAGTGGATTTCCACAGAGTAAATGCGAAATGACGGTCACGTGGTTCAGAAATGAACAAATATGATAAAAAACATTCTATTGTTTAAATTAAGTGAATATAAAAGTGTAAAATAAGTGATTGCGGATGGATTACGAGTTTAGAGGAATAAACTGCTTTTAGATGGTGAAAAAATTTCGGTTTGTTTGAAATTATGTAATTAATAACGCCCCGTGGGAGTGGTCACAGTGTTCAAAAGAGGGTCACCTAAAGCTATCGGTCCATTCGCCAGCAAAACTGAGAGGAAGTAACACCTTCGTCCAGAGCACAGGTAAGGACTCAGTTGGTGATCGTGACATGAAGCCTCTTGAATCATTATTTCCATGCATTTGCTTTACTCTGGTCTGAAACTTCATTTGCTCAACTGTGCCATCGTGGACAATAAATGTAAAACAGGCAGAGTGATTTTCAGAGACACCCCCTTTGGTGTGCGAATCTCTGAATTGAATAAATGAATGAATGAATGTGACGCCATGTGTTTGGGATATCGATACAGAAATTATTAAGTTATTGATACTTTGTCTGTCTTTACGACACAGTAGCAGGGTGAAAAGGGGAACAGGACATAAATAGTAATGGAGACAGTTGTGATGTGAATGTGCTTGTGTGTAACTCGGTTTGTGACTGTGTGTTTGATACGGGGACAGCATCGAACACGTTAATATTTCATTCATTTTCATTAAAAACAACTTTTCGACAAGTCTTTTCGGACTTTTAGAGGTACTCCGTCGCGTTTCGCTGCCCGTTAGATTTTAAATCACCCGCCAAAACCGCGAGCCGTTTCCTGAATCAGTCACGTGGTACGACCGGTGTTCTGCCGTAGATTGCACCCCTGCCGTAAAATGCAACCCCCGGACGGAAGCGCGGTTGAAAGTACAGAACAAGGCGAAAGTTTTCCCTACCATTGGATGAATTAAAAAGTGTATGCCTTTAATGATTTTGTTCAGGTTGTCCAGATAAACCGAAAACAACAGCCCTCTGATTGGGAATATTTGCTGTCCCGAAAATATTATGTTCTCTACCTTAACAGCGTACTGTACAGTTTATATACCCAAGTACACCTCTCTGTGCATTTTTTAGACACAAAAACAGAGGGAAAGTTTGCTGCTCCATTTTGACATGTTGTCATGATCTAATACTCGTGTTTTGTTTTAAATATAAGATCATTTTCTCTCACTTTAAGAAGCTAATGAGTGGAGGGGATGCATTCCACGGCATAACACCGGCTCGCGAGGCTTCAAACGTTATCACATACGTCATCAACTCAAGCTTCGATACGCGCTTCGCCGAAATTTACTCGAAAAATTCGTCTCATATGGTTGTTGTTTTTTTTTTCCTTAAATTGAGCCAAAGGGATGCAAAGTTTTAAAAGCTTAATGATTGATTTTTATATTGATGAATCCACAGGCATATACAATCTCTACTGAGCTAGTGTTTGAACAAAATGGTCTTAGGCACGCTTTCATATTTAAAATGCTTTTATTTTCATGGGATTAGCATACAGGCCTGACGTGTTTAAGCACTAACAAAGTTAAACACAAGACTTTTGCCAGTAAATTTCCACTCTGGCGTCAAGTTGTAGCTTGCAGAGGGTGTGTGTGTGTGTACACTAAATGTCCAGCAGATGGCGTTATTCAGGCCACTGGGCCTTAAAATCCTCTGACAACTACCCTAAACATGAATCCATGACACCTATAAAAACATTTTAAGTGTTTTACTTTAATGAATAAGTTTGTTTTAAGGTTTCCATGATGGTGCCATGAATGTAATGGTCAGAGGACTGCATTTGGCCTTATTCTTATTTTTCTGACTGTATTAAAAGACGATAAGATCTCAAAGCCCAGTGTGAAAAAGCAAAACTGCTTATTCAGATCTGTCTTAGTGTACCCTGAGTCTGCAGTAGAAAGTGCTGTTGTTGGTGTGTACTTACTGTGCTTCTGTGTTTGTTTGGTTTTTTTCCAGCATGTTCCTCAGACCCCAGCTGACTTCATGTCCTCTCAGATGACTCCACTCCACTGAGGCCAAAGGTGAGACTGAGGCAGGGATGCAACTTTACAAGCCTAGAAAGAAAATAAAGATGAGGCTTGAAAATGGTCTGATTTGGAGCATGGCCGCCAACCATCATGCAAACATGAGCTGTTTAAAATGACTGGTAACACTTTACAATAACCAAAACTTATAAATGGTAAATTGACCATTTATGAATAGTAAGAAGATAGTTTATTAATATTTAAATAATTTATAAATGGCATATAGGCCATAAATAGTAAATTTTACAATTTTATAAAAACCTTACCCCTAACCCTAACGTTACTATAACCATTTAAGTAATGTTTATAGGTGGTTTATAAACCAATTATTAATCAATTATTATGGTTTATAATTATTAATAATTATCAAACATCAGTTACAACTTTACAATAAACCATCAAGTAATATTTATAGATGGTTTAAGAACCAAATATTAACCATTTACTGACACACATTTTAATCTAGATGTTTTAAAACCAATATTTAAACCCTCTTTAAACCTTTTAATAAATAGTCCATTAATAATTAATGAAAATTATCAATCATTAAAGTAACAATTAACTTACATTAATAAACTATCTATTTGGCATTTATAATTGGTCTATAGGCTGTTTTTAAATGATGATTAAACTTTAATTATCTATTTACCATTTATAAATTGTAGTTATTGTAAAGTATTTAAAATAGGGCTGAACTCATAAACTTGTGTGAAAGCTGATTATTGAAGGAGGTCAAAGAGGTCAAGGTTTTTAATTCTGAGTCTTATATTCAGGACTTAAGGATTGATGGTTGTGTATTTCTCTGTGTGTTAACCAGGAGCTGAAATTACGCCGGATCAAGTCAAACTGAGGCAGAACTCATGACCGTCCGACGCCTGGACCCTGTAAGGTAAGACATTGACTACTTCACTCCACGGACAGACCATCAATGAGGGACACTGGAGGTCAGTTTACTTTTGGTTTGACAACAACCGCACCAACAAAAACAAGAACCCCACCATCAACAATCAAGCAGTGCAGTTGTTCTCTGCCCGAGTAGCAGGTTTTGGTCTAGTTTTGGTCTGCTTTGGTGATGCAATTGTGGAGAGAAGTTGTTCTCTTTCAGAGAAGCAGATTTTTGTCTAGTTTTGCTCTGTTTTGGTGATGCAATTGTGGAGAGAAACTGTTCTCTTCCAAAACCACAAAAACAAGCAATATAGACCCCCAAAACAAGTCTACTATCAGATTTAATTAAACAAAATAGCAACTCGGTCCTCAAAAACGTGTAAATCAACAAATTTACCAAAACAAAAATGAGAGTTCACTCGAATTAAAATTTAACTTCCTGAGCGAAGCTTTAAAATAGTCGGGATGCGTCACAAGGATTAGGTCTGATTTCGGCAATGCGTTTTTGGAAAGCAGCGTTTCTCTGCCCAAGT